GGGATGGATATTGCCAGTCTCGATCGAATTACATTTCGTACCGTTTCCAACTCCCTTTCTTTTTCGAATTTCCTCTCACGCCTTTCAAATATTCAAATATTGTATCAACAGCGGTCTGAGATCGTCAGACGCGGCTCACAATTAGAAACGCTTTGATCGAAAGCCTGCCAGTCATTACTGCTCACTAGCTTCATTAAAGTCCACCTCCATCCCAGTTTAATCGAGTTACACTTAAGTCAATCAATCTGGCTTTCATTACTTCCAAAAACGACCAGTGTTTTCCACCTTGGATCCATTGATCTAATCGTTTGTTTTCAATATAAATTAAATATCATTCCAAAATTATAAATTTTAATCTGTAGAATTGTAGAATTCGATAAGATAAATTAAAGAAAAATTGCGAATAAAATACAATATTTGTAAATTTATAAATACATTTCGTTCTAAAAGTTAGAATTGGAAGAATTTTAATTCAACTTGTGAAAAATGTTGTAGGAAGGAAGGGGAAAGAGGGAGGAAGAGAGAGAATGAAAGAGTGATAAATTTTTCCTATATTCCAGCCCAGCTTATAAAGCAACATTCGACAATAAATTTCTTCTTGGTTCCTCTTCTTCCATCCCATGGTGGAAATATCATGGGTCGAAGTATTTCCTACAAAGGCAAAAATATGGGAAAGAGTCTTCGAGAAACGTGATATTCCGCAAAGGTGGAATTAAAAATTGATTAAAACTGGAAGAAAAATAAGAAGAAGAAGAAAGAAAGAAAATTATACTCGTGATAAAATCTTTTTGTTTTTGTCATCTATTGTTATATAAATAAAGTTATATTGTCATCAATATAACTTTTATTAAAAGAAAAATAAATTATATTTCACGTATTAATAATAATATTTTTTAATAATATATAATATATATTAATATATATAATAATATAATAATATAATAATAATATAATAATATATATAATATATTTTTTAATAATAATAATATTTAATAATTTGTAGATCGATCAACCAGGCAAGAGATTTATTCAGCCTTTCGTGCAGTCTTTCATCGATATATATATATATATATTATATATAAAATGTACAAAGAAAAGAATTTCGGGACAGCTGCCTCCAGAGAGGTTCGCGCCCCTGTGTAAGTGAAAAATATTGGAAAAATATTCAAGACGCGTGGACCGATGAATGCGAGGACACGATGCTTCTGTAAAATTCTATGCATTCCTAAAAGGGTTTTCCTCTAGCTATAGCGGATGAACACTGGTCTCACTGGCATATACGTTAAGAGGAACGCGTTACTTTTTATATTATCCCCATACGTTCGTCTGAATATCAAAGTTAGGCTTTGGGGTTAAGCAAATTCCTCCTTCCTATTATCTTCTCTCTCTCTCTCTCTCTCTCTCTCTCTCTCTCTCTCTCTCTCTCTCTCTTTCTCTGAAAAATATCAAATATTGATATATTTCCAAGCGTTCATAACCTTGAAAACATTTTGAATATATATATTAATATTCTTATATATATACTAGTATATAGAGTATAGAATATAGAGAGTAGAGTATAGAGTATAAAGTATAGAGTATAGAGAGTAGAGTATAGAATATAAAGTATAGAGTATAGAGTATAGAGAGTAGAGTATAGAGTATAAAGTATAGAATATAGAGAATAGAGTATAGATTATAGAGAGTAGAATTTAGAGAATAGAGTATAGAGTATAGAGAGTAGAGTATAGAAAATAGAGTATAGAGTATGAAGAATATAGTATAGAGTATAAAGTATAGAATATAGAGTATAGAGAGTAGAGTATAGAATATAAAGTATAGAATATAGAGAATAGAGTGTAGAGTATAGATTATAGAGAGTAGAGTATAGAGTATGAAGAATAGAGTATAAAGTATAGAGTGTAGGGTATAGAGTATAGAATATAAAGTATAGAGTATAAAGTATAGAGAGTAGAGTATAGAGTATAAAGTATAGAATATAGAGAATACAGTGTAGATTATAGATTATAAAGAGTAGAGAATAGAGTGTAGATTATAGAGAGTAGAGTATAGAGAATAGAGTATAGAGTATAGAGAGTAAAGTATAGAGTATAGAATATAGAGTATGAAGAGTAAAGTATAGATTATAGAGAGTAGAGTATAGAGAATAGAGTATAGAGTATAAAGTATATATATATATATATATATATATATTAATATTATTCGCATAGAGAGAAAAAGAAATAAAATTAGAAACATTAGAAAGAAAGATAGGAGATACGATAGGATATAACTTACAGTACAGAATACGAAAGATGATAAGTAAAATCGAAAAATATGCGTTTGTCCATCGTGAATGAAATCTTATGGATAGTTTGAGGAACCTTTACGGCGATGTTAAATGAAAAATTTTCGCGAGAAAATAAACGCGTCTCAAAAGCAGCCTCTTCGATATTTTGTGATCTTAATAGATCACGCGTTTGGATCAATTTGAACAGCCTTTCCTTTTCTTGGATTTCGACTCGATTTTTTCCCATTATAAGGAGCCTCTAATCTCCTCTAATTATCTTCTAACTCACTTAACAAATCCTTTAATTTTCCTTTTAAAATTTACAACTATTTTTTTGACTATTATTCTATCTACATATCTATATCTATAACGTCTATTAACGATAATCTTAACGACTTTTAAATTTTCACAAAATTATTGATGTCGATAAGGACGAATTCAACTGGAAATTAATTTATTCGAAGGGAATACCGACAGTTACAATGAAGAAGAAGCTTTTTCACCACTCCATGTTTTCGGACCCGGTTCGAAACGCTTTAATCGGCTTACAACCAGGGTTTAATAACTTCCACACAAGATATTAACGGGCAAAAACCACGGGTTGCTCTCGTTGCAACAGCAGAGAAATTTCCAATCCGTGGAAAATCTGTTTTCCTTCGAGAAAATCGGCCGAGCCTTCGATTCGATCAACAAGTAGTTATCAAAATTACGTGATTTTTCATATATTGTTCTTAGAAATACATGCAAGGAATTTAATTTATAAAGATCTTTAAATTAAATTGATAATTCATTGAATAATTTCATTGGTATGATTCGTAAAAGGAATTTTCACGAAAAGACACGTAGAAAATTACATTTGTAGAAGTGTATATATGTATTTACAGCCTATATCGGGCAAGCAAGAAATTATTGATCTATTCCATATACTTATATAACTTGACCTGTTTTTTTTTTTTCATTTCCGTTTGCGTAGGCTGCATATCTCATTTACCGGATGCATACCGGATGCCCGAGTATTTTCGCCCATCCCTTTGGATATACGCGAATTCGTGAATTCTATTTTGAACATTAGCTTCGTGTTCCACGTTTCTCTAAAAATTTGCGAATTTTAATTTATTAAAAAAAAAAAAAAAGAAGAAGTTGATATCAAGAAGGATATTCGGTATTGAAATGGTATTAAAAATTGTTTACAAGAAGGATATTCGGTATTGAAATGGTATTAAAAATTGTTTACAAGAAGTTTTAACCAATTTTTAAGCGTTAAACGCTTCGAGAAGGGTATAATATATCGTGGACTTGCTCCAATTCTTGGACGAATTATTACCAACGTCGATCGATCTCCTTTTTCGGCCATACTTTGCAAAAAGGATAGAAGAAAAAAAAATAATATCGCTTCTTCCTTGAAGCAAGGAATCCTTCCATATGCGAGAATAACTCCTCTAACCGGATTACGATGTATTCAAACTGTTTCGTCGCTTGACTGGTGCTAATAAAAAAATATCGTTGATATTACTATGATATTTAATAAAACTCATCCATCTTTCTTTCCTTAAAATATTTAAAATATTTGGGTAAACAAACAGCGAATATTTTAAAAAATAAATGTTACGAAATATATACAATTTTTCTTTCGAATAAATAAATAATTTCATTTTAAAAAGAATCACCTTCTAAATCTTATATAACAAAAAAAGATTTCGAATCAATGATCAGAAACAGACTTACAACCAATTATTATTATCATCGAATATTTTAAAAAATAAGTGTTACGAAATACATACAATTTTTCTTCCAATTAAATAATAATTTCATTTAAAAAAAAAAAATCACCAAACTTTCTAGATCTCATATAGATTATATCAAAAAAAGATTTCAAATCAATAATCAGAAATACTTCAAACAGATTTACAACCAATCATTATTATCATCGAATAATAAATCATCGAATATCTTAAAAAATAAGTATTACGAAATATATAATTTTTGGAACAAATAATAAATTATCGAATATATATTTTAAAAAATAAGTGTTATAGAAGTATATAACTTTTCTTTCAAATAAATAAATAACTTCATTTTAAAAAAAGAATCATCAAAAAACTTTCTAGATCTCATACAGATTATATCAAAAAAAGATTTCAAATCAATAATCAGAAATACTTCAAACAGACTTACAACCAATCATTATTATCATCGAATAATAAATCATCGAATATCTTAAAAAATAAATGTTACGAAATACATATAATTTTTCTTCCAATTAAATAATAATTTCATTTTAAAAAAAGAATCACCAAACTTTCCAGATCTCATATAGATTATAAAAAAGTTTTCGAATCGACGATGAGAAATGCTTGAAACGAATTTATAACCATCATTATAATCATTATTATAATAATCATTATTATCATCGAATATTTAAATCATTAAATAATAATTTCATTTTAAAAAAAGGATCACCAAACTTTCCAGATCTCTATATAGGTTATAAAAAAGTTTTCAAATCGACGATGAGAAATACTTGAAACGAATTTATAACCATCATTATAATCATTATTATAATAATCATTATTATCATCGAATACTTAAATCATTAAATAATAATTTCATTTTAAAAAAAGCATCACCAAACTTTCCAGATCTCATATAGATTATAAAAAAAGATATCATATAGGTTATAAAAAAATTTATAATGAATATTTACAATGAATTCGTCCTTCTGAAATTGCAGAAGCGGCCTCGGCGGATGTAGCTGGTAGCAAGACGAACAGCGAGACGGCAGAAGTTTTCGCCGTGGCGAAGTACCCCTCGGCCGCGGCATCGTCGTCCACGACGACCCCACCGTCATCCTTGTCGAGCGTGGACGCCAGGATGGTTGCCTCCGCCCACAATCTCGACGATCCGACCGCGGGCCATCCGGCGAACGTGAACGGCGACCGCCAACAGCAACAGCAACGCGAGGAGAAGCACGGCCACGTGTACAGATCGGCGCAGCAGACCGCCCAGGACAAGAGGAGCAGGCTCAGCAACGTGATCAACAATCTTAGGAAAAAGGTTCCCGACTCGAGGAACGGGGAGTCGGCTGGGAAGAAGGAGGAGGACGACAGGAACAGCGTGGAGAGGAACCTCGAGACCCTGGAAAAGTACGTGATGACGGTGTTGAACGGTGTGATCAAGGACGAGGAGAATGACAGAGAGGTAAGTAAGAAGAAGGAGGCCGAGAAGAAGAAGGAAGGCGACAAGTTGGCCGAGGATCGGGAAGAGGACGAGGATCCGAAGGGTTTGGCCGCCAAGTTCGAACCCTCGAAGCCTAACGAGAGCAGGACAGAGGCAGCCGTCTTCCTCGCGGACAAACCCGACAAACCTGACAAGGAATTCTCTTTGGAGCTTCGTAAAATTGATGCGAGAGGCGAGAACTCTTCGAGGAGCGAGAACTCTTCGAGGAGCGAAGAGTCGGTTTGCGCGGCGTGGAGGGAGAAAAGCCAGGAGAAAAGCCTCCTCCTCCTGTCCGAGGATGCGTCAGGGAAGGAGAGAGAGACCTCTAAGAGAGGGGAAGAGGAGGATAACGTTTGCATAGGTAACGACAAGTGTTCCCCCTGTAAGGAGATAAAATGCGAGGAGCAGTCTGTCCAAGAGGCAGGGAGGAATGATAATCAGGAAGAGGAGAGGAGAGAGAATCGTTCCCTGGGAACGATCATTATGGAGAGATTGAGCGAGAACTTGTCGGATGGTGGAAACGTGGAAGGGAGCCTGGTGGATGATGCGAAAGATGACGAATTGGTTTCTGACAACGTCGAGTTGAGAAACGTGTGCAGAGATTTGTTGAACGATCTGTTGAACGATATCAATCAATTGATCGACGAGAACAGGCGGAATAAAGAGGAGACGAAGGCGCGGTTGGAAGGCATCGAGGAATCCAAAGATTCGTCCAGGATTCAAGATTTCGCTATGACGAGTCTTCATTGTAGTCTGCCCCTGGATAAAGTGGCCTCAGTGTTGCAGAATTGTCAGACGAGCGAATTGCCTGCTCCTCAATCGCCTTGTTCTTCTTCTTCTTCTTCTTCTTCTTCTTCTTCCTCCTCCTCTTCCTCCTCCTCTTCTTCTTCTTCTTCTTCCCAGGGCTCCAAGTCTCCCAGCAAACCATCCTCTCCCACCGTCAGACATCTCTGCCTTTACTGTGATCGCAAGTTCATGTCGATATCCCTGAGGCAACGGCACACCGAGAGAGTTCATCAGCAAGGGGGCGGCAGAAGGTCGGAAAGGAACTCGAGGAAACCGTCGCAGAACTGTCAGTATTGCTCTGATAGATGCGCGGAAAGCTTGGAAGGTCTGTTCCAGCACATGATCGGCACCCATGGAGACAAGTACCATGCTTGTTTGCAGTGCTCTACCAGGTACCTAACCAGGGAGGCTCTAGCAGTTCATATGAACGAGAATCACGGTGTGAATCTCGCGGAGAGGAATCTTCAAATTCAGGTACTATCTGAAGTCAAGTTTTCGAGGCCATTTTTTTTTTTTTTGCCTCTGAATTAAATTCATCCAAAATCTCTTTTCCATACCATACGTTGCAATAAGTTTCCTACCTAATTTTTGCAGTCCCTTTCACAGGAGAAGTTGAAGGAATCCTCTTCCCCCTGCAAGGAGCTAGGCAACCAAAGTCCCCACGACAGGGCAGATCCGTCGAACCACCCCAAAGAGAGAAGAGGCGAGGAAACTGATCACGAACACCGAGCGGAAACCAGTTTGCTGAAACCAATGCACCCGGTGAAAGACAACTTCAGCAATCCGGGGAGCCCGGAGTTCGACAGTTCCTTTTACAGCAGCGTGAGCTGCAACATCCGGGAGAATCTTCTTCATCATTTGGATGGAAAACTTCAGAGCTCGTCGTCTGCTATAGCGTCGAACGGTGTGTCGATAACAGAGGCGAAACCTCAGCAGCAACAATCACAGCAACAACAGTCCTATTACGAGCACAACGTTAATCAGATACAATTCCCGATAGATATATCGTTAACAGCCGCGACACCGGTTTATTCGAAGGAATACAGTAGCGAGGAGTACGAGAATAATAGCGAGTACGCCCAAAAGCCTGGTAAGAGTAATAGGTCCCATCCTAGGCGAGTGTCTTTCGAGAAGTACAACTTTCCTAGGAAATACGACGGGAAAGAGCAGTGGACCTGCTCGATAAAAGATCTCAGCAAGTTTGATATATCCACTCAATTGACACTGAGGAAGAAACAACAGTTGCTCAAGGAGCGTATAAGTCTGAACAGATTGCATCAGCTCACCCTTCTTGGACCTTGCGAGATCGTCCAGAACGAACAGAATCACGGCTCTAAAAGTATCGATATATCTAACAATTCGGGAATAGTTGTCGTTAACGATCCAGATATTGAACAGACATCCCGTTGCGAAGCTCTGAAATCGTCGATGGAGAACAAACACGAATGTTCCGAAGTGAAATCGCTTCAGGGTACCGAGTTCACTGTAGAATTTGGCAACTTTTTGAGGTTAAGGAAATGGGACGAGAAGATGACTATCGAGGCTGCCAAAAATCAGGAAGTTGTTTACGCCGAGTTGACAGGGGAATGGTCGAGGCCGAGGGTCTACATCTGCGGCGCCTGCGCTTCCAAACATGTAAGTTTCCGATGGAGAACTATTGTTTGATCTAAGATCAATTCCATCAAAAAGTATTCCGAGTTGTAATTCTAAACAAATTTCCTTAAATTCATTTTGGAATAAATATTGACAATGTTTGATAATGTTTGACAATGTTTGACAATGTTTGACAATGTTTCACAATGTTTGACAATGTTTCACAATGTTTGACAATGTTTCACAATGTTTGATGTTTGTCATTGGATAGAACTTTCTACTTTGAATTATTCATTCATTGATTTTTTTTTTTTATTACTTTGTATCAATTCATTTTGGAATAAATTGACAAATTAAATTGGAATATTGGCAACGTTTGACAATGTTTGACGATGTTTGTCATTGGATAGAACTTTCTATTTTGAATTATTCGTTCATTGATTTTTTTTTTTTTTTTATTATTTTGCATCAATAGTTTGGTTGCATTTTTGCAGTCTTTCGATCATTGAATGATTTTGATTTACAAGATAACATTTTAAAATAAAATCCATTTAAGATATTTAAGATATTTAACCTTTATCAAGATGTTTGACATTTATAACCGATTAATTAATTAGCCAGATCTCTTGATTGGTAACTATCGATTGAATTGCAAATTGGTGAAAGGACATCTCTTCATATTGATTGACAATTAGCTACCGTCGAACGATTTGATTATAATATTCCTATCCTATTTTCAAATCCATAATGAGCATGTTCGTCGTTGCAATCGTTAATAATTGTCATTACATCGATCGAAATAATTATGGAAAAATTTTTTCACGAAAAAACGAATCTGAACGATCCTGCGCTAAGATTTTTACCCTCATAATTTTTCTGAATAATATTTTATTATTGCAGGTAACCTTGAAAGATATGGAGGACCATAAAGCGATGACTCATCCAAATGTCTGGTGTTCGCATTTCGAGTTCTCCGGTGATCAAAGAGAACTGTATAAACATTTGTTTCTACCAGGAAAGGATATGCCTACAGCAAAAGCAAGAACGGCTATTTTACCAGAAAAGGTGTGCACCAAGTGTTCAAAGAACTGTACGACTTTACCAGAGTTGCATAGGCATATGTTGGAGTGTGGAGGAGATCAAGCTTGGCTATTAGGACTGTTCGGCAATGGAAAGAAAAAGTGCAAGTGGAGACCGTTTGGAAGTCGTAGTAGAAGACGAAGGCAGCGTGGCATGAAGAGAAATATTCAAAATTCTCAAACTCCAAGGGTGAATACTCCTAAAGAAAAACAACCCACGGGACCGAGAGTTAGACCCAGTGATAGTGAGTGATTCTTTCTGCATATTGCATTTTTTTTTTCTGCATATTTTATATATTCTAAAACAAATTTTTTCATAAAAATGTTTATCTTTAATTCAGAAGTTAATAATGTATTTTTAATGGGCAATGTTATTAATTTTATTATATGGAAAAATTCAGGGAGAAATTAAGAGAGATTCTAAATTCTACTTCAATTTTAACTTTGCTTTTTATTAAAACTTGTTTTAATAACAAAAAGGTACAACATATGCGGGAGTTAATAAAAAACGAGCATAAATAGGAACACAAAGAGAATTTGTTAATCGCGTCAGAAAAGCGTTTAATTACTGCACTAATTCGAGCTTTGTTTCATTTAATTGAAATTTACTTATCCGCTGTTTCCTTTTTGCTATGCAATAATTACAGATACCATCACGACATCAAGACATTATAACTTGAAACTTATTAAATATTAATATAACTATTAATATTAACATACTTGTATTAATTATATTTTGTTTATATTCTTATGTTCAAATCGTGCATTATGATAGCTCTTCTATAAATAAATATTAAATGAATATTTAATAAACTGTTGAAGCAGTTTTTGTGATATATTCTTTTGTACATACGAACAATATCAATGATTCATTGTTAATAAAACTTTTCTTTTTCACGTGACATTCACAACAAAGTTTTCATTATTTTAAGATTTTTAATAATTTTGTATTAATAGCTTGTCTATTTTTATCCCTGTTTATAGGGGAAAGCATACAAAAGATGTTGGCCAACTTACCTGCAAAAAGAGCTACCAGAAAAGTGTTGCAAGACAATACATTGAAGACACAGGGTAGACTACGTACTGTAAGTATTAAATATCACTTAAACAATTTAATTAGCTTTGCTTTAAATTGTCAGTTTTAGTGTCTTTGTGTTTCAATGTGAAATAACACCAAAATTATCATCCAAGTGCTATATTGATACTAAGAATTAACTAATATAAATAATGAAATAATATAATATATACTAAAAAAAATTTCCTTAAAACAATTACATAAGAAATAACATTTTATTAATTCTATTCTACATTAATTCTATTAAATTCTAAGATACTTAGAATTATTTTTTATTTCTTCTCATTCTGATTCCAAATTCATATTATATTTAATATTACAATTTAATTATAAAAGAATATCATATCTAACTACATGATACATGAAATATCACAAAAAATAATGTTTTATCCACAACTTTTAATTTTAAGTTGCAAACTTGTACCATTTTTCTCATTCAAAAAATTTCCAAATACAAGTCAATACATCTATATAATAATGTCAAGAACATAGAAACAGAATATTCACCGATTTAGAAAATTATTATTATGTAGACAGATTTTTTAAGAGCCAGAAAGAAATTTATAAAAATACTACCAGTTGAGATATATATATATATATATACACTCAATGCCAATGAAGTGCATCTAAAACATGCACGACATTTGGCGGTTGATTGAAATTAGACGAACGAGCAAACAGTTCGGTTAGTGAATGACCTGGATCCTAGCTATGTACGAAAAAGATGAAACTCGATAATGACAAGGCAATAACACAGACCGGCTCCGGCTGGACGACACAGATATAAGTGGAGTATTGATTATACAACACAGCTGTCCGCACGTGCACATATGTCCAATTCTTGGAGTACTTAGAGTGGATCACAGATACACCCATAGAAAGGATATATGTAATCACGGTGTATATGAGATAGTTTTTACTCCGATTCCAATTGATTCGTGGAAAATTAGAAAATCATTCGAATCGATCTTTTTACCTGAAGATAAATATTTTAAATTTATTACCTCGAGAGTTTTATCTTTAGCTTAAGGCTGTTATTGGTGATATAAGATGCTTTTTGATCCTTTGATCGATCCATTGATTTCTCTAAGTTTTGATATAAACATTTGAATGTTTGAACTGGCTCGAATCGAAAAATCAGGAAATTTAGAAATTTTAGATGGTTTTTTCTACTTTCTTGTAAGAATATTTTTGAGAATAATAGTAATTTTCCAGAATTTTTACCTTCAAATATATTTTTTGGGTATCTTTCTAATTTTTTGGATTAAAAAATTTCATTTCTTCTTCTCCAAAAAAAAAGCAATCCCAGATTACATTGCTCAATGATATTTCGCACTTAAACTCAAGATTAGAAATTTTTTTACGAACGATATAAACAAAAATCATCTCACAAAATTATAAAAAAAAAGATTAAAATCTTCTCTTGTATAAAATTACACACAAATTATATTTCTTATAGACTAAATAGTCACCAGAATGACCAGAGAAGTTCACCTCTAAGTAACTCTCTAGTTTCCACTAAAAACTTCTTCAGCCAAAGAACACACACATGTATACACACAAAAAAAAGATTAAAATCTTCTCTCTTATAAAATTACAAATTGTATTTCTTATGTAAGACTAAATAGTCACCAGAATGACCAGAGAGATTCACCTATAATTATCAAAGAACACACACATGTATACACACAAAAAAAAAATCAAAATCTTCTTTCTTATAAAATTACAAATTATATTTTTTATATAAGACTAAATAGTCACTAGAATGACCAGAGAGGTTCACCTATAATTAACACCTCTAGATAACTCTCTAGTTTCCACCAAAAACTTCCTCAGCCAAAAAACGTACACATATATACATATAAAAAAATCTTCTCTCTTATAAAATTACAAATTAGAGTCACCTCTAGGTAACTCTCTAGTTTCTACCAAAAAATTCTACAGTCAAATTTCCTCAGCCAAAGAACGCACACATGTATATACACAAAAAAAAAGATCAAAATCTTCTCTCTTATAAAATTACACACAAATTGTATTTCTTATATAAGACTAAATAGTCACCAAAGTCACCAGAGAGATTCACCTATAATTAACACCTCTAGATAACTCTCTAGTTTCCACCAAAAACTTCCTCAGCCAAAGAACGCACACATGTATACACACACACTCAAACACAGTACCACGAAGGTTTTACCTGTCTGTACAGGCGCAAACCGGGAGAACGAGGCCGCGAATGGTCGGCGATAATTCAACCGCTTCCCGTATGTCCCGGAACAAGGCCGTCCTGAGGAACAAGCTGCTGAAGAACGCCAAGTCGATCCAACGGAATCGTTGCCGGATCGACAACATATCGGCCGTCATCGAGAGCGTGGTGAGAAATTACACGCCTCGCGACGAGAGGAGGTCGGGCGACAAGTTGGAGGATGTCGGGGGGGAGGGAGGAGGGGTCACCGTCGATAGAAAAGAAACCAAAGAGAGGGATCCCATCGCGTTGGATGCGTGCACCAACGTTATTGTTCCGGACGAGACGAGGGGCGGCAGAGGTAATAAAGTGGCGAGGGGGCCGAGGGTGTTGGGCAAGAGAAGGAACGTGAGGGCGAAACTGAGCGCTTTGGATCAAGCTAAGAGGACTGGCAACGCCTTCAAGGCGTCCAAATCGTCGTCCAGAGCCGCCTCCTCGAGGAATCTCACCTCGGAAACGAAGGGAGAGCCGGGTTTCGAGGCCGCGAAACCGACCTCCTCCTCGAAAACCAAATTCTCTCCCCTCCCTGGGGGGCTGGAGAACGAGATCTCGGAGTTGGCCGACACAGAGGTTGATCCAGGCGAGAAGTCGAAATCTCCTAGCCCATCTATTAAAGGAAAACCTTCCTCTTCCTCCTCCTCCTCTTCCTCCTCCTCCTCCTCCTCCTCCTCCTCCTCCTCCTCGTCTTCATCCGTTCAGACCACGCCTAAAAGGAAACGGCCGGTGGATCCTGTTGCTTCGTTGAACGCCTCCATCAAAGCCAAGTCCCAGCTGAGGACCCAGGATGGGAAATTCGCGAGGAATCCCAACAAGGAGTTCCTGTCCCCCGTTCACAAACCACCCGGTGAGATGAGGTGTCCCGTTTCCGGCCGGTTGACGGCGAAGCTGAGGAACGGCGAGGCAGGGGGAGGAGGGGGGCAGCAGGAGTCGTCCGTCACGAGGTCGAAATTGAGGGAGATGTTCAAGAGCGGCAAGGATGGCAACGAGCAACAGGTGGCGGCGCCGAAGAGGATCACGAGGCTCTCCTCCGACAGCGACAAGATGCCCACGTTGGAGCCCGCCGTCCTCCAAGCGTCCTCCAACTCGTCCAACTTGGAGGAGTACTCGGAGGCGTCGGCCAACGTGGATCTACCGATCCTGTCCCCGGCCACAGCCACCTCAGGCCAGGAGAAAGTAAGCCTGCCGCGTGGCAAGGGTGCGATTGTCGGCAGGAACTTGGGCGGAGGGAGAAGCTCGGAGGCGGAAGGCGAGAGAATGGAGATTGAAGGGAGAGGCAGGGAGCGCGAGGTGGAAGAATCGGAGAGGGATGAAAAATCGGTAAAGGGGAGGAGGGCGAGGGGGGAGAGCGCGAGAAATTTGGACGTTTCGAGGGAGGAAGGGAGAGTTAAGGAGAAATTGAAGAGGAGAAGCGCCCCGGCAAGGATAATACTACAGGAGGAGAGGAGAGGTGAGAAGAAGAGTGGGGAAGAGGCGAGGAGGGAAGCGAAACAGAGGAAGGAGGAGGGGAAATTGGAAACGAGAGGCAGCAAGACGAAATTGGAGAGAGCGTTGGTCGTGGTGGATGACAGCCCGTTAAAGATTCAGAGCGTCCCTTTCGAGGTGAAGAAGTTGATAGGGTCGGACAGTAAGGAGGACCTGTTGACGAAGTTGGCGTTGACGTCGAGGATCGCCACCTCGAAACGTTGCCTCAGACAGCCCGTAAAATTCAAATTCGAGCAGGAGAGAGGTAAATTTCGCAGGGATTTGGATTTGGAAGGGGCCCAACTTGATTCGGGATCCGTCTCGGACGCTTCCACGAAGAAGGAGAAGTTGGACGCCAGGAGGAAGTCGTTGAGGAAAACGGAGAAGAAGGAGAGGATTATTGGGTCTAAGGATGAGAAAGCGTTGGAGGACGGTTGTAACGGGATGAGGGAGGGGGCGGTGAACGAGGCGAGAACGGCGGTCAGGGGGCGAAGGAGCAGCAGTCTGTCGAACGAGGGTAAATCATCCTGTCAAATGTCCGACTGTCAAAACAAGTCGGAGCTCGAAACGGTGGACAAGAGGCAAACTAGGGGCTCGTTGTTGAATTCCTCCGAGGGTGAAGTCCAAAATCACGAGCTCGTGGACGTCGGCGGGTCGACGAAGAGGAACAGTTTTGGAAAAAGGCGAGGTAGAATTAAATCCGTGAGCAATCTGGAAATGATCGATAAAAAGAGCATCGAGGCGTCAAAGAACGTGGTGGCGGTGGTGGTGGAAACTGGCAAGAGTGATTCGGCCGAGGTTATCGATAAAGTTAATTCGGTGGAGCAGAACGAGGTAAACACTGATTGCAAAAAGGATGTCGCGAGCGGGGAGATTAAGGTAGCGAGGAGCAAGGAAGAAGGGAACGAGAAAGCGTTGTCCAACTGTTGCGAGAGGGAGGAATCGAAAGAAATTAGTAATTTTTCAGGGAACGGTGAGGCAATCAAGGTGAATGAGAATTTAAATTTACAATTGGAAACGAGCAACTCCATGGACAGTGGTAAGGAGAACGCGTTGGAAAAGCCTGCACCCGTTCAAAAGTTGAAAGTTGGCAGGCCCAGGAAATCGTGGGGGGTCAAGAAAGAGAGAGTTTCGAAAAGATCTTTGAACAACGTAATTGGCATTCTTACAGAAGGAATGAACATCCCGGCAGAGGCTCAACAAAATGTTTTAAACGCGCAAACAACCGTGGACAACGTGGAATCTAACGTGGAATCTTTTCAAAACAACGTTCAACAATCCAGCGATGAAACCTCGATCAAGTCGCAAAATTTGGATAGAAATGTTAAATCATCGAGAAACACCGTTCAAGAGTCGATGAATAATTTCGATCAATTGATCGAGAGTACGTCTCCCGTTCAGAAGGTTGCCGCGGAAAATTTGAAGCGGGATCCCGAGGTTCCAGAAACTTCCATCAAGGATTCGAACTTGGAACTTAAATCAATGGAGAACAATCGAAAAGTGGAATCGTTCACCAAAGATGCGACTGGGGAACAACCAATGTCCCCAACCAACGATATCATTTTGGATTTGTCGAGGAGGAAGCAGAAGGGTAAAGGGTCGTTCTTAGAGAGAATAGTTTCGAAGATAGCCAAACAGAAAGATGCTTTGCTCGAGGGTGAGGTTGGCTCTCTATTGGACACCGCTGCTGACGAACTCACCAGCATATTGGAGGAAGTAGGGCCTGCTTTCACAGAGGTCGGTATCGACAATTCAGCTGAACCGAAAGTTAAAAGTAAAACACAGGAGATTCAAGTTCGAGATAACAACAAGCAACGAGAAATTATCAAAGAATCGACTAATGAGAATATTTTAACACCCGATACTTGTGATAAGAATTTGTGTGAAAACGATGATTCTGGTGTTGATGAAACTGAACTGAAAGGGAGGGCAAACTCGATGGAGGAGGAACGCGTTAAAAAATTAGAGACCAACGTTTGTGACGTAGAAGATGGATTTACGAATGCTTGCAAGAAAGAAGAAATTGCTGATAAACGGATAGAAACGAAATTGCGAGAAGAGAAACAAGACACGAGAAACGAGACATGTTCGGGCGAGAAAGTGACACGCCATAATGAAATCGTCGTACATTCTGATGAAAGTGAAATTCGATTATCCGTTGCCGAGAACGTTGGTTTGGATTCTCTGCAAGAAGTGGAAAGTTCTTCCGTGGAGAATTTGTCGAGGCCGGGAGAAGAATCGATGAACGAAGAGGTGGGCGAAGAGACAAGGATGAAAAGGAGGTCGAAAAAGAGGGGATTGGAGAGGAAATCGGCAAAGAAGAACAAAAGAAAGTCCGTTGAGTCGGCAGGTAATAATACAGAGGAGAATTTAATTTCCGAGAATTTGCATTTGACCAATGACGTGGCGAGATCAATTGAGAAATCAAAGCAAGTGCCTTCTACCAAAGAAAACATTAAAAACGACTTATCTACTGAAATTAACGAAAATAGAATAGAATGTTACGCGAAGGAAACTGACGCATCCGAAACAACGGATTCGATGGACAAAAAGGATATACTGGAAAATTTTTGTGAAAATAATAAGAATTCCGAAGACGATTTAGAAGAACACGTAGCCACAAATGAAGAAGAATCCGTTGCCAGTGTTGTGACGAGAAATGAGGAGAAGAAATCGCACGTGGAAACGTTGGATCTGTACTCGAAAGTCGAATTGTCAACGAGAAGATCTTCCAAGAAACCTCCTCATGAGGAAGGAAAAACGAATGAATTTATCGATGGAAAAACAGAATTGGAATCAATTGATCCTCCCGCAGAGGAAGTATCGTCGGAGAACGCGACCAGAGGATCGAGGAGAAGGTCTTTCAGAACGAAATCTACGATTCAATCTCGAGACGAGGAGAGAAGCGAACAGGGAACTGAAACCCCCGAGACCCCTGCACCAACCGTTGAAGAAAATCCCGAAGTGCCTTCGGAAGAGCCGTCTAAAAATCTTGAGATCACGAGAAACGAAGTTCCAAATATCGAAACGACAACGTTCTCAAACACCTCATTGGAAGCGCCAATAATAACGAATCGAGATAGAGATGGGACGGGTGAAGAGGGCAAAGTTGTACAAAATCGATCGGTCTGCGAAGAAACCGACGTGCCGGTTGTCAAAGTGCCAAAGAAGCGTGGTAGGAAAAAGAAATGTTTGACGATTGACAAATCCCAAGAGAGTACAAAAGATTCGAAATCGTTCGAATCGGTAAACCAACTTCCTAGAAGATCTTTGAGAACGAACAGAGCGTTGGTGAGCTTTGAGGAGGGCGAGGATCGGAGCAGCAAGAATTCCGGCAACAACGATCTACGGATCGCTACAGATCTACGTGTGACTCCAGGGCCGAGTCTAGAAACGTTCAAGGTTCCAGAGGTGACGGAGATGTTGCAACACACGAAGAAGAGAACGTACAAAAGAAGATCGGCCGTTGACGAGGGCCAGCCGGATAATCAGAGTAATTCCCAGCCGGAAGTCGAAACGAGTGGCGTGGAGTGCCAAGCAGAGGTAAGCAAGATGGAGAAGGAGGAAGAATCAGGATCCCCGGAAGATGGAAAACTCGCCTCGGTCTCGGAACAATCCGATCCAGAGAAATCGAACTGGACGCCCGTTGACCCGATTCAGACAGGTAAAACTAGGTCGTCGAAGAGGAAGCAACTATCCACGGAGGACTTGTCCGGCCAGGAGGTGCGATCGAATTCCGTGCAAGCCGGGAGCGCGGAAAATTTGTCAGAGGCGTCTTGTACGAGCGATTTCAGTTATTTGAGAAGGAAACGTTTCTCGAAGAAGAGGAAGGAGTTGCGTTCGGAAGAAGTGCAGACCGACACCTCTATCACCGACTCGGAATCGGAAAGGAACACGGACAGGAGGCAGAGTTTGAAGAGGAGGGCCAAGAAGAATATATCGTTCTTCGCGGAATTCTACTTGATGGACGATTTCGACATTCCAATGGATATACAGGATTGCGTGAGGCGAGACGAGAGGAAGAAGGATGATGAAGAAGGCGATCGAGAATCGTTAGAGTCTGGATCTAAACGCGAGGATAGAGCGGGGGATAAATCATCGATGGAGGGAATCGAGCGTTCGAACGAAATGGCGGAAGGCGAAAAATCGGGAGACGAGGTTCCTGCGAAGGAAGGGAACGCGATGGAGGACTCTGATAGGTTGATCGTTGAGGATGAAGAAGACGGGGAGGAGGAGGAGGAGGAGGAGGGGGAGGAGGAAGGGGAGGAGGAGGGGGACGAAGAAGAGGAGGAGGCGAAGGAGGATGGGGAGAAAATGGAGGACGAGAGGTTGGTGAACAGCAGGACGGAGGATGATTTCCAGACGCCGAAGAAGAGAGGGGCTGGTAATTACGTGGTTGTCCACAAGAAGACGGGTGAGATACTGATCGTGGAGAAGAGGAAGAAGCTGACGAAGGAGGCTGCCAAGTTCTTCTGCAATGTTTGCACAACTAGTTTCACGAGGAAGAGCTCTCTGAAGAAGCACAACCAGTCTCAGTCTCATTTATCGCAAAAGTCGAAAAAGGATAAAACGTTCTCCGCGGAGAATGGAAGCGAAAATGCAGACGATCCTTGCGCACACACTGGTCACAATGATACTTCGAGCGATGAAAATAGAAGCGTGACCGACGAATCATCGGTAAATGTTTCTTCGAAGGAGGACGATGCTGAAAAAGTGGTGGTTCACGGTGCAAATTCCATCGTTGATGACCGGATGGAATTGGATCATACGAATTCAATCTGCTTCGCCGATCCCTTGGAACAGGATTCCTTGACCACCTCTCAACCCCATCATCAACGCATACTCGAAGACGAACTTTTGGACGAGGAAATCTGTAAGATCACCGAGAACATGAGCCACGACGAGTACGTTATCATGGATCAAATCAGCCCTGAATCCACGTCAACCCCTATAAAAATGGAAGCCAAAAACGTGGAGGAAATTGGCAAGAAGAGGAAGTACGAAAAGAGGAAGGAGAAGGCGAGGGAAAGGAGTCCAATCGAGGGGCAAATCATTTTGGATAGGCCTGTATCGGAGAACCCTAAGGAAAATTCATCGTTGGCGCGCGTACTAGATGCAAGCATGTCCATCAAAATTGTAAATTCTTCGCATTTTGACGCGACAGAGTCATCCGACGTTGCAAATATATTGGAGGATCCGCTCAAGAATCCTGTTGGGAACAATATGGAATTAGCAGGAGGAAGTGTTTCAAGGATGGAAAAGAACGATGATTTTCAGGAACGGTGTTTGGATTGCGCTCGAAAATTGGAAGAGAGGCAGGAGGATGTGGGAACAGGGGACCCACCAATGAACAGAGAAATGGCGAGTGAAATGGCGAATGTTGTATATACGAGTATAAATTATAAATTAGATACCAACGATAAGACTGAGAATTTTTCAAATGTTAGGTTAGACGATAGAGACGAAAAGGATCAGCCGTGCGAGCGTGTAAGTTTAAAGTTGACCATAAATAAACGAAGTATAGAAGCTTGCAAAGAAATCGATTCTGAGAGCAGCAACAGCTTCAAGTTGAATTACTTGAACACGTTTGATACCGATCTCGACGACGTTGTTAATAGCAATTCGAAGAAAAATTATGAAAATAACGCGTTGGAGATTGAGCCGAACAACGAATCCGATAATTCGAAAACCGAAGTTGGCGGTGAATTTGATCAAAACTCGAGCCCTGGCTTGTCCAAAAGTTTCAAGACGATGGACGATGGAAAGAAGAATTTGGGGAATAATCCTGAACTGGACGGCAACGGTTTCGAGGAAGAAAGCACAACGATGAATCGTGAATCGTTCCTAAGAGACGACGAACAGAACGAACCCGAGAGAACGCCACGACACGGGAGATCGAAGAAAGGTAGACCCAGGAAACACGCGCAGGAGGCGGAAAACGGGTCGAAAACGGAGTCTAAATCTAAAACCTCTGCCAAATCTAAAATTAATCAAAATAAATTCGACGATATCTCAAGTGACAAAAACCCGATCGAATCTTCGAAAACTTTCGACACCGATGAAAGGTTCAGGTGTTGGACATCCTCGTCGAAATCGGATGAAGATAACGCATTAAAGAACGACGATAAATACGAACCTGATAGAATTGCGGCGAAAATCGAATCATCTAAACCTGAATCACTGGGTGAAGAAAGTACTTCCGAAGGGAAGAAGAAGTCGACGAGGGAGGACGATCGAATCGAATCTTTCCGTTCCGTGGACGACTACGACGAGGCTTCGTCTTCGTCCAGCCTCGCCGACAAACCGTTGTCGCAAGTCTTGTTGGAAAGAGAAGGGAGATTAGAAATGTACAAGAGACGGGGATCTCTCCGCGTAAACATTCCGCAACATTCTGAAACGAGATCGAAAGAGGGATCGCAAGTCGGGGATATTGACACTGGTGAAACGAACGAACGTGATATCGATGATAATTCATTGGACGAGTTGAGCGAGAATCGAAAAGATGGTAAAAAGAGGTCGACGAATAACGACGAGTTCCTGGGGATCGCGTCGGACGAGGAAGCTGAAAGAACGTTGAAAGATTCCGATAAGGATTCGAGAAGTTCGTCGGAATCGGAAAACGAAGGGAATTCGTCGATGGAAAACGATAAAGAGGTGTACGAAGGGAAAGTGACGAGTCGGAAATCGGGCATCGATCGTGAAAATTCGAGCAAAAAGGCGCCAAGGAGTCGCAAATATTCGAACAATCAGAAGGGATCGAGAGGGAGGAGATGTTGCGTAAGGAGTAAGATAAATAGCGATCTTAATAGCGAAAGCGACGAGAGCGAGGTCGAGGATAAGATCGAGTCGCAGAACAAGAGCAAAATAGTGAAAAGCGTGTTTGGCAGAGTGTTTGGCAGCGGTGAAAAGCCAGACAAAGTGAAGGAAGTGTTGAACGATTGGGTGTCCAAATCGGAGGATGACTCGGATCTCTCGAGGACAGGTTTTAGATTCTCTAACGAAGCTAAGAGCAAAGAGTCCTCCAGCGACAAAAAAAGGCACACATCGTTTACCCCTTCTAGTTCTCCCAGCAAGCGTTCTGGGAAAAAGTTGAAAAAAAGTTCTTCCTCGGCGGAGAGAGGCAAAGAGACAAGTCTGACACTGGAAGAAGAAGAGGAGGAGGAGGAGGAGGAGGAGGAGGAGGAGGAAGAGGAGGAGGAGGAAGAAGAAGATCAAATGGAGCATCGTTCTTCCAGAAAGCATTCGAAATCGAAGAACAACTCCGGTAACAGGAGGAAGCACGATGTAGATTACTTCTTGTCTTTACCATCTACCAAATGCAGACAAAGTAAGAAGAGGGCTGAAGAATTAATTTCGAGAACTTTCGAGGACGATTACCTGGATTTGATTGGCAAAAGCCAAAGATCGTTGAAATACAAGGAACCGAATTATGGATTGAGGAATCAAGGCAAGCCTGACTTGTTGATCAAGGACAGTGGCTACGGGTCCTTCAACTATGATGAGGATTCCTCCAAAATGGTCGCTTTGGAAGAGTCTGTAGAAGATGATCAGAAGGCCAAAAGAAGGAAATTATCATGTTCCAGGAAGAGTAAAGGCAAGGGTGAAGAAGAAGGTTGGAGGGATCTGACGAATGATAGGAGAAGTTTGGAGAATACCAAGGATTTAGACGAAGACAAGGAAGACAATTTCGTCAAGGATTTCCCTGAGGCAGAACCACCTCTGGCTGGAGGTAGACTATCAGTTGACCTAGATTCTTCTCGTAGTTGTAGCAGTCTGGCGCCCAGTAGCGTGAGGAATAGATCCCCGAGTATGGACAGAAACTCTCAAACCACTAGAAACTCTGATATGAACGACGAAGAAGATGAGAATATCGCCCACAGACGAATATCTCCTTTCTTCGTCTGCGGGACACCTAGAAGTTCCGTGGAGAGTAGCTCGAACAGTGAAAACGAAGAACAAGATGAGACATTAATCGTTAACCAGGTTGCAACTAGAAAGAGAAGTTCAAGCGAGTTTTCTAGCGAGAAGATTGTGATCAGATCGCCTTCTTCGATCCACAAGAGCGAGGTCGTCACTATAGCACCCACCGACGCCATAGAAGACAACGCTTTGGATGTTCCACAGGAGATAGAGGTGGCGAAGCCTAGACAGGGCAAGGTATTGAATTTTGACGAGGAACTGTTTGTCGAGTGTTGCTCCAGATTGAAAGCCACCACTGAAAACGAACTCAGAGGCGCTAAGAAGATCAAGCTTGATCACAATGAAGGTTATCATAAGAAGGATGATCAGCATCAAGGATTCAGAGGGCCTAAGGATCGATGGAGGGACGTGGAGAGTCAGAACAGTTTGGGAAGTCTATTGGAATCGGTAAATCAGGTGAGTATTTGATCTGAGAATGATTTAATTTTTGCATCCTTGTTAGAATATTTGTTTTATGGTGAAAAACTTATTTTGATACAAAGAATATTAAATAAATTATAAAAATGTGTTTTATAAATTAACAAATGTTTTAATATTATATTTCCTTTTCTTATATTATATATGTCATTTTTTACACATCTTTGCATGATTCTTTTCACATTTTTTTTTTCTTTTTTATAAATTTCTCTTGTCAGCAATGTTGATCAAAAATGAGGTTGATTATGTATCTATCAATCAGCAAATATTTAAAAGATTAATTTAAAAATTTAATAAAATATTTCAAAACCAAATTTGAAATAGCTAGGTAAGTTAACAGCATATTTTTTAATATTTAAATATATAATTTTTATTCTTCGAATTGCAAAACTCTTTTAATGTATCACATCGCAACAATTCTACACTTTGCATGCAAAACTTTTTTTCTTTTTTCAAATTATTTGCTATTTCGCTTAACTATCTTATAATACGTGTTATATGTTCTAGCTAAAAAACAACTTTCAATTCACATCTGCAATTTTCATTTTCTTTTATAGATACTTATAGAATTTTTATCTGTAAGGGTGTTTCTTAAAAAATATATATATATATATATAATAATAATAATAATTTCAATAAGAGAATAAAAATACAAACTTTTCTAATTATTTTTTTCTTTAAATTCGAAAAACAAAGTCACATAATTAATAAATAATACATTAATTTATACACACTATCTATCAATTGAATATTGGATATCAAGTTTTTTTTCTATTAATCTTATATTTTACGTTACATTTGATTAAACAATGATTCAATTATTCCAGAAATAAAGTTTCAATAATAAAATGAATTACACCCTTACATAGAATTCCAAGAAAGAAAATATTCTATACATTATTGTGGTAATGTTTGCAGGACCTATGAACCAGCTTTATACAGACAATGTCTCTCAGTATGCATGCAAAAGGTAGTTCTCTCATTCCTTTGATATTTCTTAGTGTGTATGGTAGTCATGAAACCTATTCCTTCAAAAACTGTCTTTTAATGTCTAAAAAAAAAAAAAAAAAATGCAAGTAAATGATAACAAGCATTACTAAATGATTCTTTTCACTCTGCAAATCTTTATTTTCTCTTCTCAAATGCTTCACATCTTTTACAAAACTATACTGTCTTATGAAAAACAAAATAATAAACCTTTAATTTTTCTTTAATACAAAAAAAAAAAAAGATTCTGCTAATTATTAACACAATCCACTTATATAATATAGATTATATATGCACAAGAACATAAAATTTCTTACTCATCCAAAAAAAATCACATTTAAAAAAGGCTTCTCTCTTACCTTAGGTAAATAAAATTTAATATTACTGATCAACAGTTTCCACCCTGTGAAACTATTTTAAGCTATTGTAGATACTTGCATTCTGCTTGCTGTAAAGTGGCCCATTTCACAATCCAAAATAGCATCTTTATTACTACTCTAGATGACCATTGTTCTAGATAATATCACCAAAATACTTTTGATTTTGGTTGGTCCCAATTCGATTTGCATTACTCTCAAATGAGCACTTTGCAGAAAGCAAAAAATTATTATTATTATGGGTACGAAAAGAGTATCCATCGAGAAACCATCGACCAATCAAATCGTTATTCACTATTCAATCTGATCCGTTTCCAGTTACTGGGCGAAGAGATGTACAGCACCAGAGAAAGGGATTACCAAAAGCATGGCAGTAGAAATCTAAGGAGTGAGCACTCCAGCAGATCAGCCAGTCCTGACATGGCCAGAGCAGATAATCTGGGCTACGAAGACAGTCTGGACGTTGCATTCGAGCACAACAACAAGCTCAGAGACAAAATTCAACAGCGCATGAGAGAGAGCGAGAATCTGATAGCCAGCACGTTTGGCCAGAAGAGCAATAACGAGTTGATACGGGGTGAACGAGGCTTTTCTAAGAAGAATGAATTGGCTATCACGAAAAATTCGTATTCTACTAGTCTGCAAGATCAAGGACACATGACTGGTTCGAATCTGTCGGATGGAGACTACAATCCTTTGCACAGTAGAGACCCGCAAGAGGAGCACAACGATAGAAAAATGAATGTGGAATCATCAGGGCTCAAGGGTAAAATGAACTCCTCATTAGGTGGTTTACTGGACAAAGCATTATCTAACTTATGGCACAGCAATGAAAAACATGATCACAAGTGAGTAATTTTTAATGCTAATAGAAAATAAAAAATTCTATTGTATTGAATGATATTTTTGAAAATTGAAATACGTTATAATGAATCAAATTGCCATTATAATGGTGGTTAAAATTTTTTAAATTTTTTAAATTTAATATGTTGCAACAATTCCATTTTTTTAATTGATATTGTTGTTGGCATTAAATTTTTACAACAAATTTAAGCCAACCTCACAATCATTTTATACAAAAAAGCGATTTCAGAGAATGTCAAATGATGACAAATCGTTTGTTATCAAATCAAGTGTCTCTTACTATGTTCTATCTCTTCCAAAAAAAAATTGCAATTCATACAGTATATCGAATATCAAAATTTTTTATTTTCACACCTGTTGATTGCACTCTTGAAATACTGCAGTATATAAAATTCTTTGAAAAATTCATTGAAAAATTATTTTAAACGAAACATTCTATAATTGATTTCTCGAGATTCATAATAGAATCGAAGAAAGTTAAAATTTTTTTTCTTCTTATCGAAAATGGATAGAATAAAATATTAATATTAATTTTAATGTTAATGTTAATATATCTTATATATCTTATATATCATATTAATATATTAATATTTTCATCAAATTCATTATACAATACTATTTTCCTCTTGTAAAATTAATTTTCATTTATCATCAAAAGATTATTTCCTTGCCTTCTTGCTTACTTCGAAGTTATTCCAATTGTCTTTTATTTAATGAATCATTAATACTTTGCAAATGCAAAGTTCTTTTAATTACAATGAATATTTGAATATAATTGAATTTTCATTTCATTATTCAATAATACGTGCTATACCAAAGAAAATATATTAAAATCCTCATTCATAAACATAAAATTAGAAATTAAAATTAAATAATATAATTTACCTCAATGAATTAAAATAAAATTTTAAATTAAAATATTATGGCCTATATTTCAAAATAATATACTTTAAAATTCTATGTTTTTCTTTCAACACAATCTGCATAAATCTAATTCGTGGAATGTTAAAAAGCATCAAGTGTCTTCAATGAATATCAAAATAATATTATATCTGTAAATAACAAGACGTTGGTATCTTGTTGAATTTCCTCTTCGTTATGTATCGATCTGATCCCGTCATTCCACCCACTCACGACAAGGTATCTTCATATAACAGAGGTGGAAATATATATTCTGATGTTCGTTATTTGGCTAAACAATAATTCAAAGTCGATGGAAACTCTTGTTGCAAGAGCATTTCTCTTACCAACTTGGCTCAGCAGCCATTCCCTGATTTGGAACAGGAAACGTAGAAGAATAAATATGCTTCAGGTGGTTGTAAATCTATTACCATGTAGTGGCTATGTTGATATATGATTCTTATACGTAATAAAGTCAGATTGGATTTAGAAGTAGAATTTCTGCCATTAAAATTTTTATATATCTATTTTCTTACTTTATAAATATAAATATAATACCCAATTGGAATATTAAAATAATTAATAAAAATTTGAAGTAAAGAAAATAGAAAAACATCAAAAATGTCATCATAACATTATTGAGACTGAATTTAAAAATTTAAAAAATACTGAATTTATTGTAAATTAATTATTTTTTTAATTTATTTTTTTAATTTTCCATAAATGATAATGATAAAAAAAGATAGAATAGTTAAAAAAAAATATCGAAAAATAATGTAATCTTTAGTAAATTACATGCTACCCTATTAATTTTCAATTATTTTCAATTTAATATTCAAAACAAAATTATTCTATCCACAGTGGATCCACGCCAATGAAGGTTTTAGCCGAACTAGCATGTGCTCGTGCCCCAACATCCACAGCTGAGGATCCAGCTTCCAAAGAAGTGATTCAACCTACGAAGATTTCTTTGACCAAGGATTCAGTTCCTGAACCAAACCCTATAACCATGTCCAAAGATTTACAGAAGAAATCTAGGAATCCTATCAAAGAACTTTTCGAGAGGAAAAAAGAAATGAACGAGAGGAAACAACAAGAGAAGTCAAAAACAGATGCAGCTCTTCGAGAAATAAATATACACAAACAACGCAAAGCCAAAAAGACAAAAAAACATCAAGATTTTCCTTTGATCCGCCGTAATGAACACGGAGGTCTGGTTGAAAGGAAAAAACGTCGTGATGGATTTGAGAGGAAAGAAGAATTTGTCTCGGATAAGATCAAGGATATTTATGAATTTGACGAGGAGGAAAGTCAAATAGAAACTAATCTGGGTAGTGTTATGTCTTACAGAAGTAAGCCAGGATATGAAATAAACTGTTTGAAAACCAAAGAAATAGATATGACTGGCTTAATGTCCAAGACTATCGGAGATAATCTAGAAAATGCAAAAACTGATGATGCTTTAAATGACAGATTAGAATCTGTGATTGATAAAAAGTTCAAGAAACTGGAAAAGTTTGCTCCAAAAACGAAGGGCGCTTTGAAATCTTTCCAGAGTGAGGATCAACAACAACAGATTACTGGACCTATGGATGAATTTGTAGAAAGAAAGCAATCAAAAGGTAAAAGATCTGTAGAGCAATCTCTGAAACATTCGAAATTGAAGAAACGTAACAAAAATTCTAAAAAAAAGACTAGGAATGCATGGTACGAAAATGATAGCTCTGATGAATACAGAACTGCTATAAAAGCTGAAGATATTGGTGTAGGTATTTCAAAGAGTCAAAGAACATGTTCGAAAGGGAAACAAAATATTTTTGCAGAATTATACACTTCATCTGAAAGTGAATTTGAAGACGAGGAAACGGACTATGAATCGAGAAAACAGAGAAGAGTGAAAAAGAGCAATAAGAAAATAACTGAATTAGAAAATGTGGAACAAAGTCAGGAATCGATTAATAAATATCAAATCTCTTCCGAAGACGAAGATCATGTTGATAATTGGAGGGATGAAAATTCGAAGAATGATATCTCTAAGCATGATTGTGATAACAAAAAATCTGAATCAGAAATGTCAGATCATCCTTTGGTTATCGATGAGAGGAAAGATATAGATGAACAAAGGAATAGCGATGATGAAACTGAAAATCAATACGAGAGGAACTTTGAAATGGATGATCTATATAGAGAAGACAGTTCCGTTGTTGATTCAGAAGAGGAAGATTCAGCTCCTCTCACTGAGTTATCAAAAGATCCAGAAGAATTCAGATCAAATGGTCCAAACCTATCAGAAGAAAATACTGATACTAAGAAAGATTACATACAGGAAAATGAATTGATTCCACTTGAGGAAGCCTTAGATCTTCTAGATCAAGCTGACAACGGAAATTCTGTAGGAACAAAATATGATAATGTAAACAAAACTAGTAAGTCTATTGAACACGTGAACTCAATGGTAACAACAGAACCTGAAAATGAATTTAATCCTAATAAAGAAGTAGCAAAATCTCCTGTTCCTATAGATGTACAGGAGGAAGAACCTGACAATGAACTCCTAGTCTTACCTGAAAAATTATCAAGCAATGAAAAACCGCAAAAAGAATCTGAAAATCTTCCATTACATGTATTTTTAAGTAGAAAAGTGCAAGAGTCAAAGAAGAGAAAAGAACAACAACTGAAGAAAATGCAAGAAGAACAAGAAAGAATATTAATGGATTTCCAGCCTACTAGAAGACAGAGAAAATGTGCTATTGGCAAACAAGGATTGTTGGCAGAGATTAGTAGCTCTGATGAAGAAATGAATTCAAAAGATAAAAAAGTAAATGATAAATCAGATCATGATAAACCACGAAAACAGAAGAGAGAATCAAAGGAAAAGAGGAAAGAAAGATATATAGAAAAAAAACACGAACAAATGATAGCTAAGGAACAAAAGGCTATCGAGGAGGAAATTCTGCGAGAAGTTGGAAAGAAAAAAGAGTCTCTTGCACAAAGTGTTGCAGATGCAAAGACAGATATTAATAGTACTAAGGAATCAGAGAATACGGAATCAACGGAAAATATAATAGTACAAGAATTATCACAAAAGAAAAAAACTAAGGAAAAACAAAAAAAGCAAAATAAGACAGACGAAGATTTTTATGTTAAGAATAATCATGAAGGATTGAGCGATTTAGAGAACAATTGCAATAAATTTATGTCCATAGAGAGCAATCATGAGAATGAAAATAATCAGCAAGCTCCTGTGAAGCAAAAAAAGCACTCTAAGTCTTTGACAAAGCCAAAAAAGACTTCGAAATTAGATCAAAAAATGACAACAGGTAAAAAGAACAAGAATACGAATTCTGAAAGAAGGAATAGGACAGATTCGAAAGGATCAAAGGATAAGGAACGTAGGTCTTCTAGTGGCAAACGAGATTCTGGCGATGAAGAATTGAAGACGACAAAATCTTGGAATAAAGTCGAAGAAGGAGTTGGAGTCGCTATTGGCCGACGAAAAAGAGCAGCTGCTAATCAGTTATATTATTGGTCGAGCTCCAGTGACGAAGAGGAAATGCTCGAAATAATCCCTACAGTTGAAGAGGAAGAAGATGATCGTCAAGAGCAACACGGTTGGATCGTTGGCGATTCTCATAAAAGAATGATTACGATGCTTGCTATGGAAAAGCAGCTAAAGGAGAAACGACGGAGAAGCGAGGAAGAATTTGAGTCTGGCAAAACGAAGAGTAAAAAGCATAGAAACAGCACTTCTTGATACGTGTTTCACGATTAGATTCGTGTTAAATTATTAGAATCAAACTTGAATAATAGACACTTTTGTGGCTAGATTTCTCTGACTGGAAATGTGTCGAGGAATATAGTTCCTTTTTCAATGTCAGGTTCAAAGTTATGAAATTTGAAATAAGAACTGCGATTCTTAATACATATTTTATAAATAGAATCATCTGAGGAATTAGAACAAGTGATTGAATACAAATATGTTATGTCAGACATAACAGAATTAGGTCAACTGTAATTTTTAAAGAAAGAGAAAGAGGTATATATATATATATATATAGAAAAGAAGAACAAGAAGAAAGGAGAAACATATAAACAGCAACTTTTGATACATATTTCAGGACTTAGGTTTTTCCAATTAGAAATGCTCTGAAGAGTCACATCATTCTTTTTTCTAAAAATAAAACTGGATTTCTTAATAACATACAAAATTACAGTCGAAAAAAAATGGACTTTTCTAAGGAGAAATAGTGTAACCGGATTTTTTGATACTAGTCTTAGGCTCGCGAAGATGAACAAAAATGGTTAGGTTTATTAAGGTAGCTAAAGGAACATGTTAGATAATAATGAAAATCTAAGCCAGCAATTTTTTTTCATTATAAAGACGATGAACCGAAAGAACAGTCTGTAAAATTAGATCACAAGAAAAAATATAAAAATTTATTAAATAAAAGTATAAAAATCGAAACAATTAGAGGAGACAGTATAGCGTAGAAAAATTATTATAGTTATTTGTATTTTTCTTCGTGTTTTTTTGCGAATATACAAAATTACGCGATTGTTATTGAAAATTTCTTAAAAATTATATTTTTTCTCTTTTTTCTTTTTTTTTTTTTTTTTTTTTTTAATTTTCTAGTTGGCGCTCTTAGTTTATAGAATATAGCGCTACAAATATTTATAATCAACGCTTATTTGTTCCGTCAAATACGATGGAAATAATGTGATCTACTGCCAGAAGAAATTCCGATTTCTTTCGATCATATATAATTGTTAGCAAGCAAGCGAAAACGTGAATCGAGATGTGTGTCGAGTTTTAGAATGGTATAGGTCACGTGTTGTAACCAAGTTATGTAAGAAAAAAAAAACAATGGCAACTTGTACATAGCTTGGCATTAATAATAATAATAAAAAAAAAGGCTAGTTCGTATTATATTAAGGATATAATAATTCCAAGCCCTTATAAATAATATAAATATAACCTAATTTAGACTGAATGTAAGAAAATAGCGGATATTAAAGGAAATAACAAAACGAAAAAAAAAGGATGAGCACCTTTAGACAATACTAGGGACATTTGTAATGTTTTAGTTAACATAGCGAATTTTTAGGTGACGAAAAAAGAATTAATAATTAATTAGAAAAAAAAAAAAATCGAAGAATGCAGGAAAAACGTCACAATTGATTTAATTTATGAAAAAGGACGATATAAACTGGGGTCCAATCGAGTAGCGTGCTTTTGTCAGCTTTTTGTGATTCGTACATATCGCGATAATCGATAAAAAGAAGAAACTGTCAAGCTGTTTTTTGTGACGCGGCAAATTTTTTTTTTAAATAATTCTCCGAACAGAGATTCATTTCAAAAGCGTTGCTTTAACGCAATAGTCATTGAAATTTATGTTTTCTTTATCTCGTTCGATTCATTCGAATCTTTTTCCCCCTAGATCTCATATCGCATCATCAACAATCCAATGATGATTGCCACATATTTAAGGATAAAGCTTATAACGATAAAGGAATGATAGCAACTTTCCTTTCGTATGCCTAGTTGATGCACATAATTCTAAGTACGTAGATTTTTGTATGAGTATGTATATATATTATATATATATATATATATATATAATATATATAAATATTCGGAGCAAAAAATTATATATATATAAATATGAATATAAATATGAAAAGATAATTAAATGTATAACAGAAATGATTAAAAGGAAAAAAATAATGATATAGAGTTTAATGTAAATGTACTGCCATAATCATATTATCATACAAGAGCCTATGCGAATAGATATATTAATATTATTCCTGTAAAGACGAAGAACCTGAGAAACACAGTGACAACATGATGGTTAGCACAAAGCAAAACTAGGCAACAATCCGATTGTAAATAGAGCATATTTTCAATGTGTCTGGAAAAGTATGTTTTGTAATATAAGGATTGCAAAGGAAAAATAAAATTATTAAAGAATTATTTCTTATTATTTATATTTCACAAATAAACCTGTAAACTTGTTTTACAAAAATTAATATTCCTTAAAATTATATACAAATGGAAAATAGAATTTTTATATTATTTATATTTTGCATAGGATATTTTAAAATTATAATGCATAATTAAAAATAGTGACAAAAAGTTAATAAAACTCTTCTGCTAATATATAATATTTTATAATTTAACATTTTCAAAATAACAAAAATTACATAACCTCATATTAAATTATTGCTCATTAAAACTTAAATAAATTTCAAATGAAGATATTGCTATTTAATATAATTTATATAAATTTAATTATTTTTTATGACATTTAAAAAGAATTTTAAGAGAAAATAATCTATCCTATTGGTCGATTTTAAATTCTAAATTTAAATCCCAAAAAAGCGCGGGCTCGAATCCAAGACATTCATGTCCGTGACTTTTATGCATGTAGATAAATTTTATTCTAATGAGGACAAAAAATCTTTTTAACGTGTATCAGAAATATAACTTACAATTTTCATATAATATATATATATATATATATATATAAACTTAACTATTTTAATTGTTTTAATTATTTTTAATTATTTTGCATCTTTTATTGTTGTTTCGATTATTTGATTGGTAGAATTTTGTAACTAAATCTATACTATTGGTAAAAGAAAAAGAGTTAACGCACATATATATTTTCACGCATGTGCTTTGCCAAAACAGTGTCTCCCTTTTTGCAATGTCTGCATACATTATTAGAATAGATTGAAGTATACAAAAGCATGTATTATTAACAGCATCATTTCTTTTTTCTGAATTTTAGAATTTTTACAACATAAATTTGATATATGATATACATATATCTTAAAAAATATATATATTTTAGTAATTGTTTTTCTTAACGTACTGTTCGTACTGAGTATCATACAAAATGAAACAAATTCTTTGCGGCAAAATAGGGTAAGACTGTTGAATTTTTAAAAAAAAAAATTTTTAATTTTTTAAGAAATTAAAATTGTTGTAATTTAAAATAAATTTGCATTAAATTTTATATATATTTAAACGATACGTTTTGTAACTTTTAGGTTATGTTTTAACATTTAATTTAAAATCTAATTAACTGTAAAAAAATAGAATATGTTATAATTTTTTTTTATTCGCTATTTTATTTTTTAATAAAATATTTTATTTAACTTCTATTCAATTTTTTTTTCTTTTCGGATGTTTTTAAAAAAAAGAATAATAATAAAAAGAATAAAGTTAAATAAATTATGAATATTAATTATTAAATATTTTTTTCTACAGAGACAGGATTGTGCTGATTTCAAAGACATCACGATATCCTGTACCTCTATTTAATACAAAAAATTTAACATCGGGTAGAATGAATAAAACTTGTCGACCATTATTAGCATCACCACATATACGTTATTTTGGAAATCCCAATCGTGCATATGCAATGTTTATTGGAAGAATTTTAAAAGGAGCACTGAAAGTTCGATATCTTTTATTGGGTGGAGCAGTTGGTAGTGGAGTAACTTTGCAAAAGGTATTTAAAACAATATCAGAAATATTTTAATAATTTACTTATCTATATAAATATATACTAAGTATATAAATATTTTTTATTAAAGAAATACGAACAATGGAAGGAAGTTATGCCAGACATGAGCTGGTTAGATGATATATTTCCTAATGAACAAAAATGGAAAGATATTCGCGAATCTCTTATGGTTGTTAAAAACATTTTCCCAGAAAAAATAGAATTCGGTAAGTATAAAAATTAATAAGAATATATTAAATACATGGAAACGTGAGGCAAAAAAGATTAGAGGCATAAAAAAATGGACAAACGTAAACAGATCCACGTATAAAACAACTTGGGGAAGCTAAATATAGGGAATACAAAGAATGGTTTAATCAAAGACTGGATGATGCTATCAAGGCAGCTGAAGTTAACCAAACTCAAGCAGGTCTGGATATTTCCTCTAATCGTGAGTTGAATGCAGGTTTTTTTTTTCCCCCATATTGTCATATCCAAGAAAATCCTAATTTTTAAGATATAAGCATTTTTCCATTTCTTGTTATTTTATAATTTGCCTGACGTTTTCTTGCCCAGCTTTTTGAAATGATAATCATTTATTTTGATATAATTATTTATAATTATATTTTCGATTTGTCATTCCGTTTTTTTCATTTTATCGTATTTCGTTATAAAAATTGATTATATACAGAATGTGATATATAACTTTAATCATTTTTAATATCTCTATTACTGATAATTTTAATATCGTATGGATATAAATGATAAGCATTTTTCAACAATATAAAACTCATTTTTTACCAGAAATAAAAATATTATGATTTCTTTTATCTATTATTTTTTTTATCATGCAATTTTTAGTTATATAAGTATACACATTATAATTAATTGTTATTCTATTCTACTATTACGAATGCCTTAAAATAAATTCCTTCTAATCGAAAATATCGAAGTATAGAAATTTGATTATTATTAGATTTGTATATGTAATAATTATTGTATGTAATAAATAAATTGAAAAATTTTAATTTAATCTTTGAAAATATTTAACTTAGTAATTTTATGAATGAATGAAGTTTTATTTTTTTTTATATTTTTTATTTGCAATAGCTTAGAATATGAAATCATTTCGTTCCTTTCCATTGCTTGGCTGAATGTTTTCTATGTATATATGTGTATTCAATTAGAAATATATTATTATGGTCTGTTCTGTTCAGGTATATTTGACGCAATCTCATCAATAGTATATCAACTTTATTCAGGTGTGTAAAATGTTCGGGATTTTTCGCATTTTATCGTCTGTCCATTCAGCATTTTTTTTTTTTTTTTATAAATCAATTTCGGACAATCCTCATATTCTGTAGAATAGAATTCCATTTATTTGAATATATCAAGAGAAGATCTAAAATGAGATTTTTTTATATAAATTTATATTTTTTATATAAATATTCATATATTCAGAAGCAATATAGTAATTCATATATAGTATTTATATATACTTATCATACATATATATTACAAATAATATATTAAATAATATTTAGTATAAAACTAATAAATTATGCATGTAATATGATATTAATAAAATTAATAAAGTATTAAATTAAATATTGAATTCGTTTAATTGAAGAAAATATAATTTGAAAATTATTATTATATATTTACTTTACATTTTTACATGTTTATCCATTTTTTACTTAATGTTTCATGAATTTTTTCATTTATAATCTTTTTTCTCATAAATTTATATTATTCCATTTTTTGCAATATAATGATATTCTATAAATTTAGTATTGCAATATATTATTATATATTTTTATTCAAATATATATATTTTTGTTTTTATTTTGTGAAATATGTATTTAAATTTTTGAATAATTTTTTATTTATAAAAATATTTTCTAATAAGTGGAGCTCTATTATAATAATCTTAAAATTTCACAAAATATATTTCATGGAAATAACTAAAAATATAAATATAAATACTGAATGGAACAGACCTTATTTTTTCATTTTTTTTTTTTTCTTAGAATTAGAATTATTCATTTTTGCTTTTCATTAATGCTCTATAAATCAAATAAATAATTAATTTTGTTATAACAGATTATTAATATTTAATTTCATTTAAATTATAATGTATTTCAACATTTTGCCAATTTTTAATTTTTTAAACAATATTTTAATATTTATATATTTATATTATATTATAATGTTACAATCTTAAATATAAATATCATAAATTTAATATTCAATGTTATAATATATCTTATATTTAAATAATTATTACACGAGCAAAGTATCGTCGTTACTTTATTGCAAATAGTTTTTATATATCCTATTAAAATATTTATTTAAGATATTTCTAAACAGAAACAAAGCAGCAAGTGGTGAATAATACTGTAGCATTTGCACGACCATTAGCCGATGATACTATCGAAGAGGAACGTAAGAAAGCTCGTATGTACATGTTAGTGTATTATAATTCCCTTTCTCTTCATTTCTAAAATTTATATTTGAACATATTTTCAATTCTTTTCAAAGAAAAATCACAAGAACGATTGAGTGCTATGCAAGAAGAAGTAATGCAAATACAATCTAAATATCAACGTGAATTAGAACGATTAGAGAGAGAAAATAAAGAACTTCGAAAGCAAATGCTTCTACGTGGCAATCAAAAAATGAGCAACAAGAAAATAAAGGTATTTAAATCATAAAGTTATAAAATAAATGCTTTTAAAATTATTTATGTATATTAATATTAATATTTTTTTTTTTTTTAGAAATCTTTAATTGATATGTATAGTGATGTCCTAGATGAACTCAGTGATTATGATAGTGCCTATTCAACAGCTGATCATTTACCAAGAGTGGTAGTAGTTGGTGACCAAAGTTCTGGTAAAACATCTGTGTTAGAAATGATTGCCCAAGCAAGAATATTTCCCAGGTACTGAAAATATATTAAAAAAAATCAAATTTTATTGAAATTTCTTAATTATTATAGTCTTATTACAGAGGAGGTGGTGAAATGATGACAAGAGCACCTGTCAAAGTCACTTTAAGTGAAGGTCCATATCATATAGCTCAATTTAAAGATAGTTCAAGAGAATTTGATTTGACAAAAGAGTCAGAATTAGCTGAATTAAGACGTGAAGTAGAATTACGTATGAAAAATAGTGTTAAAAACGGTAAAACTGTTAGCCAGGATGTAATTTCAATGACAGTAAAAGGACCAGGTCTTCAACGCATGGTCCTTGTTGATCTGCCTGGTATAATTAGCGTAAGCCATTATTTTGTATTTCAAAAAATTTTACTATTTCACTTATTTTGATATAATTTTTTAAGAAGTTTATAAAATTTGTATTATAGACAGTTACAGTTGACATGGCAGAAGATACACGTGAGGCTATTCGACAGATGACTCAACAATATATGAGCAATCCTAATGCCATTATTCTTTGTATCCAAGATGGTTCTGTGGATGCTGAAAGGAGTAATGTAACAGATCTTGTTGCTCAAATGGATCCTAGTGGCAAACGAACTATTTTTGTTTTAACTAAGGTATAGAGAAAAATTCGATTAAATTTAAAATAATAGAATATTAATATGACATATAATTGATAATACTTTAATATTGATAGGTAGATTTAGCAGAAGAAAATTTAGCCAATCCTGAACGTGTTCGCAAAATATTATCTGGCAAGTTATTTCCTATGAAAGCATTAGGTTATTTTGCTGTTGTTACTGGTCGAGGTAGACAAGATGATACTATACAAACAATCAAAGATTACGAAGAAAAATTCTTCAGAAATTCTAAACTTTTCAAGTACGTAATTTAGCATGAATAAATAATTATATTAGATTTATATATTTACATATAATTTTATTTTTTAATTTTATGAATAATTCTGATAACATTAGATAATTCTTAGTGATTAGGATGAATCACATCACGATATTTTCATATAAATATAACAAAAAAGTGATGAACGTTTTTCAAGAACAGTCATGATAAAAAATATTAATCATTATTAATAACTTGATTTGCTAAGAATTAAAATTGTATAATAATTTTCAAATAATTCACTTTTTTTAATTTGTGAATTCATTATTTTTTTAAGCTCTATTTTATCGAATGTGTTATGTTATATTACCTTTCAATAATATAATTGAATTAATCACTTTCAAAAATAATATAAATTTTTATGATTTTTATCAGAGATGGTTTAGTAATGTCTGGTCAAGTTACGACGAGAAATTTGAGTCTTGCAGTTGCAGAATGTTTTTGGAAGATGGTTCGTGAAACTGTAGAACAACAAGCAGATGCATTTAAAGCTACCAGATTTAATCTTGAAACGGAATGGAAAAATAATTTCCCAAGGTGAACAACCATTCAGTTTAATGGAATTTCGTATTTTAAATATTATATTATTACTTTATTATTACATAGATTAAGAGAATTGGATAGAGATGAACTTTTTGAAAAAGCAAGAGGAGAAATCTTGGATGAAATTGTAAATCTGTCTCAAGTTTCGCCTAGACACTGGGAAGAAGTGCTAATGGTCAGAATTTGGGACAAAGTTAGCATGCACGTATTTGAAAACATCTATCTACCCGCGGCTCAAAGCGGAAGTCCAAGTATATTTCACAATAATTTTATATAATTTTTACCTTATGAGTAATTACTATTATAATTACTATTATAATTACTATTATAATTATTTTTCTTTATTATATAGGCACATTTAATACTACCGTTGATATAAAACTTCGTCAATGGGCTGAACAACAATTGCCAGCTCGAAGTGTCGAAAGCGGTTGGGAATGTTTACAACAGGAATTTCAACATTTTATGAACCAAGCAAAACTCAGTCCTGATCATGATGATATTTTCGATAATTTAAAAAATGCAGTAGTCAGTGAAGCTATGAGACGACATTTTTGGGAAGAAAAAGTGAGTTCATTAAATAAATAGTTGACATAATTATAATGAAAATTATTTTGAGAAATTTATATTTAAAAATTAATATTTAAAAAAAAATAGTTTTCTTCATACATTTTTGTATTCTTCGATATTAGATTAATTTTAATTTGAAATAATTTATAACAATTAATTTAAAATAATATGAAATTATAATTTAGTTTTATTTTCTAGACTTACATATCTATTTTCAGTTCTTCAAATATTTATCTTCTTTTTCTTTCTATTTGATTGCATATGAAAAATTTTTTATTAGGCATCTGAAATGTTACGAGTTATTCAACTAAATACTTTAGAGGATAGAAGTGTAAATGATAAACGTGATTGGGATCAAGCAGTCCGTTTTCTAGAAACTTCGGTTAAAGAGAAATTGCAAGCTACAGAACAAATTTTACGAGATATGCTAGGTCCAGGTCGCAAGGAACGATGGCTGTACTGGCAAAATCAAAGTGAAGAACAACAGAAACGCGTAGCAGTGAAGAATGAATTAGATAAAATTCTCTATGCAGATAAAGTAAGTAAGAAGATATAAGTTATTTTAAATAATAATAATAAAAAAAAAAACAATTTATATACTTTTATACAGAAACATACTCCTACCCTCACTCAAGATGAACTCACAACCATTAGAAAAAATGTGCAACGAAATGGTTTGGAAATCGATAATGAATTTATTCGAGAAACATGGCATCCGGTGTACAGAAGATTTTTCTTGCAACAAAGTTTAGCTAGAGCATATGATTGTAAAAAGGGATATTATCTTTATCATACTGGACATGAAAGTGAAGTAAGTATGCATAATAATACAATGATAGAAAAATTTTTAAATTTCTTTAATTAAATAAATTTATTAAATAATCATTTTCATTTTTTAAAATTGTTATTTCTTTTTAGATGGAATGCAATGATGTTGTTTTATTTTGGAGAATTCAACAAATGCTTAAGGTTACAGCTAATGCACTTCGACAACAAATTATGAATCGAGAAGCTCGTAGATTAGATAAAGAAATAAAGGAGGTATTAGAAGATTACAGTCAAGATAGCGAAATAAAACAAAAATTATTGACTGGTAGACGTGTCACATTAGCTGAGGAATTAAGTAAGTTCATTAAAAATATATATATGTCATAATATAATTATATTAGATTTCATATTTGTATTAAATAATAATATTAATTTGATTCTATTTCTTTCACTTTAGAACGTGTCAGACAAATTCAAGAAAAATTAGAAGAATTCATTCAAGCATTAAATAAAGAAAAATGAAGAAATTTATAATCTAGAAATTTAAACTCATGCTACTGTGGTATGTAATAAGTGATAATAAGCCCTGGTGGCTGTAATGCGTGAATGCTTAGATATTAATTTATTTTTTCGTTAATTAAGCGACAATGTAGAAGACTACTAGTCAGATTTTATGAGATATGGAACTGTTATATATTTAAAAGATGTGATTTGATACATGAAATTATAGTTCGATTATTATTATGAAAATTATAGCCGATTACATGATCGTGATTTACACTATATTTTTATTTCGTTCACTAAATTTTGTTCACAAATATTTTTGTCCAAACACAAATGCAAAATATTGTTAATAGTTGCTATTAATTAATCGAAATGAACAACACGAGAAAATTTAAAAATTATTGCTTCAGAATATTGAATGGGATATACATGACACATGGAGTGTAGATATTCTTAATATGATTATAGAAAAATAATTTTCATTGCATTTTGTATATATATTTCATTTCTGCATACAGAACGAATGAAACGAACATACGTTTTGTATGGATAGATAAAGAACGAAATAAAGAAATTAAAACTAAATTTTTGGTGTCCACAAACATTATTTTAAGTAAAAGTAATCACAATATATATATATATTATTTTTTTTCATTTTTAAGATATAAGATTTTGCTTAAATTAATATCGATAACCGAAAATATTTAATGATAAAACAATTTTTTTAATATATATATCTTTTTTATAATATTGATTTTGAGTAGTTTTTTTTATTTAGTTCTCTGAAAAAGACCATTAAAATATTCAATAGAATAATTTTTTAAGTACTTATAGAATTGAAAATATGCATTTGTACAAAAGTAACTAGAGATTATTAAAATACATGTTTTATGCCTAATTTTTGTTCTCATGAGTACAATGTATTTCACGTCGAGATTTATCTCTATTTTTCGTTAATTAATAATAATAGAGATTATAATGATTTCAAATATATCACAAAGTTATAAATAACATGGTAGAAACATATTAAAAATATTATTTTCTTTTTTAATTGACGATGTAAATTGCTAGGTCAATCGGAAAACTACTTTGCGTCATTCTAAATTGATTCTTTTTAAAAATCTAGAATATTAAATTCGAGATAAAATATATCTTATTCTCTGGTCTGAACGTCTGACAAAATGTTCAAGTTCGTGACGCTTCTTTATGCTGAATTTTTTCACGAAAATTCACAAGATTATATTATGAAAACACTTATAAAATTCTTTTATTATTAGGAAAAAATTTCGAAATTAAATTATCGTTTTATTAATCATCTTTTACGATGATTATTAATTATGTTGTTTTTAATTATGCAAACGCATCAACGATACAATTTCAATAAATTTATATTTTTCATTTCTGCCTGTCATCAATTGCATATTAATATCATATGTATTTGAGTACTTCACTTCATCAAAAAACATGAGCTACCATATTATATTTTTCAGCCATCGCAGTCGATATAAAATTAAATATACATACATTTGGCAGGAATGTTTCTCTCCTCATTATTTACGGTACACTCATTCAGAGTTAGGCAGGATTCTATCCAATAAGCACGAATATCCAATAAGTACGAATGATTATAATGATTAACCCTGGAATACTAAAATGGAACATCGCATTCCCCAATAACTTCATTGTAAGTGATGATAGATTTCTATTATTTATGTTTCTCAAGAATAATATAATTTTATATAATTTTACGAAATCAATGTTGTATCACAGGTTTTTTATCATTTGTACTTCTTACATTAAAACTTTCTAACAAACGGCATTCCATTATTGGAGTCTAATGCTCCATTTATCGTACTAAATGATTAATAAAATTATAACTCAATTTTATACTTATTTTTATGATTGAAATACATTATAGAATAGTATTTATATTGCAGGGTCAAAATTGAATAATGCCTAACTCCGTGATACACTTATTGGGGTCGATAAACCAGCAATAAATAGCGTAACACGTTTATAAATAAGGACTGTACCGATATATTGTTCTAAGTATAAACATTATATGTATGTATATATATATATATATATATATGTACAATTATTTGGTAATACATCATTGGTAACGCGCAATTGGCTGCAAATCAAAGAGGAAAAAGCGTTTTCGTAAATGGACGAAATAAACTATATTTCCATCTTTCGCATTGCAACATCATCATGTATCAAATCTTTTAATATTTTATATTTTTATATTTTATGACATTGACTTGTTATATATGAGAAAAAATGAGCATATTGTCCAATAATTAGAATAATGAGAAACTTGTATAGTAAAAGGGGGAAATGCTCATTTGTAAAATTAAATTCTTCTTTTCTTTTTCTTCTTTTTTTCTTAATTTTGTTACGATTTTGGAATTTTTATATTCCAATTTTACTTTCACTTCAATTAAAAAAGAAACTTTTTAATACTTTAAGAAAGCTCAGCACATAAAATTGAAGCGAAAAATAATACATATGTATACATTAACGATTATTTTATATTTTTCTTAAAAGCTTAAAAAAATTAGATAAAAAAATACTATTTAGTAAAAAACAATCCATATAACAGGGTTAAATATAATACTAGCAGTACGGAGCAATCTTAAAGTGTGCCCTTGATTCTTTTCTGTAAAAAAAAAAAAATTGTCTTATGTCTTCACCGCGTTACTTGTATCCTGCACATCTGGGATTAGGTCAATAGTGCCATCATTTTGTTCCATCTCTGCTGTATTATAACCAGAAAAAGAACATGCAGGTGCACTTCTAGCTGTGGTCACCGAAGCTTCTGGAAGTAGAGAAGTGCGTTCCGTTGCACTTCCCCAGGCCTGTTGATAAGCGCTTCGACCACGTATTCTACGACTTAACGAGGATCCTACTACTCCCAAGTGTTCTTTTATATCATTGTGAACGTCGGAAACATCCCACATAGCCCTGAACACGTAAAGTATATTTTTTTATAGATACAATCAAAAAATAATAAATTTTTATTTCTGAAAATATTAGAATTTTTATAAATTAATTAAATTTTTTAGCGACAAATAATTATAATCACTCGAAATAATGAAAGAATAAACTTATTAAAAATTGTAAAAAATATGGAAGAGAAGTAATAAAATATTTGATTTACCTGAATGCGTCCCACCATGCTTGACCCTGTGCTAAATTTACAAAAGGTTTGTATGAAAAGCTGTAATGGTGAGCCACTGCAGCCATAAACATTTCGATACAGATTAAAAAATCTTGCAATTTCGACGATATATTTCTAATGTCTTTTATATCGTTCGTATTAAAAATACTTGATATCACATTGAAATATACCAGTAATGCAATAATTACACCTTGACTGAAAATCGAATTATATATATTTTTTTAATTTATTTATATTTTATTTTATTTATATATTATTATATTTTATATATTTTATTATATATAATTATATAATATAATTTTTAAATAATGAAACTTACAAGAAAGAGAAGAAAACGACTGCTTTGATACACAAAAATTTCCCGATTGGTTTCATTGGTTTTAAAGCTTCCGCATTGGCACGATAAAATAGTACCAAACAATACATGGCAACAAATTGCGATAAATTATTTAAAGCAATCATATATGGAAAAGCTACGTCTGTTCTAAATTCACCTTCACCATATACTCCATTTAATTCACAAATACTAAAAAGAAAAAAATAACTATGAACAACTTTATAATTGCAATACATTTTGAATATATAAAATTATAATTATTAGATATTTAAAATTAAATACATACTATATACTATATTAGAATATATATTTTTTTTACGTAAAAATATTTTTATTCCTTATAATGTATATTTATAATGTAAGAACGAATATTTGGATATCCCAGAATGAGTAGTATATAATTGAGTAGAAATATTATTCAATAAATAAAAGTAAATTAAAAAGTAAAATAAAATTCTTTTATTTAAATGTTTTCGAAAAAATAAAAATTAAAATTGTTATCTACCGATTGAATGTACATGAACTTAAAGATTTTTCAATTTGATCTCTTAACTAATCTAAAACAAAACTTTGAATTTTTTAAGAAAAGAAAATTTCGCTCATTTTTTTTTTACTAATTTTTTTTTCACTTAAAAAATTTTAATCAAAAATATTAAATATTTCCAACAAGGAGTATTACCCATCGTAAGATATCTTACGATGTGTACGATACATACAAAGATATCAAAGTTGTTATAGGTCTAACTGCAGTATATTGTAATATTCCGTGCTTGCACATATGTACAAATTCCCTGCCCATTTCCCAATCAGGTAAACAACACAGGGGGAACATGTGATGAACTTGAGGAGAGATTTCAAGTCTGTGTTCTAGCTGACGATCAGCATCCAAGTAGGCCAATAAATACATCATAAAATTGTATATTACATATGCCTCATAACACTCCCTCAAACTGTCAACATATATACTGCCTTCTGGATAAACCAGTCCAAGCCACTGCATAAATTTCAAAAGTATTTCAATTTAAAACAAATGAAGTACTTAATAGACAATTTAGACAAGAATGGAGATGTATACCTACAGCATTCACTGCATAAATTGGTACCATCCATAATATTCTGAAATAAAAAAAAATTGATTAGTTTTAAATTTAAGAATTACATAATAAAATAACTAAAATATTCGATGTATGACGATTAAATCGATATCAATATAAAAAACATGAAATAATTATTTGAACTGATAAAGAAAAAGATTTGATTGATTAATATTTAAAAATTATAGATATTATTTTTGAGAATATAAAAAGTATTAATATTAATATAAAAAGAATATACAAAAAAAGGATATTTAAAAGATTTTAAGAAGTGATATAAATTAATTAAGGAAAAAATTCAATTTTTAATAAATATTCAATAAAATAAAATAAAATCTTCATAAAATATTTAATACATATTAAAATTAAAGTTCTTAAATGCATATGTGAACTTTGATTCGTTTTATCGTTATGCTATAATCGTATCATATTTCTTTGATTGATTTAAACTGTGTAATATTGTAATTAAATATGCATGTAATTATAATTTTTTTTTTCAATGGAAAGTTCATTGACACCATCGAATAAATTTAATAAATAGTATATCTATTAAATATTATTCATTATATTCAATATTATATATTGGGTATTATTCGATATTATTTTAACATTAAGAAGTAATTCTAATATAAGATTTAGTTAATTTTTTAACAACTTTTTGAAATAAAAAATTTATAGCTTGAATAAGAAGTAAATGCTGTCTCTATTTATATCAATATTTCTTGACCTTTAATTTGTCGAAGGTCAATCAATATTACAATCAATGATTCTTTAATCTTAAAAATTTATAAAAAACTAGAAATTGAAAGAATATCTTTACATATATATTGATACATATATATAATACAATAATAATCAATATGCAAATTTATATAAATTCGTAAATATACATTATTTGTATGAGTACGAAAAATTTAATAAAAATTAATAATTAATGCAAATATTTAACAATATAAACAAATGTTTTATTTAATATTCAAAAATAATAAAATTAAAAAAATTTTATATACTAAACAGTATCTATTACATATTTTAATAAATATATATAATAAAATTTTTATATTTTTATAATATATATTTTTATTATATTTTTATAATATATATAATAAATATATAAGTATTCTATATTTCACATAGAATATATAATTTATTTTGACAGTAGTATGATATTATATTATTATGATAGTAGATTAGTAAAGAATTTATAATAATTAATATTTATAATTAATTATCTATACTATTAAATATATACTAAATTATTATCAGAAAATTATGATGCAATTAAGGTTTTTTTTAAAATGAATTCCATTCATTCCTAATTCCAAAATATTTTAAATATCTTTTTAATATTTTTACTGCAAATAAATTTTAATGAATCATTTTATTATTGTTTATAACGATTTTGTTTATTTAAAATTAATCTTTAAAATTGACAATTTTAAAAATACAAACAATATCTAATATTAAATATCAAAAACAATAATATAACACATCAACAATAATTTTAAAGGTAAATGATATCAACATACCTTATAATATATTTTTGCAGTCTAGGCTGTGTATAATATATCATGTGTTGCACAATTTCATAGAAAGCAATGGGTAAAGCAAGCAGCACAAAAGCACCACCCACAAGTGCTCCTTGATCCTGCTTTTTAAAACCATTTTTAATGGAATTTGCCAATAGAATTGGTACTAAAATTATAATAAGAAGTGCGTAGAGACAAGTTAGAACTGGTAAAATCCATAATCTCCAGCGGCGACAAATAGAAGCCATCACTTTTCAGAAATTTAAGAGAATGTCACATAATTTGTCCAGTCAGTTCACAGGAACCTCTGGAAAACCACAAACAACAAATAATTTTACATAATATAACACTATTTTTTCGGTTCATATCAGAATGTAAATTAGGTTATGATAAACCTAACTAGTGACCCTTGATAGAGAGAATAAATTAACGTATTATTTAAGCACTTAAAAATTTGACGTTTATATCGAAAATTAAAAAAAAATCAAAAGATTTCATTATTTTACATGATTATAATCTTATAATAATCTATTAAACAATCATATAAACATGACAAATGGCGTAGCACAATGTTAATAAAGTAATAACAACCTTATTAGACACGATGAATCAACGATAAACCGACAAGTCAGCTGATGATGACAGTAGGAAGGAGGGAAACCGCCTTTTAACCCTTTATATTACGCGATTCAGAAACCGCGTATATATCAATTTCAATTCTTTTACATTGATTAGAATCTTATAAATGCACTAAGACCAATTTTCGATCTGTAAAACTGTTAAAAAAAAATACATTTTCTAAATTTAAATTAATTATTTTCATGAATACAAAGATTCCTTCAAAAGAATACGATATTCTCATGATTTCAATGATTAATTATTAAATTATTATTCAATTTATACTATGTTGATTACAAGCTTTATCAAACGAAATTATATTCAAAACAATACACTTTTTTTATAGTGATCGATTGCATAAACGATTGATATAATTTCGACTTTTTTTGAGTTTTATTTGTTGAATGGCAATTAAACTCAATCTCCGAAAATAAAGAATTTCTGACAGATGATATTTAGATTTGAAATGAACCTATTTATTTGATTTTAGGTTATAAAGTCAGAACTATTATATAAAATTCATTTATTACATTCATATAAATAATAAAAAAAATGATTACTGATGAGAATGATAAATTGAAATTATCAGGTAAGATACATTAGAATAAGAAAAATTGTTAGTGTTTTTTGATAGATAATATTGGTATTGGTGAAAGATTCATGTAGGCAGCTGGGGAAGGGTACATCCGTTCTAATGGCGTCAAGACCCAAGCACTGTTGTCACATTTTGTCCTACAGTGTTTCAATATTTTGCTTTGTTTATGTCGGTCAAGTTTTCCAAGAAGGAGACGAAAAATCTGCGCAGACTTGTGAAGGTTGGTACAGAGAAGTTAAAGGAGGCTAATTTTTCGGTTAAAACGCAAATCAAAATCTGAGTAAAATTTTCCGAGAGCTCCGGGTGTAGTGACCTTGATTCCGCTGTCATTTCTGTAATGCATAAGCGCGCGAAATTTAAATTTGCTCGATTTACATTTTTCAAATAGATCAATAGATACGTTAAAATTTATTTAATTATATTAATTCGATATTATTATATTTTTTTTAATGAAACTGTTTTACGACATAGAATTTATTTATTCATTTTGTTGATCTTTTGTAAATATATTATTTCTATAAAAATTATTATATATTATATCGTATATATTATTAGAAATAATTTCTTATTAAAGAAACAATTTATTTACATATAATTACTATTATTATTATTATTTATATTATTATTTAAAAATTTATTCTTTTTTTTACAGTCACTAAAAGCTAGCTTTTACAGATGGCAAAAAAATAATTGTAGAAGAAATTTTTTCATTCCATCAGCAGCTAAAGTAGATAAACATGGAAGTCACAACAGAAGAAGCACAAGCAGTGCTGCTGGAGGGAATGGAAGGAGCACAATATATTACTATTCAAAGGGCTGATGGAGAATCTCTAAGCAAAAGTGTTCCTCTTTTAACTCTTAACGGAGAATTAATCTCTGAAGGGATGGTAGTTGATATGATTAATGCTGGTGTTGGTACAGATTATGGTACAGCAACTCAATATTATGAAGCAGAAGATTTGTTACAACATGAATTAACAGAGGTAATTTATTTACTATCAATATAATAATAATCATATATTAAAACCTGACTTGTATTTTTGCAATAGGAAGATCGAAGACTAGCAGCAGCTTTAGTTGCTGTTCAATTACAGCAACAACAGAAACAGCAACAGCTTCATAGTCAAGCCCAACATGAAGATCCAACTTTACCAGATGTTTCTCATTTAGAGACTTTAACACCTGTAAACACATATTCTATTCAAACTGTCCCAGAACCAAATGCTCCTCCTGTGTATCCAACATTACAACCACCATTTAAACGTATAACGCATAATGTAAAACAGGAATATATAAATGTAAAAAGTGAATGTGATGTTGATATGTCAGCTGAAAGTAGCGAAGATGCGGCACCTAGTTCCGGACCAAAAAGATCTTTGCCCCACAAAAAAAGGATTCCTCGTAAATTAAAACAACAGACCAAAAGAAATTCAGCAAGAAAAGATGGCAATAGAATAAACGCGGATGGCATGAATGCAGATTCTTCCGGTGATATGCAGGCTCATGTATTCAAATGTGAACTGTGTAGTTCTAGATTTAGTAGTCAATTAAAATTTTTTGAGCATTTAAAGGTACATTATGAGCCTGTGAAACAAGAAACAAGAATAGCACAAGCAACTAATACGAATATCACGATATCTGTGACAGAATCTGTTCAGAATCTCGAAAATACAGTAATTGAAGAATTCAGTGAGCCTGAAGATCTTATGGAGGGCATTAGAGGTGTTGGTAAGTATAATAATTATTATATTAACATAAAAATAAGAAAAAATATAAAAAAACTAGTCAAACTTGAATATTCGAATTCGTAATTTATAATTATACTTTATTTATTCGAAACAGTCTTTTATTTATTTTCATCATTTTATTCCTATATCATATACAAATATTAACTAATATTATTTTATTTATTTTTAGTGGAAGAGACAGGTGCTCATATAGATGATGAAACAGAATCTCCATTGAACAATGACTCACCATTATGGACAATTACTGATGTTACAAGTCATGTACACAGGGACCATGTAAAACCGTCAACTGTTAATGATCAAGGCATTCATGATAAAGATAAGACTGACATTCCACAAACAACAAAGAAAAAAAAGATTCTGAAAACTAGAAAGACAAGTAAGTATATTTAAAGATTTTTTTTTATTAATTATACTTCAATAAAATTAATTCATTTTCACAGATGACGAATTATCATGTCCCCAATGTGATCGGTCGTTTCATCATAAAAATAGCTTAGTGTATCATATGCGATCTCATAGTGGTGAACGGCCGCATCAATGTGAAGTTTGTGGAAAAAGTTTCTTTGCTGCTAGTGCGTTAAAGGTAAAAGATTTTCGATCCAATTTTTGTTTTTAACATATTTTTAAAATTACATAGTTCAATTGTCCAAAACTTAGGTTCACAAACGACTTCATAGTGGGGATAAACCGTACAAATGTGAGGAATGCGGTAGACATTTCCGACAATGGGGAGATCTGAAATACCACTCGACAAGTATCCATTCAGAACAGAAACAGTATCAATGTGAATATTGTGGCAAAGATTTTGCGCGGAAATACTCGCTGATTGTTCATAGAAGAATTCATACCGGCGAAAAGAATTATCGTTGCGAATATTGTAACAAAACGTTCAGGGCAAGTAGTTACTTACAAAACCATCGTCGTATACATACGGGAGAGAAACCACATCAGTGTGCAGTGTGTGGAAAACCGTTCAGAGTGAGAAGTGATATGAAAAGGCACATGCATACTCACTCTAGAGGAAGAACTGAAAGACCTATGAATAGAGTCATAACAGGAAAAAATATTGAAGAAGATAAAGGTTCACAAGCGAAGACCATTCAAGATCTGGTTCGTGATCTAAAACTTGAAGTAGAACCAACGGGGGTTGTAGAAATTGTACCTCCAGATGATAACCCTGAAAGTATCCTACCGCATGCAGGAGGACAAACTTTAGAATATACAGTAACTGCAGCTCCAGACGCAAACTCTGATAGAGATCCATTAGAAGCAGTCGTTCGTACAACCGATAATATGTAAGTTTATTTACTTCAGTTTATTTTATCGTATTTAAGTTGCAACAATACTATAATATTTGAATATATAAGTAATTATTTTATTTTTATTTTTAATTCAACTTCTTGTCTGAATATTGTTTCAAATTATTATAGTGTATCAAAAAAGTACTACAAAAAATACTTACATACTTTATTACACTTTTATTTTTACAGGCAGTATTTCTTCATGTAATATTTGTTGGAAATAAAATGGAACATTGTTTTCGTAACAAAAGGATAAAAAATCTTTCGCACAAAAATAATGTTTGTGGAATTCAAGATTTTTGTCCTGAATGACTGAATTGAAAGTGCTATATATGACAACGCACTGCCTATGCAATGTGCATAAATATACTTTCCAGTATTTCTGCAAATTACTTTTTAAGGGAATGTTACAAATGTAACGCTTAAAATATTATTCTTAAGACTGTTTTCAGCAGAGAACTCGGAAAAGTATAACTATATAGGGCAAATTTCTAAAAAAAGATTATATCAATTTAATTAGTTAAAGGTGTGTATATATATATACATATGGATAAATGCATGCACATATACACGTACACGGTTAAATATAAAACACGTATATATTGTATTATATAATTAATGATAATCAAGATAATATTGTATATGTACATTTTTAAAATCTAGATAAGTTAGTCATTTATATCGCGAATCGTCGTTGAAAAAATATATTTTTTACGTGAAGACATTTATAGAAATACTGTGGTCCATTTTTATTGCATTTTCCACGAAGCAAAAGAAATAAGATGTTCGTAGCTCAGTCTTTAGATCATCGAAGATATCGAAGATGGTGCGGGCACCGTATTACTTGTATCAGTAAAAACTTGTAAAAGTTGAACCAATTCTCTGGATTTGAGAGCTGCGCTAAGTTTATCCGCAGCGTCTTTGCTACTAATTCTGAAACGTATAAAATGTATTCAGAAAGTAGTGCAATTTATTTAAAATTTTTTTGACAAAAAAATTCAAATTTAATTTCTAATACACCTAATATGTCTTTCAATTCTATTGAAACTAAACTAAGTAATTGACAGAAGACTTAAACAAAATTTTATGTTAATTCATTTTGTCATTGTTGTATGTACTGTACATTTTGTTTTTATAGAAATTTTGCTGTAATTTATAAGACATCACATAATTAAACAAAAAAAAAAAATTACTATTAATAATAAATTGATATTCTAACTGATTAGATTGAATCTATTAAATAAAAATATGTTTTATTAAATCTATTCCATTGAATAAAAATGTTGAGAAAATGAGGAATATTATATTCTTCGAAAGATAAAAGTACAAAATTTTGTTAACTAAAATTGTTAATATTAATATATATATTTATTAATACATACCTACGAGAACGTTTAGCTCTCTCCCAATCGACATAGAGATCCGTGATCACTGCATGTAATCTCTCCAATATTTCATTATCTTTCGCCAATCGAAACCTAATCTCTGTCTCCTTTTGTATCAATTCCTGATATTCTGTGCAAAGATTTTCTTTCAAATTTTCTTTTAATTCCAATTCCTCGAGAATATTTAAAATTTTCACATTTGTTACTAAATCGTATGCAGCATTCAATTGTGGAAGAATTAATTCCAACACTCTGGATATGCTACTCTCAGTAACATCTGTAAGAAATATTAAATAAAAAAAATTTAATAGAGAAATAGAAATGATTGTAACATAAATGTAATATACCACAATAGACATCTAATTTGATTTTTCTCTTCGTTGCCTCCCTAGTTAATATATCTCTAAGAATTATAATACTTGATATATTTTCTCCAAAAAAAATTGCACTTCCTTTCCTGAGAATTAAAAAGATATTAGTGCATAAAGTTCAATATTCATGTAGTATAAAACTTACTTGTATTTGCATTTAAGTAATGTGCCAATGAAAGCTGAAATATATATCAATGTAGCTTCACCTTCTTCCAAATGAGGTCTTTCAGGAACATCAGGTAAAACAAAAGAAAGCCAAGCATGCATCTGAAATATATATTATACAGAATATTTCTCAGTTACAATCGAATATAATTAATTTAGAATTTTACTTCTGCAACAGTAAAATTTCCAATTAATTTTAATTCATTAAATGGTCCTTCATTATGAAATTTTGTGTCTTCCATTTCATGCTGTCTTACGTGAAGAGAAAGAGCGGATATAGGTATCGATATTTTACGACAACACTTTGGTTGTACCTACACAAAGAATTAATTACATTTTATACATCATCTTATATTTCAAAAAATATGAAATGAATATAAATTGATGACATACTTGAGAAGTGACATAAATCTGTAAAGTACCAGGTTGTCCTTCGATAGTCCGTAGCCTCATTTCAAGATGATTAGTATTTACCTATAAAAATGATCTGTATTATTATATTTATAGTGTATTGTAATAATTGAAATATTAGATATTTTAATTTTAATTATTTTAATTTATATTCACTTGGCAACGATAGGTAGCAAGAACGAAATTTCCTTCTTTAGGATTACAGATTGACAAACTAACTACTGCACTATTATTTTCCACGTCCAGTAACTCGATTGGAGTATCTGACTGTATTAAAATATTATCAATCGGCGTATCGAGTTCTATAGAAAGGGAATATGATACATCTTCTCTATTCAAGATCATTCTATAAGAATTAGATTACAATTTACATTTTAAAATTTAATTGTATCATATAATATATAATACTATATGACTTCAGTTTATTTAATTTATATTAATTTTATACCTATAATTTACAGACAGAATCAATGGTGCTAGGGGATCTGATGAAAAAATAGCTGCTTCTTTCTCTTCATTAAGCTTTTCTTGTAATTGTTGTATTTCTAATCTCAATTTCGTCAAACCGTCATTTTGATCGGCTTCCAGAAGTCCTGGTGGTTTAGTAGTTAAGCCAAATATTCGTCCTGAATATGTAGTAACCAACACTTCAGGAAATCCTGCTGCTCCAATTATTCCTCCTGTCACTGAACTGATACTTTCACTGGCATTCTATAAATAAATTTTTTAAAAAAAATTTTAGACATGGGAATAATATTAGAAAGTTTAAAAAATATACAAAAAATTCCAAATATACAAAATGTTTAAATATAATGCTTTTACATAACGATAGCGAAGTGAAGCTAAAGTATCCTCTTCTGGAAAGGTATATACTTCAACAGTACCATCCTGTCTGCCAATAAGTATATCTAGACCATCTTGTAATTCATAAGTATCTAAAGAAGTAATTTCTGATCCATTCATATTTAAAAGCCAAGTGATCCTTAATGTTTTGTTACCCTGAAGAATCAGTAAACCCACTTTTCCATCCATAGTTCCAACCAAAACTCGTTCTTTAGATTCAACATTGCCTTCTCTATAAAAATACTAAAAGAATATTTAGAAACTATAAACAAAATAATAAAAATAATTTAAAAAATTTAGAAACCTGTATATAGATAATACTGTAGGTATATTTGGTAATCTAAGAATTGCTGGAGTCTTGGTACCATGAAGAACTCTTATCTGAAAAGAATTAACTTTATTAAAATTTAATTTGAAAATTAAAGTTTTTAATGCTATAAATATTAATTTAATATTTTTACAGCACAATCCCCACAAGCCAATATAGCAAAAATAATAGAGCCTTCAGCAGGTAAAAGTACAACATCGTATAAGGTTTCACCAGCTAAATAAGAATCAGCATCCTTACAATCATGGTATCTGTGATAGAGATCTCTCGCACATGCTGCTAAATCTGGACCAAGTACATATCTATAAAAAAATTCTAATACTTTTATTTGAAATTTTATATAAAAAATTTTTAGTTTTGGTATTTATTATTTAATATTAATAATTATTTTCGAATTATATCGGAGAATTTACTTACAATGCACAAATAGGATCTATAAGATTTGTATCAAACTCTAAGAATAATTTTCCTTTCTTAGTGTATCCTTTTACAGTGTTTCCTTGTGCAATATAAATTTTATCATATCCACTACCACCAAGGACTAATTTATTAATCTTTACTCCTGGCAAAGATTTAAACGATAGTTGTAATTCTCCTTTTTTCATACCTTATTGAAAAATAATGTAATTTCAATTTATTTGAAAGTGTAAAAAAATAAAAAAATGAATAAATATTTATAAAATTAAATTTATGCTAAAAGATTCAGATTTTATTTTGAATATAAAAAAATTGTAATTTACCATAAACATAAAGTATACCATCATGATCAGCAACAGCAAATTTTTGTGTATGTCTATGTTCTGTTGCAGGAAAGATTTTGGTGGTTCCTCTGGATGTGACACCTACAGTTGCATAATCTATTCTTGATAATGGTAAAGTCATTTTGAACAAAACTTTAATCTTTTTTTCTTTACAACTATTTAAATCAAAATTAAATTTCAGAAATTATTTTCATTCACTTTTATTTTTTGTTTCATTTCATTTTTCCTTTATTAAGAATCTATATTCTCGATCAAACTTTAAATAATTTTATAATTTTATAATTTTATTATTTATAATTATTTAATTTTATATTTTTCTAAATAAATAAATTTATTAAAGTTTCAATACAAAATGTTAAACTGTTGAGATTGTAAAAGATATTACTACTTTGTACTTATTCTACAAAGAATCATGAATGCACATGCGCAACGATCAATTTAACCATGGTAACAAACTACCGCAACAAATTATTCTTTATAATTAATCTATCATTTTAATTTATATATTATAAAATATAGAAAATATATATTTTCTATAAAAATGTATTTAATTAAAATGACAAGATATAATTATAAATTTTTTACAAAAAGAAATATATAATATATAATATATTTATATAAGAATAACCAGAAATACATAAATATATTAAAAAGCATATACATTTTTATTATCAAATCATTTGGTGTATTTATTAAAATCTTTAAATTTCTATACATCGCTTTCATCCTTCCTATCAATTAATGATAAGAAATATGTTCAAATAATTTTATATAACATCATTCATATTTTTTACTTTGTAAATTATCGTACAATTTATAAAATCTTTACAAACAAAGTAGCCATACGTGATAGCAAAGGGTTAGTACTGTTTCATCAGCATCCTTAAAACGAATTGTTATTACTACAAGTTAGTCCTTAGCTACTTCATGTTTTAAAGAGAAGTACACCTTGACTTATGAAACTTTATGAAACTTTTTTATTTTTTTTCTCCTATATGTGTATCCATGTCCATTGGATACATCTATAATTGGAGAATATAAAATATACTCTGGCCTAAGGTCTTTTTTTATTTAGATCTAGATTTTGCGATGGCTAAGGATATCGAATAAGTACCAGTTGGTATTGAACCATTTTTGGTCGCAAAAATAATATTTTTCATTCATATTTTATTATAAAATTTAATATAAAATTATAGATACCATAAAAAAGATATCATAATTTGCAGAATTATTCTTCATTTAAAATTTTTAATTAAAGATATTATAAATTATCAATAAAATTAAAATTACATTATTTGACATTAAAAAAAATTTTTGAAAATTCTCTCAAAAAAAATCTGCATATTCAAATGGTGCCACTTTTCCTAGAACCACTATTTGACGACACTAGCGACCTCAAAAAAAGGACAAGATAAAGAATAATAATCTCACAATCAGTTATCGTTCAACAAATTGAGTTAATCAAAATAAATCCACCGAATCAAAATATGATAGAAACAAAATCAAATTCATAATAATAAATATAGTAAATATCTCTCGATTGATTTTTAGATTTGGTCAAAAAGTTTTTTTTTATTAAAAAATATTCGCAAAATTTAAAAAAAAAATTATTAAAATTATTAAAAAAATTATGCACATAATAACTTTTTTTTTGGCACGATTGACTCGATATGCTGAAAACGAACGATCCAACGCTCAATGGAGGCGTAGAGACAACACAGAGGCGTGGAAACCAACAATAAAAACCGCAAGACAAACATTTTAACATGGTTCGCAACCATAAACTGGACATTAATAACTTAATAGCCTGCAAAATTGCCGGGCGGTCGAGAGACGTCGAAACGTGGATTTCCATCATAGGAAACCTGTGCGCTAAACCCATGTTTCCAATCGGCGGTATAGCGGACAATCTGCAATCTTCCATCAGGAAGCTGAACTCTATATTCCCCGCGGACGATGTCACCGTCGCTTATCGCGTTGTGGGAATAATCGTTTCCAAAGGCGTCTTCCTTCACCGCATAGTTGAAGTCAAATGGCATGCCTGGTTCGTGATGATGATGATCGTGCTGAAATTAAATTATAAAAATTATGTAATGAAAATAGTTCAATTAAGGATAAAATAAAATCATGAGACTGATTTTATGAAATTTTAATTATAAATATGATTGTAAGAAGTAAATATTAGATACAAAGAAAGTGAAAAAAATATTTCTATATAGAAAATATTAAATATAAATATATTTAATATGTTGTCAATTATTCATTTCTATAATAATTTTGTAAAATGATTTCTTTCATCATTACTTACACCACCATTTGGTATAGTAGTTCCAGTAGGTCTGGTTGAGTCAGGAAATTCTGGAGTAGGTTTAGTAGGAGGTGGATAACCATTGAAAGGTCTCGACGTCGGAAATTTTGTGGTTGGTTTAGGATATGTATGACTGGATGGTGTAGTACTAAATGGAGTTGATTTTGAAAATACTATCGAAGGCGTTTCATAATTGTAACCCTTAGTTGGTTCAGGAGGCAGATATGTATTACGTCTTGTCCCAGGTGGTAGATCGCATATTACGTGGACTATTGCCATACAAATTATTGCTATCTGTAATAAAAAATATCAATTAATGTTAAAAAATATAAATTTTTATAAAAATGTTTTTTAACAAGAAATCATAGAAAAAATCTTACAATAAAGTATAAAAAAAGTGAAACAATAGAAAAATAGAATATTTGTTTTGCAGAAAAAGAACATTAAAAAAAATTATTAAGAACAGAAGAAGAAATTAAGTTACATGGATGAATAAATATTTAATTATATCAATCCTTTATAAACATCATCTTTGTTTATTGAAAAATAGATATCTTCCTATTTGAACTATCTACTTCCATTTATGCAATCACAGTGAATTACAGAAAAATCATTATTGAGATTGCATTTCCTGTTCTATATGAAACAACGTGTCAACTCAATATGAAACACAATTCATGATGCGAATATAATGAACTATTAGCGTGTTTCAAATTGATATATAGCTGAATTTGTGTTTAAGTAGTCGATGTGCAATGCAACATTCATGAACATCTCTTTTCTTAATTAGAGACTAAAGAATTGCATAAACACAGTATCTTAGAACATATGTTATAAGTGATAGTAATTGTTAAATTTTTTCAAATCCAATAACACATTTTTACCATATAGATTTAATGATACTTATCATTAATTTAAACAATATATGATTTTACCAGAAAAAAGTTTTGATATATTTTTTTCAATTAATAATATTTTAAACATACTTATTTTAGCATAGCTAAAGAATAGTCAGGATTAAATATTACAAAAGTAAAAGTAAATCATTACAATGAAAGGCAATTAGAAAAATAAAAGAATAAAGAGGAGTGCTTGAAACGAGGTGTAATTGCTCGAAGAATATTTTATTGTGCGTATGTGTCGCTTATTCGCAGTTGTTTTGCAACAATTTAATTGCATATCTTCCGCCTCATTTCTACTTCGTCCCCTCTCTTTGTAATGAATGCGTGTGAAACTATTCTCTTCGACTTACTTCAGTTGCTAATTACATAATTAATATATACGAGCGTTTTTTTTATCATGAATTGAAACAATTTACTTCATAACTTCATTCATCTTAGGCAAACTGTGTCATCTATATTTTCGATTATTATTCAAATTTATTCTTCTATATAATCCTAAGTTTTTAAAAAATTAAAAAAAAAAAAATCCAGAATATTCATCTATATTTCTCTACATTTCTACATTTCTTTACCAAGTGATTTTATTGACTTCATCAATTGATCCACCTGATGCAATGATTATAATCTTCGATGAAATGTGTTATAACAACATACCAGAAGGAAAAGATTCTATCAGGGAAGCAATTAACCACTCATTTATTTCTCTATTACGTGTATCAGCGTTTCACTGTATACTAAGCACGTGCAATATTACTTCATGGAAATATCAATCAGTTGAAGAAATGCAGCGTGGAATATTTTAAGATCTTAGTTAAAAAAATTCATTTTTACTGTGGAATTTGAAGATCATAAACATTTTATTTGATATTATTATATTATTATATTTAAAGATCAATTTATAAAAAATTAATTTCTAATATTTAAAATATCAAAGAAATAGAATAAATTTGAATAAGAAAATTTGAATAAATTTGAGTATATTTGAAGTGAAGATATATAAGAAAAAAAAGAAAATTAAATTTTTTTATTTTTCTGATTTTTTCCTATTTATGTCTTTATTCTTCATATATATGATAACATAAATTTTTTAGAAATTATGGAATAAATATATAATTTCATGATATAATAAGAAAAAATATCTAGAAAGTAGGAAATGAATCACAAACCTTCGTTTAAAAGTCAATCAAGAAGAATAAATCAAAAGAAGAAACTAGGAAATGTTTGAAATATTGCAAAATGATTCACAATCTCGTGAAGAATATTAAACAATCTTCTCTTACCGGCCTTGTTGCTTATTTAAATTTACCAACTAAAGGAAAAGCTAGCTTACACCATTGTTTCACCAGTTATTGTTTAACGTTCATTGTCATAGCCAAAATGATGCAAGTTCTTTTTAAATCTTGAAACAGAGATTACAATTACCATGTAAATTACATAAAACATAGCTGGAAGTCGATTTAATAAAACTGTGAAAAAAAAAAAAATAGTACTATATAATTGAAAGAAATGTGAACAATAAAAATTCATTATTACCCATAAATCAGTGAAAACTTCGTGTATTAAATATTTACAATCTTATTGCATAAAGAATTAGTATATTGTAGAAATGCATTACATTCACTTTAAATATTTTAAAAGATTAAAAATTCCAAACAAATAAGTATCTCAAGCGAATAATTAACTACAAATCTCACATAAGAGCAATATTTCATATATTATTTATATCATTTCACGGATAACGAATTTGATTACAGTTCTTTCTTCTCACCCTCGTTAACCATTTCTAATACTCCTCAGAGGGATTACGAATCGATAAATCAATTGCGTTGCGTGATTCATCTCTCTTGATTAATCGTAAAGTCTGCAAGACCATACGGATACTCAAGATAATTTGTTGACACCTCTCTCTTTCTCTCCATCGTACGAGAATTGAGATTTATGCATCGTGGGTGCAGAAATGGTAGAGAGGTTGCGATTAATTATAATAATTAGACAGACCACACTGGATAGACTATTAACTATATTAAATATCTGACTCTTTCCATTGAGTTAAATGTTAGCATTACTTCAAATCACGTTTAAGAATATGAATACAATTGAAAATAAAACTTTTGAGAGTTGTTCATTTTTTTTAGAAATAGATGAAATACATTGAGAGTAAAATAAATCTGAAGATATTTCTGGTTTTCAAATGGATCCAAACAAATGATAGATTTTTTTTAACTGTACATTCCATTGAAAAAAATAAAAGAATTAATTAATGAGATAATTAATTGTTGAAAAATTATAAAATCTCAGAAAATTGAATTTTTAAATTACTCACCTGAAGATAAAACATATTGTGAAGAAAGCCAAGGGATCAGAATTTCACTCACGTATCGTTTTTTTTCAAAAGAAAACTGTGAAAAAACATACAAAATCAACCCTTTATAAAAGCATCATAGATCTTAATTAATTTTTCATTATCCTTTTTCATTATTCCATGGTTCTTATTTCATATAATCGACTTGTAGAAACTTGAAAAGGATAAACTTAGAATTATAAGTTCTTAAGGCTTAATGCCATCCAAAGCATAATTTATTCGATGTTTCTTGATAATCTAATATGACGGATCAACATTTAATCTTTGAATTTCAAATAAAAAATATTTTCAAAGTTATGCAATCATTTCACAATTTATCAAACATAAATTAACATATAAATATCTAATAGAACTCTAGAACTCTGGATAAAATTATTTTAATAGTTTATGAACAAACAAATATTTTCGCTAAATAATCTTTATAATGCATTTAATATTTTAATAATTTAAAATATTTAATATTCTAATAATATTTTTTAATTTTAATTCAACAGTACATATTATGTATGTACAGTATATATTTTTTGTAATTTGATATTTGTTTACAATATATGAGAATTTAATTATGTTCTAGCTTTTGAAAATTTATGTCTGAACAAATTTCTTTCAAAAAGATAAAATAGAAATCAATATTTTCTCTTAATTTCAACTTTCAAAGACTCGTTAGCCGATTACAGAATATTAGGATAAAAACAAAGAAATACCAAGCTATTGTGTCTAAATAAGTGTCTCAAGTACAAAAAGGATAAAGAGAAATTATAGTTTTCAAGATTATTCATTTACAATGAAAAAGATATATTATTTTATTTCCATAGAAATATACTTTGTAAAGGGTTGAAAGACCTCGACGACATTTTACGGTTAACCACACCCTAACTTTTCTACGATTTTTCGTATTCATTTCATGCATGTGCACCACTCCCTCCTGAGAATCGCAAACTACACGATTGCGAATCCCCTTCAAGTTTTCCCGCGATACTGATGAAAGGAACATATTCGTTTGTCTGCACATTCTTCAGTTTATTTCACTTGAATATAGAGACTAATTATTTTATTCATCTGAATTGAATCATAATTAAAATTAATTAGAATTAATTATTAAATTTGTATCAATATTAAAAAATATTTCTAAAAAAATGAAAATTTAAATTCAATTCTTTTAAAATCTCTATATAATCTGTAATATTTTTTTTAGAAAATAAAACTTGAAATTTAGAAATGCATGTATTATATTATGATATTATCTGCAGAAAGATTACAAATTAAGTAACAATTTAAATAATACACTGATTAGTTTTATGAAATTTAAATGCATTTTTAAATGATGATATTATAGAGGATTATTAAAAAAAAATATACATATATATATATATATATATATATATATATATATATATTAATCAGTCAATTTCTTTAATAATTCAAGTATCTTGCAAGATTCTATTTTTAAATTTATAATTAGAATTATTCTAAAAGCTAATACTCCCAAAAAGATATTTCTTCTTAAATTCTGCAGATTCTAGTTCACTACACTATAAAACGATTATGAATTAACAACTATCCATAAACGAAAATTTTTCTTTTAATCACCAAACAGAAAAATTATAATTCTGAATCACAGAAGGATTATGGATCTGAATCCATAACGATTAATCTCCTTCACAAAACATCACTTTATAAAAATATATATATATATATATATATATATTTTTGATCCCGTATCAGGGTTAATAAAGCACCGTCACCGAGTGATGGCCGAACGATGAAATATCACCGAGGTCTTCATCATTAACTACATATTTAACATTTCTCGAGCAACCCTTACGAATTCACAAATATGATTTCGATGAGGCACGTGTTTCGTTATTGTATCGATGCACTCCGGCACGACTGTGAATAAAGTCAGTACGTAACTGGCCGGCATGCTGGCAGGTTGGGTTTATATAGCGTGGGTCTAATAAGATGATACCTGAACGCGTGTTGGGACCGAAGCAGAAGAACAGAAAGAGGGGACCAATGATGCATGTTGCCTTGTTTCGCCTTACCTTGCCTCACCTTGCCTTAGAATCTTATCATGATCTGGGTAAGATGCATCTTGCACCACTTTCTTCTTTCATAAATCGGTATCATCAATGTTAACTTCTTGCCATTTTGTGAATTGTTTAATTCTTTGCTTTAATATAAATCTTGATTCATAACGTTTGGAAGATATTCTGTGTTACATTTCCAAATAACAATGTTTCAGTTTCTTGAGTCCTTTCTAGTGAAATTTCTTAGATTTTATTATCCAGCTTTAATCTGAAATATCTTGGCTTATAAATATTTATAATTTTTATCAACATACTTTCAGATTACTTTCTTCACCACAAAATTCATTTTTTAATTATAATAATCTTTTAGAGCGCATAATCTCCAAGTACAAAAATAACAGAAAAACATCATTTTCTACGTTACATTTCCTTCATTATTAATTTTAATAGAGCTCCTTTCTCATAGCAGCAATGATAATTACCATGTAGTCTCCATTTCATCGGAATACGGAAATCTGTAATACAAAAAACTAATTACAAAGATATATCGTGAAGCAATTATGTATACTTTATAAAGATGTTGCGTTGACTAATCAACATTACACTACCGTGAAGCAACTTTTACTATTATATTGTACTACTACTATTACTATATATTGTAAAAAAAAAAAAATTGACAAACCTATACATATTCGTTTAACTTCACCGTGAGAAGACATTAATCCGGATCAATGTGATCCAAATGATCTTTCGAGGCGCCTGTTGACTTCTAGCCTCGAAGGTGCAGCATGAAGAAGTCATTCCATCGATTATATATCGTGCTATGGATCAAAAAGAATTTGATATTTCATAGATGTTTATGTTTCTATAGAACAAAGATTGCACCATATTGAAGTATTTTGAATTTCATTCTCTCCTCATTATCTTACAACAAATGAAAAAATTAATTTGAAAAAAATTGTTTTACCTTACATGTGCCACTTCAAATAGTATAATTTTATTCTGTGAATTTTTTATAATCAACAAAAATACTCTGTAAATTATTTTTATTTCTTTGCATTTGTAATATTACGATTTGATAATTTTTTATATTTATCTGATTTTCATATTTTTATTAATATTGTCTTATTTAATATCATTTTATTCTTCATTTTATCTTGATAAGGAAAAGTTTTCCAAATAGATTGATTGATCCTTTTCAAGAAAATAAAGAATAAAAAGAATCCCTAGCATATCCAATACACAGTATCAACAGGTAAATAGAGAAAGGTACGCACACTCGGAATTGGTTAGCGAGCAATCCATCTCCTGCGCAGTCTTACGTACATTTAGCGATCAGGTCAGGGCAGAGCATGATGTTATTTCAACCCTTTCACGGCCGAGGAGATGCTTTAATTCAGTCGTAATATGACTGAACGTTTTGAAGTAGAAAAAATGTATCATCACTTAAAGTTCAATAATTAATCTGATTACAATCTATATTATGTTAAATATTTAAAGAATATTTAAGGATATCAGATTAGAATCAATTTAAAATAGTACAAATTTAAAACTTTGATTTTTCTTTACTTACTGGTTTTATTATTATTTAAAATTTTAAGTTTACTAATCTTTCATGAATAGAATTTTTAATTATAATTAATTGATATGTTGTCTTAAGTTAATGTCATTTGTTTCAAGTTAATATAAATAAATTTTTAAATGTTTCAATCCTCTTTGAAATTTAAAATCATAAATTACTCTTTTTCCTGAAATATTAAAATACATTAAATATTATTGACTTTTTTTTCTTTATATAAAAATTGATGATTAAATTGACTTATGCTTCACAATTGTATTGGTAAAATACTAAATATCAAGTTATAAATTTTCTATGTATTTTCTATGTGTCAGTGACATATTAGAACCGGTTATTATAAGATCAAACATATTTCTACTCTTCGCATATTCTATTTTTATTCATTTGATATATAAACAAGTCAATAATAAAGTTTATGTTAAATAAAAGTATCGATCTCAACTTTTGACATTTAAATAATAAAGTAGCCAGAAATTATAGATACAATTTTATAGGTACAATAATACAATTTTAATTTCACTGTACCTGAGATTATATTTTTGAAGTTTAATTGGAAGAAGAAAAATAATGAATCATTAACTAGCGATCACGAATATGTAAAGCTTTTAGATTTATCTTGAATAATAATTACATATGAAGTAATAATAATAATCATTTTGAACCACTATTCTTAATTATACATCCGCATCAAAAAATTAATAAAATTGCTTACTTTGTGGGGCAGTATCTTCCAATTCTTATATTTCATTCTTAGATATTCTTTCTCTAAAATTCTAGAAGATAATCGTATCAGTAAATTTTAACAATATTAATATAATAGATACTAATAATGTGCCACATATTCCAGCAATCATTTATCTAAACAATCAATTTATAAATAATAAATATTTCTTTCATAACTTTTAAAATTTTACACATCAATCTTTTATCAATCATTACTTTATCTTCCAGCAATTGTAAAAGAAATTTACTAATGATTAATCAAATCTTACAAATTTTCCATTATAATTTTCTATTGAACGTATTGAATGCGAAAGAAGTTACGCATCGCTGATCGTGGGAAGTGGTGCAAAAAATATTGCGAAATGACCGCATGATGGGCTCTTAGCTTAGGACATCCATCTCGAACGGATTGCATCTTTTGTATTATGAAACTGATGTTAGAATATCATTAGACGAATTATCAGATAATTGCGAATCTCGGTTACGCCCACTGGCGTGATTCAGAAAGAAATTCATCAATGAACATGCCACAAACATCTTTAGTAAGAACAATTCTATAAGAATGACGTAAATCGATGTGCATGTCTCCATAGTGGGCGTCAAGATATTCCTCCATTCATTCGTATAGAATGATATTTTGTTTTTCGACGCTAGAAAAAAAAATTGAATTTTGAAATTGAATTTAATTTCCATAATCATCGGAGGAAAAATTGAATAATTATTTTTCGATCGATTTTTACCTTTCTTTTCTTGCAACTTCACTTTCTTTACGGAGAAAGCGGTCGAGTGAATTCCAAAGCGCCGATATCAAGTGTAAATTTATGAAACGCAAAAAGCTGAAATGTTACAGTGGACAATCGTCAAATTTATTTTTACTGCTTCGAGTGTAACTTCAGCGGAAGAAGAAAAAAATCCATGGTGGCGCCGGTGTGACTGTTGTGTAATCGCACGATCCTCGAACCGTTTTAAAAGTGGAAAACTTTTTAAGATTCCATGATCGTAAAGCGAACTAATTGCTCGGCTGGTGACGGCCGTCGGAGTCATGAGAAAGTTTTCTCTTCCAGCTTAATTTTTCCACGGTCATCAAGGCTGCAACATTCGCTGCGAATCGTCCTCTTCCTCTTACTGAGACTTGAGAAAGAGGTGAGAAAGAGCAAACTATTTTCTAATCTACTGTCGATATTGCATCCATATTCTCACCTTAAGATCACTTTTAGATTAATCAAGTTATCTTAGTGAATTTAACTAACCACTTTATCTCTATCAATATGAATTTTATTTTTCAGATAACACAGAGATATCTGGCAGAGATTTAGAAACGTATTAAATATTTCTTCACTTTAATGGTAAAAGCAAGATTGTAACTATCCTAAATAAATGAAAGGGTTTAAGTTTTTTTGAAAAAGTTTAAAATCTTATTTAAGTTTAAATTAATCATGTTAACAAGTGCTAAAGTTCAAATAACCACTTTGTTACTGTAAACTTGTTAATTGACTTGATATTGCCCTTTTAAATTTCAGAGAATTCATATACTTTTGTATTCTTCTTGAGCAGAATGTTATTTTTAGTATATTATTTTCATTTTTGATAATATTCATATAAATCTATTACAATTTTCTATAAATATTTTGATAATCCAATTTTCTAAATATGTAACTAAACAAATTAAATGTGAATAAAGAATTGTTTTATTTTCTAAAATGATATTATAAATTAATCTAATTTATTGTAATTTTTATATTTTTGCTTTTTCGTATTTTATATGTCTCCCAGTCATAGATGAAGTTTGTATACTTATTCTTTTGAGTATATTATGTAAAACATAATAGATTATATATATTATAAAAAATACTTGAATAAACCATTAACTTTTTTACAAAGATAATAAAAATAAAAAAATAATAAAAGATAATAAAATTTTTTATTACTGGGTAATAGAAAGCCTACTATTATATTATGTTTATTAATTATATTCTGCATTGAATATATCGACTAGTAATTGCATTGAAAATGAATTTCCATCGTCTTTCTTAAGTATCGATTGATAAAATAGTAGCAGAGATGAGCAATCAGAAGTGTAGTTATGGTTGCAACTACCAAATCGAATTCAACTGACGTACAGTAAATTTAATGAAATATCAGTGTTACAAGGAATCCGTCAATTATGGTCGAGCAGGTAGCCATTTCCAATTAAAATGCTTGTCAGGAATAATGCTTCCATATAAAGATACATATATCTTTGTCAATATGTGTTATTTGAAAAATACTTGTCAGAATATTTGGAAGAAGATTGTTTTTCAGTTTCTTTTTTACAAATGACAAATGCAAGTCATTTATTTAAGAGAAATCTTTCTTGTTGTTGTAAATTTTTTTCAAATATTCATTTTAAAATAAAACAATTTAAAAATTAAAAAAATACATTTCAAAAAAATTTTATCTTTTTAAAATCTTCTTAAATATATCTTCTTATAATAAATTAAAAAATAATAAAAATATTTAGGATATATATGTAGAGAAGAGAGAGAAAAAAATGATTCTTATGTGAAGATGATGAATTAACTCTACAAAACTATATCAAAAGTGATCTGCAAAGTTCCTGTAGAATTATCTATATCAACAGATATATCAGCAGATGATTCTTGCAATTTCAATCTTTCATTGCCATTCAAACTCCTTGACAAGGGTCGACATCACTTAAATTGTGATTGTTAGTCTGTACATGTCAATTCCAGGTTCAAACACATTTCCATCCATAAAGATTCAATCTCTATAATGAAACTATTAAAGATTCAATTATTTAGATGAAATATCAAATGTATTCTTGATTAAGAATTTCTGAAATATTAGCTCAAATTTAAATTGGAATTTAAAAAGAAAGGTCACTTAAATTATCACGGATATAGGAATTGCAACATTTGAAAATAATATCTACGTGTAGGCATTACATACCATATTATTAGATATTATTAAAGCAATGGTTAATAATCCGCTCATGACTTGTAAAACGTCTTCACCGTGCATGTTAATCGCTAAAATGACAGGAGTAAGACAGACTCTCTCTTCAAGCTCCCGTGTAAATGCTCCCAGTTCATCATCCATTCTCTCTACATCTTCATTCTTCATTCTTCAAAAAAAAAATATTAATTATACATAATTATTGAACATTTGAAAAAAAAACTATCATATATTGACAGATAATAATTAAATATTCAAAAAAAAAAAAAAAAAAGATTATCATGCATTGATAGATAACTTTTAAATATCTAAAGCTAGAAAGAAAACATTATCATGCACTATACATTTTAAATAGCTAAGGATTCAGAAATCTTCCAACAATTTAATTTCAAGAGATAAACCAGGAGATAATATCCCAATCAACCATGAATGATTACTCTTATTCTTATTCTACTCTTATTATACTCTTATTCTAGATCAGTAGCTTATCCTCGTAAATAGTTCATGATATGGGAATTGGCGGAAAGAGATGGTCGTGGTTTGACGGAGCACCCAGATTCTTGGCAAGCAGTAGGTCATCCGCGACTAGAACGAAGATTTTCACTTTCATCGTGACCGAGGGAATGTCTACTTGGATGCGCAACAGACAAAGGCGTCACGGCGCGAAGAAGCTGGCTAACTATGACACGCAACTTCGACAGAGGATCGGATATTCATAACCTTCCATTGAATTCGCGCACTCGTGCGAATTCTACGTTCCACTTGGTCTCTTCCTTTCATCACCTTGATGTGAAAACAGAAGATCCATAAGATCCAAACCTTACACCCCACCACTGGAATCTAATATTCATAACTATAATTCATCAAAATTTACAAATATTTTTTTTATTTATTATATTATTTATTAAGGATTGAATGATAAATTATTTTGAATTGATTGAATTCTTTGAAAAATGATGGAATACTTGATCATTTTTTTTTCGATATTATGATTAAGATATTGCTTACTAATATCTTTTTTATTTATGTTGTTAAGAATTGAATAAGAAAGAATAAAATGAAATTGTTCTTATTTGAAGAATAATGATAGTTATTCTAAAAATATTGATAAACTCTTTTTTAGTTAATAAAATAGTAGATTATTTGATTGATGATTTCTTATGATACTGTTATTTCTTATTTAGAGTATCTATATTTAGAGTTTAAGTTTATATTTAATATAAAATTTATGTTATATATTTATTTGAAAATATGATATAAATTATAATAAGAAATTATATGATGAATTAGAATTTCCTCAAATTATTCTCAAAGTTATTATTTTTATATTACTATTACTTAAAAGTTATTTTAAAAGTTGCCAATTACATCACTGTTAGTTAAATGTCAATGTCAAACCCGGTTGATTATTATAACGAAAAAGGAAACTAGTGATTTTCATGATACACCATGTTGAAACGAGGACAAGACGCGCGATTTAAGATCTTCACGTATCATTATGTAGAATGTAGTAAACATAATAGTACTTCTCATTATGTCGATAATGAATACCTTTCAATATCAATTCAGTATTTCTGAAATTAAACACTTAGAATTATATTATATCTATTTAAGATAGATCTCTATAACAATGAAATCTACAATTCTAGAATTAAAAATTTTGAAAAGATCAAGGTTTTACAATCCAACTTTATAATTTTATTCGAATGTATGAATAATAAATTTTCGATATCAAAAATCGAAATTTTTGATATTGTCTTCCAAAATTTTAAAGAGTATTTAATATTTTAAAATTTTACAAAAACTAAACTTAAATCCCAAAATTGAACTGTAATCAAATATTTCAAACCACACAATCATAACTATTGTAATATCTCATTCAAATTTTCAAAACATAAATAGCATTTAAACGTCAATTAGAACAAGAAAACGGATACAATCTTTTCTCTGAATCTTCTGTTTGTTTCATTCCTAAACCGAGTTTCATTCCTATTCTGTAAAGATCTCACTGCCAAATCTCACTGTCACGAAACGAGTTCATCTGAGTTTTTCAACCGTAGCTCACACGGAGATCTGCATATTTCGTGGAGCATTTAAACAATGTGAAACTTAAATATATTCTCTCTTAAATATTTTTTTTCTCTTTTTTTCATGAAAACGTCTAAGACATCTTTATCTTATAAATTTTCTTGTTCGTTCCTCTTTTCTTTTTTAACCTCTTCTTCATTTCTTTTTCACTTCTTCTTCACGACTTAAATCATTCGAAACGCTCCTGACATTTCAGTCTCTTCAACCTTAAAGTCTCACCAAGATTAAATGATTCCCTCGTGTGACCTGCCTCATGTAAATGGTTGATCCAAATCCTGAAGAAAAGAGAACACATTCAGAATTTAATTAGGATCACATTTAAGTATTAAGAAATACTTAAAAATAATAAATATAATTAGAAGAATTTTATCTTGAAAAGAAAAATTTCTATATTCCTTAATTAATTAAAAAATTACTTCCTGGTTTTTTTTCTTGATCACATGTTTTGCATTCCAATTTTGTTTGTTAATAAAACAGTGTCGCGTTGAACTTTTACTTCGCCTTAAACTTTAAGTATATACACTACACTGCAACCGCGCATCGGCCTCTTTGTTTATTCTCATAAAGGAGGTGAACAGAAGAATGCTACTATAATCCGGCAGGTTATCGTCAATCAGTTTTTTTTTTCTGAATAATTAAATGATTGTAATTTTTTCCTTTTTGGTTTACGAAATCAAAAATGCAAACTCTATTGTATGTAACGCTTTGGCATTATATTTTCTTTCCTCTTCCTTTTTTCCTCATTTCTTTTCTTTCTTTTCTTCATTCTCTCTTTATTCGTTCCTTCTTTATTTCTTCATTTCCATTTTTCCTTCTTTTATTTTCTTTTTTCAGGGAATATGAATTACAAATTACAAATTATTGATATAAATTATGTTGTTTTATATAAAAAAAATATATTTATAAGATAAAAAAAATTAAAAAATTTAAATAATATAAAAACTATAATATAATTAATGGAAATTAAAAAAAAAATGAAAAAAAATAAATATTATTCCTCCAACGAGTATTGATTTTAAAACTTAAGATTTTTGCTTATTTCCTTAAACATTCTATACAAAAATAAATACAAATATTTATCTGTTCTTCATATTCGTTTAATCAGTTTAATATCCATTCAAAAATCTATCAATATTTGATTTGAATGTTCATAAAAGAAGGTTGATTATGGCAAAAGAATTCAAGAATTCCTCTTTAGATTTACCTTCTTTCAGACTTACATTTTGGCCCATCAAATTCACGATTACATAAGGTTGGATCAGTAATTTCGGTTTATATTATCATGTAATTTATGAAATGGGTATATTTCTTTTATATGCATCTGCTTCGAATTTAATGGGGCTCCTGGAATTAAGAACAATGAGAATGAAATTCGATTTAACGTATTATGCAATGATTTTCTCTTTCTTATCTTTTTTTCTTTTTCTCTTCTTTTTATTGCCCCATTACTTTTTCTGTAATATCAATTGATTCTTACTTATATAAAATCATTCGTTTGTTCAATTATTTATGAACAGTTTTAAAATTGTAGAATATATTACAGCATTTTATTTATTATTTAAAAAAAAATTTCAACAAATAATACATTGAAATTTTCAAATTTTTTATTTTTCTGCATAATTTCAAAAAGGATCTTCGAATTTTTTCAAATTTTCAAATATGATTATATATTTTATTTAAATATTAGTTACATCACAAATTGGATTTTTATAACTATTTTATTACTTCTACCAATTATATTATATTCTTTTATATTTCTACAAATTTTAACATTTATAAATTCCTATTAATTTTATTATTTATTACATATTTTTTATTACTTTTGCATAAAGCATTTTCTAAATCAAATTTTATTTTTCTCCATCCACATATGTATGTACTGGCTTACTCAAATAAACTCACCGACATTTTCAAGTTTGTAAAACCATCGCTCGCAGACGTATCACATGTCTCTGCATCATCCTCGTCACTTTAATTGCTTTACGACACAGGGAAAGACGCGTGTCAGCCGGCACTCGTGGATTTATCGCGCGTACCGCGCGTGGACACGAGACAATTTATGCGAAACAGAGGTGAAACTAAATACGAGCGTGTTCAACATTTCCAAGCTTGAATACGATCGGATTTATTAAATATCGAATTTCGCTGTAGGGAACAATCGATGATGATCACTGAAGAGAAATTATCCACTGTAAACGATAAATTTTGAAATTAAGATGCAAGATTTCTTCAGAATCTATCAATATTTCTAAAGTTGTAAATTGACAATTGTAAATATTATGTAAATAGGAATATAAATATCAACGCTTTAATAATTAAAATTATTAAATAATAGATGACAAAAATTTGATATACAATTTAATTTAGGTTAATTTAATTTTAAATTGATTTCTAAAATTTACTCAATATTTCATATATCATATAAAGTACAAAAATAAATTCTATAGTCAATAATCCAATAACAATATTCTAAATATTATATGCTTCGTAATATTAAAAAAATATTATACGTATTATACATATATAAGATTTTCAATACTTATCTTATTTTATAAAAGAATATATTTATATTATTTGTTACTTTTGTACACATATTTGCATTTAAATTAAGCAACACATATTAAATAATAACCTCACTAAATATTACTTCAGTCTCGACAAACGAGAGAGGAATGAAGTATATTCCTACTTCACTGCATGTATTATCTATTTACATTGGATTTAAATCCGTTTGCTCTACAATCGAATTACATCACAAATAGAATATATATATATTTCTTCCATCCTTAAAAAGAAGATTAATGAAATCTATTTGCTATGTTAATAAATATCTAACAGATAAATTTAATTAAATTAATTCTATTCATTTCTAATTTATTTCTAACTAAAAATAATTTCTTATTAAAAAAAAAAAAAAAAGACTAGAGTAATACTTTAGATTTTTCTCTCCATTTTCTTCCATCTCTTTTTAATTTCAAAATTACTTGTGAAACTCTAATTACAAACTTTCGCAAAGATCTCGTATAACACTTAAAATTTTTTTCTTCATTTTTTCTTTTATTTAATTTCAAAACATCGTGGAACCTATTTACAAATTTTTGCAAGAATCCTAACTGAGAAAATAGTTTGATCGATCACTAGTATCAAGGCAGAGTGGATTACGGATCACGTAACCTGCGAAGAACGATCTTGGAGCATAGACTTTAAGATCGAGGAGGATGAAATGTCACGAATGTCTCGAACACAATGTGCTGCGAAGGAGAGGGAAGGACAACAGGGCAGAGGACGGCCGAGGACGACCGATGGGGAGTAGAAGAGAAAAGGAGAAGAAGAATGCTGGCATCCATTGAGGAGAGCATTGCGCTCGATCCAGAAGCGAGGTGTTAATGTCACGCACTTCGAAATCAGATGGAATCTAATTCAACGAACCTTGATCTTTACTGCCCCCTTTTCTTCTCTGACCTCGCGTGAAAGAACGTTTTCTTCGTTGAACAATCATCAACTATTAACCCTTTAGCATCCATCAGAGAAGAAATTCTGAAATTGAATGAAAAAAAAAAGAGAAATTTTAGCTTTGAGGATTAATATTGTGTTATAATGGAACATTTCAATTTTGCAATATTCTTTCAAACAACTTACATCATTGAATTGTTTTATAACATTGTTGGTGGTATTATACTTTTATGGAAACTTTGTTTTTTGATTTATATAGCTTTAAAACTATAAAAACACTAATTCTAATATATTTTATAGTTTTAATTAGAATTTATATTATTATGATCCAACAATAACACTTAAAGCTATAATATTATATTATAATTAACCTTTAAATGTTATTTACAAGTATTTGAAAAAATGAAAATAATCTTGTTTAAACTTGACTTCTCCAAGATAATAATCATGAATATTTCATGCAGTAAGATTAAAATAATTAATTATCATTAGTAATTAATAAAACATATTAGAAACATTATATCTTATGTCTTTATGATAACGCGAACAGAATGAAATGGCAATAATGTGCTATGATTGTTCATCAATTGAAATTGATTTCATCGATAAAAAGAGTGAACATGGCGATGAGTAGCACTATTTTGAACAGTACGATTACCATACAATTCCAAGCCTCGCAAAATAGTAGTCGAGATGATCAGAGACGTCTACCGAATAGAACGATTAGACGTTCTTTCATTGCTATTAAGTGGCACGAGGAATGTGGTTTCATCTTCAGCATCTGGAATTATAATAAGTTTTATATAGGCTTCAATAAGAAACAACAATTTGACATTTATTAAGTGTGCACTTTGAGTTTGCACATTAAATTTTATTTAATATTATTTACAATGTGTCAATATTATGAAAGATAATAAAAAAAACAATTTTTGATTAATAAATAAATATATATATATATATATCAATATAGCAAAATAAAATAAAAAAAATATATTTATACTTATAAAATAGAATATAACAATAATGTATAAATAAAATTACAATTATATCAAACAGATTATTTCAACAATTAATCATTGTAAAATGTTGCATTACAGGGTAAAAGCTAGATGACATCAAACACTATAAAATGATTTATGTTTTCAAGAAGATCAAAGGGCAGGTTCATTTTAAGTGAAATGAGTTAAATGTCTTAACGTCATTAAGAGCAGCAGTATGGCACAAAGCCATGGAAAGTCTGTTTAATAATGCTTCTCTGTACCATCTCTATTTATAATTACATAACTTTTAAATAGAATTAAATAGAGTTCTGTGTCATTAAACTCGTTTCGAGGATTACTGCAATTATATTGCGTAATTGGAAGATTGAGATCTTTTATACACAAAATAATTTTTTAGCATTTAACTTACATCTTAAAAATTACGCTAGACAAAATTATTGAAGCGTTAAATCAATATTGCCATAATAATTTAAAATAACTTTTCGCTCGCTATTAAGATATTACATAATCGTTAATTCTTTATATATAATAATAAATATAACATTTATCCTTAAGTAAGTTGATGTTTAAATTATAGGGGTTGATGGAAGAACCCTTGACCGAGTTTTAATAATCATAAAAAGGAGAAAGTTATTATGAAATACTTCTACATTATAGGATCTTCTAACATCTGTTATAAGAGAAGAGGATCATTTATGCTTGCACAACAAAGAGGGATTACCAACTTGGATATATTAATTGAAGAACACTTGTTTAAAGAATGTTGCAGAATGCCAATTCCAATGAATCATTGTAAAAAAACTGTATTTCTTTAAAAGTATTATAATAAAGAAGAAAATCAATTTTTATTCAAGTCTTTTTGATATATCATCAATGAATTTTCAATAGTGTAATAATAAATAAAAAAAAATATTATATAAAAAAAGATATTATATATTGTTTCATAAATTAGAATCGTTTTAAAATCGCTTATCAATAAAAATTATAAAAAATTATAGAATCATGACATAAAATTATAATATCAATTAATATTAATATTAAACCTATATCAATATAATTACGTATTTAGTAACAGTAAATCAATATTACAATCAATATAGTAGCATTACTTAATAATAATCAATATTAGTTTAATATAATCAGGATTACAAAATCAATAATACTATTGATCATCAATAAATTTGATTTGTCCGAGATTTACCAATATTTGCAGAAATTATTAGAAAATCATAGAATCCATGGCATAGCCATGATTGAGCCGAAGAATTATCGATTTCTTTTCTTTCAGTAGGAGTAAAGTTTTCGTAATCATCACGTCTTTATACCAGACGTATCGTTAACAGGATCTATCATTGAATCGCTGTTAGAGTGAGAGCAGAAAGACTGAAAACGAAATGGCATAATTTACAGGCCAACAATGAGATTATAACCGGTATACCGTAACGGACATACTATGTATGAAAGCCGAATGAAAAATATCAAATTGTTCCCATCGCTTTGTAAACGAATAAAAAAGGGCTGAAACAAAGAACGCCGACAAGACATCCGGCAAATTTCGAATGAGATATTTGCTATTAATATATCAAAGAATCATACCAATTCTATCAGTAAGTTGGTTGATCTATTACAAACTACGTTTCAAGAACTTAAAAGCTGGGATCTTTAAATTATTTCGTGATACTTGAGATATAGAAGTACTTGAGATATAGAAATTAAAATGGATTATAAATAGATTGCTGATGCGTTTATGCAAATGCTTAAATGTGGAAATCTACAGAATGCATATGATAAGCAAAGCAATATAAAATATTTAAGTATAATGCTCATTATGATATTTGAAAAATAAAGTAAATTTTATGTAAGTTGTACTTTTTTAATCATATTCAACAAAATTTTATTTTGCATAAATATTTATAATATAATTATGAGTAACAAAATTCTAACTATAGAAAAAACTTTAATCTAATTAAAGTACTTTACAATGATATGATAAGTTTAAAAAAATTAAAAGTAATATCTATTAAAATTTCTAATCATGTCAAATTCTCAGATAATTAGTTTTACTCATTAACTTCATTAACTTCATTAACATTAAATAATCTTGCAAGCAATTATAAAATTGACATTATACAGAAAATTCTATAAAATTAATTGTATTCTCAAAAAACCTTCCAGTAAATTTCAATTTTACAATTCAATGATAAGAAGAATCAATTGATCTAAAAAATATCAGAATGCCAAATATTATCAATAAATGATATCAGTATGTTATTTCATCTAAGAATATTACATGAACTGAAACAAATAACAGTCAGGTCACAATCATGTTACAAATGACCCATCACTGCCTCTATAATTATGCGTTTTTATGCTGGATCTCGAACGCCTTTAAATTATAATTGCAACTATAAATCAATCATAATTTCCTTTTGCCTCGCGTGGGCCTTATTTTTATGTTATTACAAAGAGGATATTTCTTTGGCAAATGAAGAATAGCGTTAAAAGTCACGGAATTCGAAGGCATGCATCATGTTCGATATTATTACCTAATCAGATTCGATCAGATCAACGGAATTAATCGAACGAATGACGAGATTCTGGAATTATTAAACGCGTCGACAATTGGTACAATCTTCCACATGTCTTCCATATCTATAACAATGTTAATTAAGAATCACAATTCGCATAAGTAGTCAAACACTCTTTTGCAAGAGGATTTCCAGCGTAAATCAAAAGGAGTCATTGTTATTGAATTGTATGGTAATGGAAATGAAGCAACACAACATTGAGACTAAGAAAAAATTACTTCTTGGCAATATTAATTTGAAAATATAGGTAATCAATTGTATAATATGGAAAAATAATATTTGGTCTAATTTAACTTTTATTATAATTGGCGATTAATATATATATGTGTGTAATAAACTATAGAATGCATGAAAAATAATAATATATTGATATAATAATAATCTTAAGAAATGGATCGTTTAATAATGGTAATATATAATATTATATCAATTAATATAATATTATATCAAATGGAATTAATCTTATTTTGTGAGATTAGCTTCTCAGTAGTATTAATATATGATATAGTCACGTTGCTAAAAGTAGTACAAATTGCGATGGCGTAAGTTAGTGATTTAAATAGAAAATGTTAAATAATTATAATTTTTTTTATCTTTTCTGATATCTATTGAAAAATCTTTAATCTGACTACTGTAACAATAAATATGTTTGCAAATGTTCTACTATACAAAATAAGAAAATTGGAAATAATGTAAAATTAAGTAGTTAAATACTTTAAAATTATATTAAAATACCTTTCACCGTAAAAAAGAAAGAGAATTTCTGTTCTTGATTTTTCAGCTAGCAAATTATACAGATGTGTTATAACACGTCTTTGAGAGCTTTAGCGGAAGATGTCTACCAAGTTGGTACGAGAATTAGTAATTTATTATTCGTCACTATTGCACCATCCTCGTCATTCACTACTGAACCATGTAATCGCAGATGACAAAAAAGTGAATAATGAGTGCTAATATTGCATATAAAGGAGCATGTGTCAAAGATTTCTTTAAATATAGAAATATAGAAATCATATAACCCTCTTGTTCCTGAAATTATATAAAAAAAAATTAAAAAGATTGTTCAAATAAAAAATATATGAAAGCGTACACATTATGTTTCATTAATGAAAAAATTCACTTTATCTTGACTTAATTAATTGATTGGAACTTTTATAACGAAAAAGATTTGAATATGTATTTCAACCGGAAGGCGGGTTTCTAATTTATTTCCTGCGCCATCTATGCATGAAAATAAGAATGATTTATAGTAGTAATCATATTGAAAATCAGGTTTAATGAGCTCAAACATTAGAACGAGAAGTCTAATGAGGTCTCGTTTGAGAAAATCTAATATCCACAGATAATCCTCGTTCTTACTATTGCGTATTATTCTAATGCAGTGCTTCTCAACATACTTCAATATTTTGAATATTGTATTGTATTTCTTGCACTATTAGAACAATATTTTATAATTATCAAATATTTATTATCATCAAAATATATATAATTTATTCGTGAATCTGAATATATTAAATTAAGTTTTTTTTTTAAATTTCATAATTTTATTATGAATTTCTTTTAACAGTATTTCTTTCAACAACAACATTTTTACAAAACATTTTGAAGTTTTAAGATTAAAAGAAATTTTCAAAAGTATTCAAATTTTATTAAAGATTTAAAAGAACATTTACAAGTACTAATAATCAATACATATATAAAAGTTTTATATACTGATGTGGATATTAGATGATGAAGACAGAAATTTGGGAAACACTGTTTTAATGATTTTCATTTAAAGTACTCGGTTGGCAACTTTATCGTACATATGTCCCTTAAATTTACGACTCGCGCGAAGCATAAACATCCTGCTATTATACGAGGTCCGCTGTAGTATTCCGTTAGTGAGTATTGTATTCCCTTATCGAGAGGTATCTAATAAACTATCTAATTTCGCACGAACTTGACACTTTTTTCCAAAGAGAATATACTCGCGGGATACGTATTTCTATCCTAATCGCTATTTCTATTAATGTTAAGCACTCTTAAATTCTATGATTAATTTCTAAACTAATTTAATTTCATAACCTAACAATAATAGGACTGAATTGTAACAAGTTTATAGAATATGAAAAAATTTGAAAAGACATAAAGAAGATAATATCATATTTAATTTTTCTTTTTTGATTCATAGAAATCATATGAAAGTTAAATTTATTTTTTCATTAAAACTGTTAAGAAAGAAAGTTAATTGTTCATAAACAATGTTTGTTTTTTAGTTATTTAGTTATTTTTTATTTACTAACTAGACTTTTAGACTAACTTTTAGATTATTTAGTTTCTGAAATTTTACAATATTATGATGAGAATTTTTAAAAAATATTACATTAATCTTTCAATCCTAATTTTAATTTTTTTTTTTTCAGAAAGAATTTTTTTGAAAGAAAAATAACATCAATTGAGTGATTTTCATCTATGATTTAATCATCTTTTTGTGAACAAATTGGCCAAGATAACTATAAAATGATGTGTGTGTGGCCTGTTCATAGATTTGAAAAGGTCTCGCTGAAATCTGATTGCTTCTTGCGCGTTAAAATAGCAATCAGCTGATCTCGTGTCAAAGAACACAATACTGAACAGAATCATTACGAAATCGAATTTCGATACCTGTAAACCGTGACTCGCTAAGCGTTTTTGCCTTTCAACCCTTTCATTGCTTTCTCTTCTTCTATTTATGGTAAATTGATGACTTTTTGTGCCAATTCTAATATTAGTTTTAAATAAAAAAATAAAATTCATTAAAAATAAATTTTTTTTGTAATGTAATCAAGATTTTATATATTCTTTATAATTACAAAATAATAAAGAAAAAAGTAGAAATATTAATATTTTTTTATATAGTTAGTAAATAAAAAATTTATTATTTCTTCAATTAAACTTATTGTAAATAAGATTTAAAAATTTAAAAAATATTAAAAACTAAATTATTTGTAGAAAAAATTAATTTTCCTGGAAAATTCATTATTTTCTAAATGTTAAGATAAAAAAAAAGATTCTACTATCTTATAAACTAATATAACAAAATCATTACTAATAATTTAAATATATTTTTTACAGCATTTTATATTTTATGTGAAAATTAATCCTCAATTTTTAATATTATAATAAAAGTTGATATAATTAAATCAACTAAGAAAATTTAAAAATATTCAAAAAAAATAATGAAAAAATAAAAGGATATTGAAAGAAATTATTTAAAAAAGAATGCTGGAAGAACAATTGAATTTTCGTTCAGGTAGATAAAAAGCTATGAAGCATAAATGAAGAAAGAAATTGCTAAGAGGCAGAATATATTCCTGAGAAGCTAATTTGATCTTTGTAAGATGCGAATAAAATTTACAGTGCAGTATAGAGGGAGGTGTGTACATGTATTAGCCGGATCATGGCCGTAAAGCAAGAGCTCGATCTGTCGAAGCACATGTTGCTTTCGTATACGATTCGACCTCGCGTTCGCTCGATACTTACTCCGGTCTTATGCAAATCAGCCGAGCAATACGTGCTTGGTGGAATGATGAGCGGTTGGCTAAGGTCATCGCAAAGGAAGGTTAGAGAATAGGATTGGATTCACCCCTTTGCTTAGTTAGATGTGCGCTTGGATTGGTTGCATAAAATTGTTTAAAGAAAATCTGTAAGAAAATTATGAAATTAGAGATAGTGAAATGTAGTAAAAAAAGAAAATACAAAAAACATAATAAAAGAAATATAAAATACTGAGAAATAATTTGCAATTTATGAAAATTTAAAAGAATTGATAATCTAAAAATATTAATTCTTTACCTGATAGCTAATTACATATTTTAAGAATATTAGAGATATATAAATAATTTTGTTAAAATGAGAATATACAAATTAGTGCTTATAGATAAATGCAATATTTAGAATCCAATTTAAATATTTCTATGAAAATTTTTGGAATTTTATTATATTTGGAAATTTATTATAAATTAGAAATATTAAAATTTGGCAAACGAAACATAATAAAGATTTCAAAATTATAAAATAAAAATATCGAATGATATATCAAAACTAATAAAAATATTAACTTGCTATTAATTATACAATATAATTTTAACGAAGCGTCTAATTATTAATTATGTAAAATTAAGTCAGAGTAGTTGCCATTGCATTTTCACTATATTTCAAAAAATGGAAGAAGAACGTCATATGTTGTTTGGTGCATTTAATTAACATATTGTATTCTAATTAATTCTAATTAATATTACTAGAATATCCAACATTCATTATTCAATTACTTGAACAATTCCAAAATTATTCATATTCATAGCAATTTTGTATATATTCAAAGTAAAATTTCATCCCTATAGAAGACATAAATTTATTTAAAAAAAAATGATACTAATATAATCACCCTTAAATTTTAAAGGATATATTTTATTAATATCTTCTTATCCAGATTATTAGGTCAAGGACTCGTAACTTTCACAAAAGGTGTTCGGTTTCTTTCTGATGCTTCAACTGAACGCATATTGACGAGCTTTTGTATGTCATTTTCATATGATTTTTCTTTCTAAAAAAAAATGATATAGACATCAAATCTGCAACAATCACCAAATATCCTATGATTAGATAAACTAATAGTATTCCAATTATATAAATACGAATTGTATAATAATTAAAATAATAATTTAAATTTAACGATATTATTAATATTTTTATAATTCTTTCACGAATTTTCAAATTAACTTATTAAAAAATAACCTATAATAAATTCTACTTTCATAAATTTTTTTTCTTCTTTCAAGAGGTGTTGTAAAGTTTCTTAAATGAAAGTTAAGAAAGGATTGCGCAGATTATTCACATAATCATGTTACCAATAATTTAAGAGAATAATCAGCAGGGGTGCTAGGGTAATCACTGTCCCCTTTACGAGCTACAATAATTTTAGAATTGCTTTCACATTGGTCACATACGGGACTTGTCTTTAAAGAAATTATGACCACAGCATTACAAATGCATTCATGACGAATATAAATAAAATGATAAATATCATATGATTTTCATAGAATCAAATTTATTTCTATTGCTACAGAAAAATCAATCAAACAACGATTGATATTTTTTATTTATCCTTTGTTATAATAAGATACATATAATTTCAATTTTATCAATAATCATTTATATAATATATCATTATTTTTATTCTCTTAAAAATTAATGATATATCGCTGATATATATGATCATATATGATCATAATGTTTGAAGAAATATCGTAATACAATATATCGGCTGTTGGAAAAAATGAGTAAGAAGGGTATAAGATGTAATAGAACAATAGATATCTTCGACCATTCTCTCATTATCGGAACCTCTCCCCCAATCTAACGAATCCTGTGATTCGACATCAACGATACTTAAAGGTAACTCCTTCCGTGACATTAGAAAGGCACTCCTAGTCTCTTGTTGCATCGGTCCCTTTGGCTCGTTCGTTTCACACGCCACGTCGGATGTAGAAACAGTTACAGGCAACGTTCCTTCTCTGTGATACACCTCTCCATGATATTGGGATCAGATCTTCCTGTCACTTGTGAGACACTTAAACAGGCTGAATAATTGCCTCGCTGGAAGATTAAATTTTTATTAAAATTTAATTTATGAGAAAATTAATAAGAGATTAAAAGATATTAAATATTTATTTATGTTACAAATAATGAAAGAAAATTTATTTTCGGTATATATCTTCATGTATCCTGTGATAGCTATATAAATATTCAAATGATGAGTACTTCTAGAATTAAAAAAAAAATCGTAAAAATTATTCAATATCGTAAAAGATAATTGTAATATGCAAATATGCAAATGATATAAAATTACTTAAGAAATTAGTTAAGGAAACTAAAAGAAAACTGAAAAAAAATTCACTAAAAAATGACGGTCCAGAAAATTTTTAAAAAAATTTTGCCTATTATTCGTTATATTTTAATATGTATTTTGATATATATATTTGATTATGTTCTTCTAATACAAAATTGTAAAATTAAAAAATTGGAAAAATTTCCAACTAAATACTCAATAATTAATAAGTTTTAAAATTTTTTAAATTTTTCAGATTTAAAGTTTTTAATTGAATTCTATAATCTTGTAACAGGAGAACATAACTGAGAAAAAATTACAAAATTTTTTGGAATTTAATATATTTACGTATTTTATATTTATCATTTATTTCTTTAAACTGACACATTTAAAAGAAAATTTTTTAATCATTATACATAATTCTAATTCTAGAAGTTAATATTCTTATATACGTATATATGTATTTAATATTTACGTTTAATATATTTATTCTTTAAAGATATTACATTTTTAGCAAAAAAAAAAAAAAGATTGAACATATAAAAAATATATTTGATATATAGATTTTCAGAAATGTTGTATAAATAATAATATATAATAACATATAAAAATATAAAATTATATATAAATTAAACAAAGAAAACAATAAACAAATTTGAATGCATAAATTCATAAAGTAAATATAGATAAGAATATAGATAAGAATACTTATTACTCGAAGAAAGATAAATATAGGATAAAAATAATGAAATCAGCGCCATCTTCAAAGTGCCGCAAATTATACACATAAAGATAAGATAAAGATAGAGAATTAATTGCCAACGCCATCTTCTGAGTAACAAAAACTTTTTTTTACAAACAAAATAAAAATTGAAAATTAACTCCTTTTTTCGAATAGCTTCTAAAGAAAATGATTTATAGAGATATTTTTGATTTTCAAAAGATGACATCAATAATCAATATTTGCTTTATTTATTTTTTTAAAGAAATGTATTTGGTAATTAAAAAATGGCCTTAGTATCAATTCTTATCAATTCTTTTTTTTTTATCTCTGTTTCATTTCAATTCTCTGTTTTATCTTGTTTTCAAAATAATATCTTTGGTTTTCGAGAGATGGTGCTGATGACTCTCTCTACCTTATCTTCTCTTTGAAGAAATGTTTTTGGTACTTAAGAGATGAAGTTAATAGTCAATTCTTATTCTACTTTATCCGGCTTTAGAAAATATATTTTTAATACCAAAGAGATGGCAATAATGATCACTTCTTACATTACTTTTTTTTTCTATTTTCTCTTCAATTTTTATTCCATCTCTGTTTTTCCATAATTGTTTTTAACTTACGTATACTTTATACCATTGTTATTATATTTATTTTGTTTCAATTATTCAAATGATATAATGTAATTAGAATACAATTAGTTTTCCTGAAAAAGATAATGGAATTATATTTCTAATCATGAATTTCACTTATTCTTATCAAATTTTTCTGAAGTAAAAGAAATGACGAACATCATAAAATTTTTTTGTGGAAACAGAAAGCATAAATAACATATATAAAATGATTGGAAAAAAGACTGAGAACTTGCGTAATATCGAACAATGTTCCCAGTTCCGTAGTTAGAGGAGCCTCGGGCGTCCATCAAACAGCCTTGACATTTTATTCGTTTCTGTATCTCAGCTACGAACCTTTTTCTTAAAGATATTAGAAGAAGAATGATCTATAAAGTTTGACATATTCTATTTTGAATGTCATAAATGTCATTAATATAATTATCTTTAATAATAAGACGATATAACATTAATGCCGCCATTTTGGAGAACTTGCTCATATTTGTACGTATAAAAATCTTTTACTAATGAAAATAACACATATATATATATAATGATATTGATAAATTATAATTATATAAAAGAATTATATATTAAATAATATTTATTTACTTTTAAATAAAATTTAAACAGAAATAAAAATATAATCTCATTCGAAAGATTCAGCAAAATTCATAATTGATTATTCATAATTAATAATACAATAATAATTTTGTAATAACATACGAATTATCATTACAAATTATCTATAATAATATTATATATATATAACTTCTATAATAATAAAACAATATAAAAAAGTTGGATATTTATGTATTTACATTTACTTATTTGTATATTTATATATGTATTTCTATATTTCTAATTATAATAATTCTTAAAATATGAATCTCATTGATGTGAAAAACCAACTATTCAATATAAAATAAAAAGCTATATAATATAAACTATATAAACTAACTATTCAATATAAAATAAAAAGCTATATAATATAAACTAATATAAACTAAAATACAGGACATTTATAATTACTAAAGAACGTTCATATTCTATTATAATGGATGCTAGTTAATTGATAATCAATTATTTATATTATTAAGGAATTATTTGTATTATTAATTATTAATTTATTTATTATTCATTATTCATTATGATGTAAATGAATTTTAATTTACATGAACTATAATTAAAATAATTTAAAATATATATAATATAATACATAAAAATTAATTTATTTAAATTAATTATAAAATATCAATATATCTCATTTTCTTTAATATAATTTTGCACAATATGCAAAGATTTTCCCAAAGATTTTAACTAACAAAATAGGAAAGAGAAAAGAATCTAAAGAGCGAATGGAATTGAGATGCTCAGAATGAATACGCGTGGTGGTTGAGCGAAGATGATAAAAGCTTGCAAAGAAGAAGAGGCAGGTAGTTTTGATTTCGGGAGCGGGATAGCAAGAGCTCGAGATGACCCCGACGACGATCGTTCATATATGTATATTGATTGCCTGCGGCATTCTTAACTTTGTGAGCTGCGAATACAAGTCATCCAGTGAGTACAAGTGAAAATATAAATCTTCTGCAAATAACACTTGTGAAATTTCTATGTGTTTGATTATTGTTTTTCAAGATTTGTGTATTTTTACAATTATTATACTTCTTATTATATTTAATTAATTGATCCAATAGTCTTTATTTATATAAATTTGTCTTATTAAGTTTTAATAAAATTAAATTTTTTTATTTTATTTATTTCGAATATATATATATATATTATGCATATAATATATAATATATATGTATAATAAATATATACAAAATTATATTTAAAAAATGTACATGAACAAGAAAAAATATTTAATAATTATTTAGAAATAAAATAATAATATAGAATTATTTAGAAATAAAATAATAATTTCATTACTGATAAATGTTAATTTGATAAATCAATATATATTTATTGTATGTTTGATATATGCATTATCTAATCATTGAATTTTAATCTTAAAAATGTTTAAAAACAAAAATATCATTGTATATTTTGGTATGCAATGAATTAATATATAAGAGATAGAATTATAATAAATTATAATTATAATTCTAATTATAACAGATAGTAATATTTAAAATTATTATAAGTAGGAACAATTATTTTGATATAGAATATAGAATAACTATGAATAGAATGAAAATATAAAAATTATTCAAAATTTAAATTCTACAGTTTTCTTTTCGTTATAATTTTTTTCAATATATCGTAAAAGATAATAACTTTTTAATAGTATTTTATAAAATTAGAATAATTTTAATATCTTCAATATTGATCATATATATATATACACATTTCATCATTCTTTTCAAGATTTCAAAAATTTTAATGACTTCAATATACATTAGAATTTATACTCCGTAGTTTCATTATTGGATTCAGTGATTTCATAAAAACATAAATGGAATTTCAGTATGCTCACATAAACTGTGACAAGTTATTTTGTTAAGGTTTAAAATTACCCGAAAGATAGTCACGTTTAAAATTCATCACTGTTGTTGAGAAGCAGTACCATTTAACTTTTCATCGGCGTTGTTGCATCATCGTGTCATTTTGTGTTGTTTATTCTCTCACATTAATTTTTTTTCTTATTATCAAAATCACAGATTCTTAAGATCAGTATTGCGTTTCTAGCATTCCTTCTTCCTAACAGAATGATCTATTTTATCATTATTAAATTTGATTAACATCATTATTATCATTTAACATAATTAGAATTTTTATTAATAATTACTAATAATTAAAAATAGAAATTGTAGAATTTTTTTTACAATTTTTAAACTTATTATTTTTTATCTAAAAAATTCTTTTAAATTTAAAAAATTGATATTATTCCATTAAATTGTTCTTTAGTACAATCATTCTATTTTTATTCTAATATCAGGATTTTATATTTGCAAATAGAAATAGCGAATATATAATATTAATAAAAATATTTAATAATTTATTTTTATATATTCTATATTTTATATTTCTCATTTTAATTAAAATATATAATGTTAATCTGGCCTAATAATTTAAAAATCAAGTGAAACAAAACTTATTTTTCTATTTTCTATCAAATGAATAGAGAATTATTTATATTAAATTATATATTATTTATATTAAAATAAATTACATAAATCATTGAATCCGATGCTGCAAAAAGATTTTATTTCTGCTAAAAGAAAAAGAAATTTATATGTGCATACTTAAATCTGCTTCGAGTTTAGCTAAAGATAATCTAGAGAGTTCGCAAAAGAAGTGAATATATAACTTACATGTAAGATAGAGATAGAGAAAGAGAAGTGCGGAGGTCAAATCACATCGTTAAACTTTCTCCATTCGAGGCTTTTCGATAGTAGACGCGAATGCATGAGCACGCGCGATTCGGAGACCGGTTTCGTCTTCAAGGTGCTGCATTATGCAACGAGTCAGAGTTTCCAATTCAAAAATTTGCAAAAATAGTTCTGCAATCATTAAAATCTATTAATAATTAATATTTTAAATTCTTAAATTTACAAAGAAAAAAATAAAAAATTATTTACATATAACAGAAAAAAAATTTATAAAGAATGTAAAATAAAGAAAATGATAAGAAATTAGAAGTAATAATTAAGAAGATAGTTTTTACGTGCAGTATATATTTTTTATCATATAAAAAAAATTGAGAAAAATATTCAATTTTATAAATCTAAAAAAGATAAAATTAAAATTAAATTTTTAATTAATTATGATAATACTTTTAATTGAAAAAAGAATTGTATAACTTTCTAAAATCAATTTCTAAATGATGCAAGATTAAATTATGTTAAAATAAATAATTTTTTTTTTAAGAAATGATTAAGTAACAAAATATATAATCAATTCGAAATGAAAAGTAAAACAAGATAGAATAAATTAGATAATTTCTTAAGACATTGATTGAGAAACTCTGGCGAAATAATATTAAAATAGATATTTCATATTTAAATATTGAAAAATCAAATTTTATTTTTAATAATCTTTTCATGACATTTAAACATAAAGCATTATATTTTTTTTAATATTCAAGAGAATATTATTATTTCAAATTTTTTTTAAAAAATAAAATTTTAATATAAATAAATACATTTTAAATTGAAAATTCATATAAAAAAAAATTATTTTTTTAATATTTTTTTATTATTAATTTTTTTTATTATTTTTTAGATGCGATTCAACATCTTCTTGTCGGAAAACGAAACCAAGAAGATAATGTAAATTTCTATGGCAAACAGCAAACCTCGTTATCCTGTCCAGAAAGAAATGGTCGATTTCCAATTTCGTCTCAATGTGATGCCTACATAGAATGCATTGACGGTATCCCTGAAGAAAAATTATGTCCCGAGGGACTTCTATTTAGTCCTGAAGCAAGATTCAATTATCCTTGTGGATATCCAATAGATGTAAATTGTGAGGGAAGACCTAATCGACGTTAGTATTATGCAATTTTCTATCTTCTTCAATTTTAATCTAATTAACTGAAAATTAAAAAAAAAATTGATTTATTATTCTTAATAATTTTTCTCAGAAATACATATATTGATTTGTTATTTTGTATATTTAATGATATTGATTTAAAATATCAAATAAGAAAGATAAATTATATCATATTTTAAATAATATTATGTAATCTTTACTGATTTTAAAATTCTATTATTTCTTTCATTTTTATAATATCTTTATTAATTTATATGTATTATTTATTAATTTTATTTTCTTCTTTTATAATTTATTTATTTAGTTTTTTCAAAATTATCAAAAAATTTCAAAATTTGGTATTATTTTGGTATTATTAATTAGATATTATTTTTTTTATATTTAAGTTATGTTTAAGTATAATAAATAATAAAAAATAATTTTTAGAACCTGCACAACCAACTGCTGATTGTCCTCATCAATATGGTTATTTCAAGGTTGGGGATAAGCAAAATTGTGGTCAATTTATGAATTGTGCTGACGGAAAGGGATACATTTTTGATTGTCCTGAAGGATTGGCTTTTAATTCAGAATCTTATCGTTGTGATTGGCCCGATCAGGTCACTGATTGCGATGTTGAAGGTAATTTTTTTCAATAATCATGCACAATATAAATATCTTAATATATCTCTACATAAATCTGAAAAAATTTTTAATTGAGAAAGTAAATTATATAATATAAAATTATAAAAATAGATCTTGAAATTTAAAATTAATAAGAAAAAAACTATAATTTGTACTATTCATCATTGTACTATAAATCACATTAGAATCTAATTTTTTTTATATTATTATCATTATTTATATTTTGAAATTATCAATTACTTTACATTTTCCATATAGCATTCTTGGGCTTCGTTTGTCCAGAAGATCTTTCTACACGAGAAATCAAATTTTTCCGAAGTAATCTGGATTGTCAGCGGTACTATGTTTGCGTAAATGGCCGACCACGATTGCAAAATTGTGGTGAGGGTAGGGCTTTTAATGAATTAACAGGCGCTTGTGATGCTGCGGAAAATGTTACTGGATGGTAAGGCTTTCTTAAAAATAAAATTAAATTTACCGATTATTTCTTTCCTGCAACGAATTTTTCTTTTATTGTAAAGAATTAATATTTTTGAAGTTTTGCATTAAATTATCTCTAATCAATAATCAATTACTTTCAATTTGCAATATATATAATTTTGCAATTAATAAATATATATTTGAATTATTAAATATATTAAAAAATTCATGAAAATATATAAATCGATATATTTTATTAAAATTCTTCTTTGAATATTTTTTAAATTATTTTAATTATTTATTCCACAATTCTTTTTATTATATTATTCTCTCAATTTTAATTTTAATTCTCTTTATAATTTAAGAAATTTTGTGAAATGTTTTTATTAATTGTTTTTTAATTTTCTATTTTATTTTTTTTTTTTTTGTTTCTAGTGAATTACTTGGATTGTTACATGAAAAAAAAACTGTGAAATTATTTTAAATATGGAAAGAATTTTGGTAGCATCTGTAAATTTTGATGAACGAGTAATTTCTATTATTTAAACATACATATTAATAATGCTACATAAATGAAGAAATAAGTTTTGCAAATATGAGTAAGTGAAAAAAATATGATGTAAATAATTGTATGTTAAGAATGTTCAATATAAAAAAAAAATATATTTAGTAATTTTTATGTAACAGATACTTTTATAAATGAAATTATCCGTTAAATAATCTTTTTTAAATAATATGTGTTAGTAATAAAATGTTTTATACTCATTTCTTTTTTTTTTTAATTTCAATTGTGGAGTTTTACATCGAATATACATTCATATATACACGAGTTTGATCTGGTCTCTGAAGTATAGTTTTGAAGTAGAAGAATACGAATGTAATGTAATTTAAATAGTTTTAATAGCTCGTCTGAAATTCGGTTTATAGAATCGTTTGAAAATTGATACATTCTGATACAATCGAAAATATTTTATTTTCGAACTTTGTAAAAATAGGTAACATTTAATGTAAGATGATGCAAAAAGAAAAAATGCTGCTTTTAAAATAAATTTAAGAATATATTTAGTATTTTTAGAATTTTATAGAAAACATTGTATATTCTTAAAACATTTCTAAATATTTATATATTATTACATTCTAAAAAGCGGCAATTGTTCTTTCGCAACATCATGTTCTCTAAAACGTTAATGTTCTTTCGCAATCGTGTACGAATTGTATGATGTAATTTAAACTTTAGAAATATTATGGTATTTAAATTTATACATTAAAAAATTATAAAATTTGATTATAGAGGCACACTTATTATATTATATTATTTGTTAATATCCATTAATATATATGTCTATTAATATATATATGTCAATGAATATTAACATATGAAATTCATAGAGAATTTTATTAATATTTTCTTATAAATATCAAATTAAGAAGAAAATCAATTTATTTCTTTTCTAAAATAATTCTATCATTTAAATTATAAACGTTTTGTACATAATTTTGTAAACACGTATTTTTCATGTATACATCAATGCATTCATTCTAAAATATATAAAAATATAACTGCATAACAAAGAATCAAACGAATAAATCTGTATTTGTCTCATTTTATATAAAAATATATTGAAATATGATTCATCATACAAAATTAATTAGAATATTGTAATGATATTGATATGTTTATTTCACAAATTTTTTTGCAATATCTTCATTATAAAAAAAAAGTAATTATTTTAGAAAATAATTCTATGTGATTAATATATTCATTATTAAAAATTCCGTACATATAGATACATTTTATTATTAACATGTTAAAAAAGAGCATGATAATAAATAAATTGATAAGATTGTGTATAAGATATAATAATGCACATAGAAAATTTTCGATCGGTTAATTCAATATGTTGTATTTATTATAATAAACATTAAATATACATATACACATTTATTTTATTATTTCGTAATTTCGTAATTTACAATATAAACGCGATATACGCGACACGAGGAATTTCTATGAAACTGCACCTACATTAATCCAAACTGAATAGGAATGGATATCGACATGATTCGATTTAATCCGATCCATAAAACGACATACGACTTTGAAGAATTCTTAAAAATTATGGTCAAAATTATTTATTATTCAGCAACAGTTACACTAGACATGAATTCAAGCATATAATTTTAGAATTAGTTAATAAATATATATTTATATGATTATGTAAATTTAATTATATTTGTTTGTATTTACCTAATTCATGTTTAATATAATCGTTGCCTAGACCATCCGAATTCTTAAGTCGCAGAAAAAAAAGAATAATTGAAAGTGAATACATATATTTACAAAATGAAAATTAATTTATACAATAAATATATAATAAAAAAATATATATATATATATATTCACCTTAAATTATTATTATAAATACATGCTTTGAAAACCAGTTAGGCTTAACGAATTCTGGTGCAGTATTAATAATCTCAAGACAAAAAGTGTAAAAATGTGTAAAAATAAATATAGAACTTCTTATTTATATAATTGTACACAAATTTATAGATTGTAATTTCAAAAATCTGAAAATATTAGTATATATTAAAAAATGACTGCTAAAATGTCTGGAAGTCCATATATTATTATTAATTATTATTAATTATTATTATTATTATTACTACTACTACTATTATTATTATTATCATTATTTACAAATTTATTAAAAATAAGAAATTTACAGTAAACAATATGGATTAGTCGATTTATAATCTTGTTAAAATAATTCAATCGTTAATATTACATTACTTAGCTATTCCATGAATCATTGCATGAATTGAACGATAATATTTTGAAAAATCTTTATATCAAAATAATAAAAATAGAAATTTTATTATTATATGCTTCTGACAAAATATTTCCAATTAGAGGTAACAATAATATGATATTTATTAAGAATAAATATATATATATATAAATTATAGTTGAAAATAAACAAAATTTTTAAATACTTAATTCTTAAATATATATAAAAATCATATAAAATGTTTACGTAATGAAAAAAATTTTTACGTTTTATATACTCTTAAAATAAATGAAATCAATAACTTATTTTTTTCTTAATATATATATATATATATATATACTAGAAGAAATGTTTTTAATATCTCACATTTTCATGAAGTTTATTATTTCTTTGTTTTATTTTTTAAATTTTCCATTTTAATTTTTGATTATTTTAATTCTTGAATGTTATATTATTTTGTTACAAATTTAATAAAATTAAATTAATTTATTATTAGTAATGACAATTTGGAGTGAAAATAATACGAGAATGACCACCAGAAAACCTAATACGCAGCAACTAAAGAAAAAAAATAACCTAAATGTATATAGATTTCTAGCGAAATAAGAACAAAAATAATAGAAGCGGCGCCGCTACCTTACCAACACAATAAAATTCCTATTCGAATTAACGTCAACACAACTGGATCAATTCATAAATGGAAAACTAGACAACATTGCCTAATCCTAAAACATATACGATATGAAACATTTATGAAACTATTCTATTTTATTCTATTCTAAATATATAAAACCTATATTAAAGTAATCTTATATATCTACATAAAAATATCAATACTCTAGTCTCATTTATGAAATACGGAATGCTTGTATCATTTTCTCCCTAAATTGACATTACTATTAAACAAAGATATAATATGATGCGAAGTTAAAAATTTAAAAAAAATTATAATAGTAATAAAATTTGATTAAAAAATTGCAAAAAATTTTTAGCATTAATATCAAAACATAAAAATTTTTTTATATGAATATAGAAATAAATTGAATATAGAAATTAAAATATATTGAACTGTATAAATATCAATAAATATAAATATCAATTTTTAGTATAATAAGATCTTTTTAATATTAATATTATTGATTTTAGCATTAGATTTACTTCGTATTTTTTCGTATTTTTATATTGATATAAAAAAAAACATTTTTACAACAAATATATAATATACTTAATTAGTATTATATTATTGTATGCGAAAAAATTTTGCCAGTAATAAGTGAAAATAGTATTTAAATAATTTCTTGGTAAAACGAATATTATTTCTTTGTAATAATTATAAGTATTAAAAAAAAAAATATTAAAAATCAACATGTTTTTCTATTTTTGTAAATTCATGAAAATTTATAATAATATAAAAGATAATATGAAAAATAAAGATTTTTTAAGATTTTTTTAATTGTTCGAGACACTTTAGTAGCGAATAATTGAAAACAATTTTAGTAAAACATTGAATTTATAGTCTTTATATATTTTACGATAATTTAATATTTTAATTGCACACATCATTTTTTATCGAAAGAATTATGTTTACTTCATTAGTTATTCGTGAACAAAATTTTTTTGATAATTTTTTTGATAAATTGATTTAGATAATCATTTAGATTAAATTATGAAAGAGGTTTTGTGGGTCCATTATGTAAATTGTGTAATTCATAAGCGAGATGACAGCATTCTGAATCACTCCAACGATGCTGTTCTCGAATTTTATGAATATTCAGTCCCGTACAGGGTGTAACTTCTGAATCCTATAACGAAAGTATATAAATTTTTCAATATAATAAATTATTTACCGTAATTAAGTTATTTTTTTAATAAAATAATTTTTATTTTTTTTTTAATAATATTTTTAAAGATAATATCTGCTTCTGAAATCATAATAAATTATGAATATATTATGTATAAGATATAAAGGTTTAGTATGAAACAAAATAACTTTATTAATATGTTTTTTTAGAGCAAAAATATCATAGAGCAAAATAATTATATATGTTATACATCTTTTAATTCTTATATTTTCAAAAAAATAATTCTTTATTTTATGCAAGTACCATAGAAAATATGAAGATTTGTAATATTCTCCGATTTCGAATTATTAATTTCAGTTCAAATAATCTTATAAAATGTTAGTGAAATTATTTAGTTTTCTTCAAAGATATATGTATACTGAATAATGTTATATTTTTTGTTATAATATTATATATAACATTAAATATTTATTTTGTTATAAATATTTATTATGTATAATAGAATTCATAAAAAGAAATATTAAAAAGAAAATAAATATAAAATAATAATATATATTTCTTCATATTTTATATAAATAATATATTTTACTATATTTTATATAAATATAAATAATTTCTCGAATATAAAATGTATTTTATTAATAATTTAATAATTTTATTATAGAAAATTATGTGAATAAAAATATATATAAATACATGTATATAAATATGTATATAGAAAAATATCTATATGTACTTACATTCGAGCAAAAGGGAAGTAACGATTGATCGGTGTATTTACCATAGGAGAGTGACGTGTGATTTGTTTGTTTTTGATTCTCTGGATACGCACTGTGTCCATTTCCTGCAATTTCCAGGTAACCTCTGCTACTTGCTAAACTACCTCCCCTCGTACCAATATCTGAAAAATATAATAGCTCTTTTATAAACTTATATTAATTACATTAAAAAAATACAATACATTATAAAAAATATTGAATAAAAATTAATAGAAATTTCTTTCATCCATAATTTTATTTTTTAATAAATAATATTTTTTAATTAATAAAAATAACAAATATTCTTATTAATTTTGTTATTTATTTCATTTAACTTCTAAAATATTTAATAAAATTTTAAATTTGTTTGAAAAAAGAATTTATATTTTATGAATTAATTTTCATTTTGAACATAATATAATAGATGATTATGAGATGAAATTATTTCTGATCTAAAATTGAAGAAATGTTTGCAGAATAAAATAAGAAATATATATTTTTGAACTATTTCGTAACTTTCTATTTTGTTTATGAAAAATATTAAGTAAAAAAAAAAGCAAAATTCATTTGAAATATTTTTTACTCGAAAATAAAGTGAAATTCTAATATTTATTATTAATAATAAATAAATAAAAAGATAATATAAAATGAAAATCTTTTTCTTAAAAATATATCAAAATCAATGCTTCAATCACATATATATTAGTTTTATAGAAAGTTTTTATACAAATTCTTTCAAGATTAAAACAGATATTTTTAATGAGAACGTGACATAAAATATATAGAATAATAGAAGAATAAATTAAAATATCCGAATATGACAACGAAAAGTATCAAAACATAATAAAGATGGCATTAAAGATCGGAAGCTTTGATAGGATAGAGAGGACACCTTGTATACTCGCCATCGAGTGGGTGGAGCGTCGTGCTGTCCTATCATTAAGAAAATAGAGCCAAGGTGCTTTCCACCAGCGTGATCGCTCCGAGTGTTTATCAACTTTCGATGGATTGCAACTACACGTACTATTTGAGTGAGTGGAATGTCTGGAGACCCATTTAGTATGAAAATGGAGTAATCTCTGGTTTTTGATTACTCTAGTTACTTCAGTCCGTACTTCGCCATTGAGAAAACAATATAAAACAGCCACAAAGAAACCCTAATATGAAATAAGAAAATTAGAAATAATAATATGAATATAAAATAAGAAAATAGAATTTAATTGTCAAATAATAAATAAAAGTGAACATAATAAATTAAAAATTTTGAAAAAATATATGATAACTCTTGATTATAATGATTATGAAATTCCGATCGAAATGAAAAAAAAAATAATAATAAAAAAATTCAAAAATTGCAAATAAAAAAATTGTAAAATATTATTTATATATATAATAATTATATATATAATTGAAGAAAATAATTAGGGAAACATTACATAAAAAATCTCATACTTGAAAAGATGCAAAAAGTTGATCACAAAAGAGCCACACAATTTCAACAGTTTTATTTATACCAATACTGTAAGACATGCCCAAAAAAAGAGTATAATGAACTCCAAATAATGGTACCAGAACCAAAGTACTTTTTGCCCATCTCCTGAAAAATGATCCAATCTTTTTAACAAATGCAGAATAACTTTAATAAATGTAAAAAATCGCCAAAATGATTTATTTTCTAACAGAAAAGATCTAAGTTTACAAAAACTTTTAGCAAACGAAATTAAATACAATTGAATTACTCCACAAGTCTATAAAAGAAATGAATTAACTTACTTGTATCTTTGTGTTTCCTCTGATACTGTGGATTTCAACTTTAACAAGAGCACTCTAACGATATTGACAAATAACACGAAGTTGATCTATGGAATTTAAAACAATTTTTAATTGGAATAATTTTTTTTTAAATTTGAAAAGAAATATTGAGAACAAAAAGTTGAAATACAACATTCGAATAAAATTTAAAAATTAAGGAATTAAATATAATTGAAATTTTCAAGAATGATTTTAATTATTGTTACTCAAAAAATTAATATTATAATATTTTTATTATTGATTTACCAAAATGGAGAGCATAGTTGGAACTCGAATCAAAAGAAAAAGATTGGAATTTTCATGAATGGTCCAACAGTACTTATTTTCAAGAGTCACTCTCGCTATAATCCAACATAATACGAATAGTGCTGGCAATCCTGAAAATACAAACACGAGAATTTCATTTTATTTTATATGCTAATTTTACTGAAGTAATTTAAATGTATAGCAACATAATAAAGAACAAAAAACAAAATCAATATTGATATATTAATATTAATATTATATATATATTAATATTAACTTCAGTTTGGAAATCTTTATAAGTTGTAAAGAAAAATTAATATTTTTTTTTCTATTTAGTAAAACAAATAAATTTAATAATTAATTAATGATTAGTCTACTAGAAAAATTAAATCGAACATTTCTGAAGCTTTAAAAAAATAATCAAAAATAAGCCAAAAATTATTTGCCGAGACTCACCCCATCCGAGACAAATGTAGACAGCAATGCTCGAGTTTACATCGGTGAAAAGTGCTAGAAAGACTAAATTATGCAAATAAAGACCTTCCATTAATATCCAAAAGTAGTTGGCGAGAATGAAATACTGCCAAAAGCTAGTGAACATTTTACAAAGCCAACTGCTCTCTTTTTTATCAACCAGCCAATATGTTTTCCCGTTTTTTATCATCACATCTGAGGCTAAGGAAATGCCGGAGACGAATAATATGTCCTTCATCAATGCCATGAATGCACGAAATATGAACGAAGCAAACAAATGCATGTGCAGCATATTCCGGGGACATCTTAATTTCCTACGTCCAATTCGGGATAAACTTGGAGTAATGATCCGAGATTTTGAAGATTAGATAATGAAATACATCAGTTTTAATCAATATAGAATTATCAGTTAGTCTTAAAGTCATGAAATATTTCATAAAATTGCTACATGTATTTTGATTTTTAATAAAAAGAAGGATTTAATAAATACATATAATAATAATATATTATATGTATATTATAATAATATATATAATATATATATTAATAAGTTTCAAAAAAAATTTTACTGGATCAAAATAATATTTTTATGAAATACTTTTTCAAATATTTATTTAAAAAATCAAAATACTGTCTAAAAATAAAATCATCGATTAAAAAAAAATATAATAATTACAATTGGAACACAAAACACATATGTATATATAGTGAATTTCTAATTTAATTATTTATCATGAATTTTACGAATTAAAAAAAAAGCAAAGATATGAGAAATAGTTTTGAAAATAACTATTAGATGATATACTTACTTAATCACAGCTAAAATAAAGAAAGCTATCACTAAAGTGAAAAAGGAAACGGTATATCCAATTTTTGAGATAATCTTCACTATTGGAACATATTTCTGTAAAACAAAAATGATAATATATAATTAGAAGGTTTATTAGCATTTACAAAGATAATAATTTTCGACCTTATGAAGCATAGAGGAAATTAGTTGCGCAATTAATATGTTTTTTTATTCTAATTAAAATATATTTCTCATAAACTCATTAAATTAAGTGTCAATCATGAATTTATAATTATTCAAAATTTTCTTAATTACATTTCAATACATTCACACTTTCGAATATTTACCTTAATGACAATATCAATGTTTTTTTGTTCTTCTTCAGGCAACTCCACTAGGATAGTTACAAGATTGCTTTTATAGCATTGGCTGTAATTACTCCAAGTATTGTTGATAGTGCTATTCCATAACCATTGTCCGTTCATCATACATTGTCTGGAGGCATTTGCCTGATAATATGATATCCAAAAAAATATTTAAATACATGTAGAACAAAAATTTAAGGATACAAATATATTCAAATAAAAAATATTACATAAGAAATATTTTAATAAAAATTCATCAACATATAATCTCAATAATTAAATAAGAAATAAAAAAAAATTAAATTATTCAAAGAAAATTTTCTATGTAATTTCAAATATTAAAATTTAATTTTATTTATATATATATATATATATATATATATATATATATTAAATTTTAAAAGAATCAAAATGAAAATAATTAATTAATAAATTAATTTTATTAATTACGTGGTTATCAAATCCTACGATGTAAGAAGGACAAGATAAAATGGCCAGCTCTCCAGGTGCCGTTGATGGCCAGCATAATATCTTGTCCCAAATTTCCGGACACCATCCTATTTTTTTAGAAAATTTATTTTTATTTGTCTTTGTTTTTTTATATTAAAAAAATATTTTATTACACGTTTTGGCATTTCATGTGAAAAAAAAAAAGAATGAATCATTGAGCTAAAAATATAATTACATAATAATAATGTAATTATAGATTGAAGAAAAGTTTTCAAAATTTATCTATGACATTTTGATTAACATTTAATTAGTTATGATATGAGAAATATCTCAATGTGAAAATTTATTGCTTTCGAAATTCGAATAAAAAGAAAATCAATTATATGTGTAAAATTTAAAATATGAATTAAAAATAATTCGAGAAATTTGATAAAATAAATAAGGTTGAAAAAATGTAATACTTCAATACTGTATTTCAATATATGTATATATATATTGATCAATTGATATATAAATATACTGTAAAAAATATTATTTACTCTACTATATTAATATTTAAATTCTTAGAAATATTTTTATTATGGAGAAAGTAACAAAAAAGCGATTATTAAAATAGAAATTAATAGGTTTCAACCTTATTACTTTTCATCAAAGGTCAAAGAAAAGACGGCTAATAGACTAGTTTTGCTAATCGAATCGATTTTTCATTAAGTGATCAGTATCAATATATGCTTTCCGATACATAGTGCTTCATAATTTAATTATTATATCGCTTTCTTTGAATCAATTATTCGTCCATATTTTCTCTTTTATTAAATACTTATTTTATTTAAAAAACTTGATATATGCTTGTTAATTAATTGTTAATAAAATGATAAAAAATACTTATAAAATTTTTTTTTCTCCTAACCGTATTAAAAGAAAAAATGAAAGTATAAAAAAATCCCACAATTACTATAATATAATATAAATATTATTAATAAATTATTAATAAATTCATTTATTTATAACTAACAAAAGAAAAAATGTTCAAAATTTTGAAATTAGTAAAATTTAATGAATCCCTTTAATTATATCTAATTAAAATAAAAAAAAGTACCAATTATATTATGTAAACGAACACAATGTAACGAATACAATGAAAAATAAGAAAAGTTATTATGAATAAAGAAGTAAAAATGTAATAAAACATCACAAAATATCATATAATATAAATAACATATAATATCATATATAAAACTATACTGAAAATATATAATTTGTAATACGAATCTTTTTTGAGAAAATTAAATCTGAAATTCAACAAATAGAATAAAAGATCGCAATGATATATGAACTTTTCAATATCAAAAAAATAATCGGTTTCCTTTCAATTTCCTTTCTCTTTTTCATCAATACATACACAAATAATTCTTGATAATCTTATATAAATTAAAAGTTAGAATTTCATATATTTACTTTTTTTTTTATTAATCGTATTCTATCACTATATTTTTAATTTAAGACTAAAATCTATATTTTAAAATTTATATTTTTGTATTATAATAAAAAATTTTTTTGGTGAAATTATTTATTTTTATTGTTATAAAAATGGATAGTATATTGTTTATCAATTTATTAATTTTTATATAATATAGTAGTTTTAAAATAATTTATTGTAATATAGTTTATATATGTCATAATTTTTGCAATATTTCATTTGATAAATGGAAAAAGTCGTATCATTATTTTATTGAAGTTAAAGTGATAAGTAAAGTAAATGATCCCATGACTTGGAAAATCGACACGAGCTGCGCATCTTGCTTATAAAAATAGGAATCCATTAGATTTCAAATGTGTGCAGAGGGAAATCACATTTAAACATTTACATGCGCGCTCGTGTGGTCAATTTATTGCTTGCATTTTCTGAAATATTATCATTTTTAATTTATTTGTGGTCCTTATTTACCTAATTAAATATCGATAAACAAAAATTGCATATCATGTTTAAATTTTAGTTTTATCATTTTTATCATGTTCCATAATCAAATACATTATTCTTATATTTTCCATAAAAAAATTGAATAATATTAAAGAATAAAAAAGATTTAAAAGAATTATTTTACTTTTTTTATGGAAAAAAATATTATGGATAGAAAATTATTAAATATGAGTTAAATTGTTCATTTACAAAATTTAAAGAAAAAATCTTATATTTATATGTAAAATACATTCATTTTTTATATAAACTACATTCATTTTCATTTCATGCTAAATTTTCATTAGAATACACACGAATTATATTTAATTACAATTTAAAAATAGAGATCTAATATCTATCATTGATATTTTATCGAATTACAAACAAATAAAGTATATGGAATAGTTATAAGATAAACAACACTATTAGGATCAGTTGTTGAAAAATAATTAATTAGGCTTTTATTTATTATTATCGCATTTATTGCATTTGATAAATTATTCATTAAAATTGAGTTATAGGAAATCCATGAAATTGTAAAATCCTGTGTACAAAGATGAATCAGAAGAGTTTCATGGCGAATGATTAATTATAGAATTGATTTTGACTCGTTGTTAAGCAAGCTTTCGAAATTGGATATAATTGAAATAATATTTCCTGATATTGCTATATAATTTGTATAACGAAAAACAGAATATATTATTAAGAAAAACATTTGAAATAATGAGAATATTTGATTTAAAAAGATAATCATAAAATTCAAGAATAATTAATGTTAGATTCATAAATATTTGCAAAAACAATTTAAAATCTATATTTTTGTATACAATAATTCAATGAAATAAATTAAATTGTATGAATTAAATCGTAATCCCTTAATGATAAATACGGATTTAATCAACAACGAAATCAAAACAATTGAAACTTCGAATTTTATAGTCATTCATACTAGTTTCTCAATTGATTTACAAACTGTACGGAGTACCAAGAAACATGCTGAATTTATAATTATATTAATAACTTTTTATAATACTACTAACTTACTAATATTAACTTTTATATTAACTTATTATATTAACTTATATATTAACTTATTATATTAACTTATTATATTAATTTATTATATTAACACATTTTTTTGACAACTTTGAAAAATATATTAATATGGAATTACTAGAAACTTTATTTCTAATTGTGAAGAAAAATTTTGAAAATATTATTGCAAAATTTTACATAATATGAACTACTCACCGGATGATGAAATATTTCCTTGATGACACTGATTTGCTTTTATTTCCAAAGTTCGATTTTGCATATTAAAACTGTTAGGATTATTGAAATCAATATCTTCTAAATTCTAAAAAAAAAAAAACAAAGATTTTTAATAATCTTTCAATTTTCTTAATATTTTATATTTTAAATTATTTAGAATTAGGAAAAAATAAAATAATTTAATAACTATAATACTTATTATATAATCATATATATAAACATCAATTCATATCAAAATTAACATTTAAATGTTGTTTATTTAATTGTTTATTTAATTGTTCGAATATATAAAAATTTATTTTATTTTTTAATTTTCAATAGAAGAATTTAATAATTTATCTTACACTAATTTTTTTATCGTTCTAAATAAAGAAATAAATTAAAGATATATAATATAGACGAGGATTAAAATAACAAAAGTATTTTGGAATTTTGAATTATTTTTAGACGAAAAAGTTACTTATACTGTAAATTTATACAATAGTTTACTTATACTCTGAATTTATGCAACAGTCTGTCTATTAATTTCAAAAATAAACCAGCAAATCTCCACTCTACTAACATTTTAAATCTGTCAGGCCAATTCCATTCTCTCTTTCAATTATCATCCTGGTTTATAATAGTTCTATGAAACACGACAAGAAATACACCGGAAGTCGAAAGTACGAAATTCAAATAAATTAAAGACTAATCCGGTTTCTTTCATTTTTATGACTTTCATTGAGAACAATACTTAATATATATATTTCTATTAATGTATAATCAAATCAAATCAACTATCTATTAAATGGACTATCTATTAAATTATAAGTATCAATAATCAAATTTATTTGTAATAAAAACAAAATAAACGATTTTTTGGATTTTAAAGAGAAATTTAATATTCAATTAGATATAGATTACTGAACTTTGATATATAACAAAATAAAATAATTTTTTATAAATAAATTTAGAATGTTAAAAATAATTATTTATTAAATGAAAAAATATCAAAGAATTATTATGAAATATATCAAATTATAGTAATAAAAAAGTCTTAAAACATTAGTTCTATTTTAAGAATCATATTTTAAGAAAGCGAATTTGAATCTCTAAATTACATTAATAGTTACCAAATGCTATTACGTCAATGCATAGTACATTAATTTTATCTAATCTAGAACACATGTTTTAAAAATATTAAAGAATTATCATCGATTATAAAACTTATAAGAAATATCAATAGTAATTAAAGAAGAAATTGATAAATTATAGAAAATTAAATAAAATTATTTTATTAAATGCTGATATGAAAATATACAAAATATCTTTTAAATAAGATTTTTTAATCCGTTTTTTTAGGAAAAAATTTATCTATAAATAAATTTAAAAAAACATTTTTAAATCATAGCATATAAAGTTAAATAATTTTATTATAATAATTAATTTTTTTATCAGAAATGAAATTTTTTGTATATACTTTTATTTTATTTAATATTTTGATTATTTAGTTTACTTTATATTATTATTATTATTATTATTATTATTATTTATTATTTATTTTATATTATTTACTTTATATTATAAAATTTTTTTTAAATTAAATAAATTTTAAATTTCAATTTGGATATTTTATAATAATATAATTTATTACAAAGGAGAAATTTTATAAATTACTGAATATCATTCATCATTCATCACACAATTATATTTTATGATGCAAGGTAAATAAATTTGGAACAAATGTAATGTAATTATAATAAAAATCGCGGATTTGATAGTTCTTTTTGGTAGATTGTTTAGTAGATTCTATAATTAATGTATTACAATTAAAAATATATACATTTTATTTTTCATCAGATAAAAAATTAACTAAAAATAAAAAAATATTAAATATGCAGAAAAGAAGTGAATGATGAATTTGAATATATGTACATGTGTAATAATTACACAACAAAATAGACCATATATACAATAATAAAGAACGTATAAAACAAAATATAAATATAATGATTAAGAAATCATGTTATCATTTATAAAAATATTTTTTAAGCGATTTCATGCAGATTGTCGATTTCTTCTGAGAAAATAAGTTCACAGAATATATATTGCAATACTTTACATACCACTAGTATCTTGACCCTATTTAGATCACAGAATAAAGTTCAAAATGGAATATATAATACAATTTTGAGCATTCTTTACGTCGTTCATGATATTGAATTGTAATAGTACCATATGTATCTGAAAATCTTGCCAACGAAGAACATTAAAATAACATTAAAATTCTCTAAATGCTCTTATAAGAATTTTAGAAGATTTAAGATTCTTTTTGAAGTTTGAAATAGTTTATATCACAATATATGCAAACAATTCTTAGAATTCGCAAGTTAACATTCTTATAACATAATATTATAAGAATATACAAAATTGTACAAGTCAAAAATAAAATTGTAAAATTGTGATTTTTTTAAGAAACTAATAACATTTTATATTGGCATACGAAGAAAGCGTGACCAATAAATAAGTTAACATTTACTTTCTTTTATATGTTTCGTGACTTTCATTCGATAAAAAATTTTTGTAGTATAATATATTATAAATTTATGTAGTATGATATATAAAATAATGACCTATAAATCCAAAAGAAAATTCATAAATACTTCAAGAATTTTTAATCACGTTAATAGTATTATTCTATATAATAAAAAAAAAATCTAATCCTGTTTTTTATGCAATTGGGAATAGTAAATCGTTTCATTTATACGAAATATTTATTTAAATATTAATTAGAACTTAATTATTAATTAGAAAAAATTTAATGGATTGATTAATTTAAAATTCATATCGTTATTGATGTCTGGATTATTTTCATTAACTAATGATGAAACGAAAATATTAATAAAAATACTTAATATTGCATGCTTTTATTATTACTTCTACTATTATTACTTATTCTATTATTATTTCATTTTTTAAATATTTATTATATTCATTATTTTTCAATATTACTGTGATTTATACAATATACAATATCCATAGAGAATTTATGATATTAATGATCAATAAAAGAATTATTTACTTACATATACGTCCATTATACTGTCCCAGTTTTTTTATTTATTTCAATTGTATTACTACACTAATGATCGTTTCTCATTGTCCTGTAATGGATTATATTTCATTAATTAAGTATGCTACGCTGTTAAGTAAAAGTAAATATATCCACAATATTAGATTGATCCGAAAGTTCTGTTGTATTTCCATTAAAGAAATTAGCTTCATTGTTTTGTTCAAAATTTATATTAATTAGTTTATATTCTATTGCTAGTTTATATAATAATATAATAATATTTAATTATTATACTATTAATACATATATTTAATATAATATTATTTATATAATAGTTTATATAATATTTAATTATTATATTTGTATATTTTACCACAATAAAATTTTGCAATTTCAAATATATATATATATTACTTTTCGATTATATGTGATTTAGATTATCTATGATGAGAAAAATCTAAAAAATTGTGTTTCATGTGTATATGAAAATAAATCAAAATAAAATTTCTCAGTTTAATTAATATGTATACGACAGAATTTTCCATAGAATATTTAAATAAATCTTACATTATATACAATTTTATATATAATTTTTTTTACTTCAGAATTTCATTTTCAATTTTATTTATTTCAATTTTAATTTAAGTAATTGAGAGAAAGATTTATTTGCAATTGCATATGAAATTAGAAAGTTTCATGTGTGAAATTATGGAATTCCTTCAATGTTATTTCGATTCTAGTAATTGAATTGAGAAGTCTAACATAAAATCAATCAACGAAATCACAGTTTAACAAAGTGTGACTGTAATGGAGCACAGGCAAACCTCCATAGTCACGCCTGTGTTTGTCATTTTATTAACTCTATTAGTGACCAAGGGCGGATCCACATCACCCTTAACAAGCGTTTCAATCCTCCCTTCCTTCTGTCATCGAAATTATTACCTAACCATTGAAACCTTTTACTTAACCAATTCTCTTTAATCAATTTATAATTTAATTATTCATTTAATTATTTTTTAATCGGTCGTATTATACTTAATTGGATGTAATAATGTATTTGATATTATCATTAAAAAATATAAAATGCATAAAAAAATTTTTGTCCATTGAAATATTGCGAATTGAAAAATATTTAAAAGAAATTTCTTATTTTTTACTTTTCAATAAACTTTTATTTTATCATTTTGAACGAATGAATCAAAACATTTTCCAAAAAACTTTCATTTTTCATTTTTCCTTATCTAAAAATAAAGAAAAAATAAATAACTGAATTTTGAAGAAAAATTTGCAATATTTACTGACTTTAATTTTTTTTAGAGTATTAATATATTCTGATTTCGTAACTATTGTTATTAGATTATAGTGAATATTATAATCAAATTATAATAGAATTAAAATCAATCAAATGAGGATATATTTGGAAAAATCTTCAATTCTTCATGATATTTTAAAAATGGAGAACTATGAATATAAAAACTTTAATCATTAAAACAAAATAAAATAAAACAAAATAAAATAAAATAAAATAAAAAAAAGAAACGAAGTAAAGGTACAAAAAAACGTACAAACGGAGAAATATTAAAAAAAAAATCTCCGAGTAACATAAAAATTTCATAAATATTTCAAATATATATCTATTGTATAATCCAAGAATTACAATATTTTATTATTCAATAAATTGTAAAACCAAAAAACTAAATTGTAAAATTAAAAAAAAATTATACTCACAATAAATTCAGAAATTTCATTTATAATAAACAAATTGACAAATTTTGACCATATATAATAATTTATTGTTTTGAAAACATGCTACATGTTTATGGTTTGTTTTCGTATATATTCAATCTGTTTTATTGATGAATCTATTTTAAGAATTTCGATTCATATCACTAAAAAGAATTCCAGTTTTGTAATAATACAAAATAATAAAAAATACAAAATAATGACTATTATTGTTTGTAAATAAAATAGAAGTATCAAACATCAACAAGGGTTTTGAAAATTGAGATTGAGATTGAAATTGAAACTGTCTTTATGACCTTATTTCTTTTTTTTTTTCGTTTGAAATGAAAAATTTTTTTTATTTTCCTTATTCTTCAAGGAAAATAAAAAAATTAAATAAAAAGTAATTTTCATTCTATCATTAGATAGATAGAAGAGAAAAAATATAAGGTTTAATGAAAATTTCTTATTTTTTAATTATTTTATAATTAACATATAATCGCTTGCAAAACTATTAATCCATCGTATTTCATATTTAAAGCAACATTTATAATATTATAATAAATTGTATAATGTCATAAGTATATTATTTATAATATAAATTGTATAATATAATATAAAAATATATTATATAATATAAATATATATTTAAAAAAGTAAAATTGTCCTTTTTAGATAATTAGAAAAAAAGAAAGAAGGTAAAATAGATTAAACTCTTTGCATATTATGATATGGAATGAAGAAATGTATAAGAAAAAAAATGAAATATTAGACTTAATTAATCGTAGAGAAAAATATAGTAGAAAAACGAAAGAAAAGCTTTCAGAATATTATTTTCAGAATCTCTCCTGGAAAATATATCTTTTGAAATATATCTTTTGAAATAAACATAATTATAAGAACTCTAAGTAATGGTAATGAAAGAAAAAGCATGATAACTAATTAAAAGAATTTGTAGAATTTGACAACAATTATAGAATTGTAGAATTTATCTTTGATTTTATAATTAAAAGTTTTTATATTAAAAGTCAATGCATCATAAGATAATTTATATAAATATTAGAATTAGAAGTATTTTTATAGTAAAATATATATAGTTATTAAGATTAAAAGCTATAATATATTTCTATAGTATATTATCTCAAAAAGATATGGAATAACGATCAAAGATATATATATTTAGAAATATTAGAATGCAATATCATGAATTTTTTATATATATCTTTGTATAAAAATCTTAAATTTAAATATTAGAGATATTCTTCAAGTCTATCTTCTCAATTTATGATCAGTTTTATTGCATTTATTTATTTATCATTTATTCCATGAATATGAAAACAATAAGTTTTCTATATTTTGATAATGATCTCAAAAAACCAAAATATAGTAAAGATAAAGCAAATGTTAATGAATCATAAAATCTCGCCTTATCCAATAGATTTGCAAACAATGGATTCCCGAAGCCACGGACACAACTTGAGGGTTTTCATCGTTTGACAATCAGAAATGGGGTCACGCACGCGAATGCAATTGAATCAGAAGTTTGATAATATAATTGACGGCACTTAAACCTCGATTATAGTAATATATATTATTTTGCAACTAAAGTGAATCCGAATTCTTCATTTACAAAATATTTTCATATTCTATTATTTCTACTTTTTCTTTTCTTTTTGAAGTTAAGTTATTCTAATTCTTATAACTTCATAAGAAAATATTTATTTTGTTGAAACCAATATAAAAATATATTATATTAAAATATATTAAAATATTTTAATATAAAAATTGACAAATAGATACATAATTTTTTATTTTTGTTTATAAAACAAAAAAATATTGACATCGTCTATCGAATATTTTTAAAATTACCTATAGATAGATGGATTCTCTTGAGAATTCATGTCATCTGAATTTATTTTATATCGAAAATATATTACGGTGATATAAATCAAGCATAGTAGAAAATTGAATTTGAATTGAAAAATTAAATAAATTATTTTTTGTCAATGTATCAAAATTATCTCTTTTATTTAAAAATACTCTATTTTTACTTTTCTATTGTACATATGTATGTATGTATATATATACATATTTAATTCATTTATATAACTAAAATATAGCTTTATTAATTATTTGCTTAATTATGTACTAAAAATTGCTGTTGATAAAGAAACATTTCAGTTCATAATAAATATATTAATTTATAATTTTCATTCTATTCATATAAAATGATATATTTATCGATAAGAAATTATCCATATGAATATAATTCGTAATTATTAATTATGTTTTGTAATTACAGATGAATAAAACAATTCTCTTTCATACATTATTGTATAAAAATTTGTTATTCTTTTTATTATTATTTCAATAAAACAAAAATTTTCTTAGTCAATTCATAATTATTATTTTATACAACAATAAGAATTTTTAATAACAAACTTGAAATAAAAATAACAATTTATGACAATGCATCACTTCATATATTTTAATTCTGTTTAATATAAAAAATTTGTATCTTTTTAACTTAATTTTAAAGAATTTCAATTGAAATACAAGAGAAAAATATGTATGAATCAATATGCAAAGAGAAAAATGAGGAAGTATAAAAGATACGTAAACGTCAACTATCAAAGTGATTTAAAATGAATATGCTGTGAACTATACACGGAATAAAGTACTTTTTCTATTGCAGTGCAAAGCATATATTTTTTTTTTTTTTTTTTTAATGCAACTTTGCTTTCCACTATTTTCATAGAAAAATATCCGATTTCCGAGTTTTATTCTAGTATGTATGAAAAATTCATATATTTTTTAGCAAACTTTTTAGTCTTTAATATTTTATACTTTTTAGTCTTTAATATAATAGAATATAATCTTATATTTTCAATAATTTTAATTTAAAAACTTACTTTGGTTTTAAATAATATCTTTTGTTTTAATAATACAAAAATAAATAATATAAATGAAAGATTATAATAATATAATATATATATGATATATAAATGATATAATAATATAAATGAGATATAATAATATAAATAAAAAATTGAAATTATTTCAAAAATTTATTCCTATTAATATTTTAATAATAATCATGATGATTTGATTAAAAGATTATTCTAAATTCTACATAATTTTTAATAATTTTTAAAAGATTTGAAAAAAAAAAAAATTACTTATTTTTTCTATATTATCAATAATCGAAATAATATGTAATAGTTTACGAAATTATATATTATCTCGTTATTATTTTAGAAATATTAAAAATCAAATGAATTTATTTATTTAAAGAATTATAAAAAATTAAAATAATATTTTTAAATTAATATTCTTAATATTCTTGAATATTACTTTAATAATATTCTT